TGTTAGTAAGGTTAAATAAAAGATTACAATTAGGACAATCTTAAAATATCATGAACTGATTATTTAATAAATGTCACTAAAACAAAACTAAGAAAATTCATTTTGACGATGCCATTTTCTGATGGTGTACAATCTTATAGGTATTTCTTTACATATATTGTATAGGTTAAGATAATGTCATCTAAAAAATTCCCTTCTCTGAAAGGTCTTAAATCTTTTTTCATACTCATATATACATACACACCGATTATCTGTCTATCTATCTGTATATAAATAACAAATTCACTAGAAAATAGTTTTCAGTGTTTCATATTCTCATTTTTCCCCCAATTCTTAACAGTTTTAGACCTTAACAGAAAATCAGCTATACAGAAACAGGGTTTAATCATGTAGTATTTCTCTTTGTTTAAGTATGAATGACATTTACTATTATTGTACTGCTCACTTTGAACGGATTGTTAATTAGTAAATAATAGTTGATATGTTTAGACTCTATTTGATTCGTGTTATATCACATCCTGTAAACGATCGCAGTGATAACCACTAAATCTGAAAATTTTCATTGCTTTTTTATTGTTTTATCTACAGTTGGACTAATAATATCATGTTCCGATGGTTCTTTGCGTTACTGATACTTACTTACGTCTATCACCCCTCGTGGAGGGGCATAGACTGCTCACCAGCATTCAACTCCGTCCTGGACAATCCTTTACAGCTGCTATTCATCCTTTTTATATCTGCCACCTATTCTCGGCGTAATGTGTTCTTTGGCTTTCCTCCTTTCTGTTTCTCTTCAGGACTCCAAGTTAGCGCTTGTCTCGTGATGCAGTTTGATGAATTCCGCAATGTATATTCTGTCCATTTCCAGCGTCTTTTCCTAATTTCATCTTCAGTTGGAAGCCGGTTTATTCTCTCCAATAAGAGGTTGTTGCTGATGGTTTCCGACCAACAGATATTGAGTATCATACGTAGACAACTGTTTCGAAATACTTGTACTTTCTGATGATGGTTGCCGTAGTTCTTCAAGTTTCAGTCCATACAGTAGGACTGCCTTGACGTTCGTATTGAAAATTCTGAATTTGATATCGGTTGGCAGACAGTTGTTTTGAGTTCCATATTTTCTTCATCTGTAGGAATGCAACCCTTTATCAATCCTCGCCTTTACGTCTACATCAGATCCTCCTTGTTCATCAATGATGCTGTCCATGTACGTGAAAGATTCCACCTCTTCCAGAGTTTCTCCATCAAGTATGACTGAGTCGGTGTTCACTGTGTTGTATTTGAGGATTTCGCCTTTTCCTTTGTGTGTGTCGAGGCCTACTGATACAGAGACAGCTGCCACACTAGTTGTCTTCATCTGCATTTGTTCGTGTGTATAGTATAGAAGAGTAAGGTCATCTGCGAAGTCCAAATCATCTAGTTGCGTCCTATTGTCCATCGTATTACGTGCTTCCCCTGAGATATAGAAGTCTTCATTATCCAGTCAACCATCAGAAGACGGAGGACGAAAGTAAGTACCCTTGTCTAACACATGTTCTCGCTTGGGACGCATACGTCAGCTGTCTTCCATGCACGACTTTGCAGTGTAGTCCGTCGTATGAGTTCCGGATAATGTTAACAATCTTCTCAGGAACTCCATAGTGTCGAAGAAGTTTCCATAATGTTCTACTATCTACACTGTCAAATGCCTTTTCGTAATCAATGAAGTTGATGTATAGTGACAAGTTCCACTCAACTGATTGTTCAACGATGATCCATAGTGTCACAATTCGGTCTGTGCACAACTGATCCTTACTGAATCCAGCTTGTTGATCTCGAAGCTGGACGTCTACTACATCTTTCATCCTGTTCAGGAACACTCTGTTGACACTAATGTGATGCCTCTATAGTTCTCACATTTGCTCAGACCTCCTTTCTTTGGTATCTCGATGATGTATCCTTCTTTCCAGTCCGTCGGCATTCGTTCTTCCTCCCGGATCTTCTTGAATAGAAGGTGAAGCATACTTGCAGTTAGTTCCGTCTGGCTTCAGTGCTTCGGCTGCTATATTTTTAGGTCCTGCTGCTTTCCAAATTTTGATTTGCCTAATGGTCATTCTGATTTCTTCGATCGTTGGTGGGGTGACGTCTATGTGAAAGTCTGTGTGTGCTGCTTCGATATCCAGATGATTAAATGGAGCTGGCCTATGCAACAGTTCCTCAAAGTATTCTACCCATCTGTTCCTCTTTTCTTGGATCTCAGTGATTAACTAGCCTTCTTTGTCCTTGTTCGGTCTCTCTGTTTTACTATATTTTCCTGCTAGTCTCTTCGTTGTGTCATATAGCTGTCTTATATTTCCTTGTCTTTCAGCTGTCTCCACTGTCGTTGCTAAGTCTTCCACATATCTCTGCTTGTCAGCTCTAAGTCTCCTCTTCACTTGCTTGTTTGCTTCAGTGTATCCAGCTTATGTCTTGACCTTCTCTGTTCGCGCTTGGCTGTTATTAATTGTTGTCTTCTTGTTCTTCATTTCTTGAATCTTGTCCAGAGTTTCGATAGAGATCCATTCATTATGATGATGCTCCTCGCTACTCAGAACCTCCTGATACGTTGAGTATAGTGCTTCTTTGATCCCTTTATAGTTGCCCTTCATAGTAGTTTGTTCTTCTTTCAGTAGATCCCGTATGGCTTCAACCTGTTGTTGAGAATTATCTTGAATTCGTTGAGGCTTCATTTAACCTTTGTAATACTGTTTCCTCAGTTGTCCATTGTTCCTTTATCTTGAGTTTTATCTCGGCCACAACCAGGTGGTGATCTGAATGAAGCTAACGTCAGTTCCTCTCTTGGTTTCCAACTCTTCCATTGACTTTATGAATTTTTCATTGATGGAAATATGATCAATCTGGTTCTCTGTAATATGATTCGGTGAGACCCATGTAGCTTTGTGCATGTGTTTGTGGGGGAATTCTGTTCCACCTATAACCCTTTTGTTAAATGTATGAATCCATGTTGTCCGATTATATCTTCATATCCAGTGTTGTCCATTCCGACTTTGGCATTTAGGTCTCTCATGAGGATTGTCAGGTCCTTTCCTGGACACTTTGTTATGATCGACTGCAGCCTCTCGTAAAACTGATCCTTATCGTCCGCATCGCTATCGTTCGTTGGTGTATAACATTAGATAATATTCATTGTAATCCCCTCCTTCTTTATTTTGAAAAATTTTTTGATGGTTCTGGATCCATAAGATTCCCATCCTATAAGTGCTTATCGTGCTTCCTTCGACAGCATCAGAGCAACTCCTTGAGTGTGTGGAGCATTTTCTTCGTGACTAGAGTACAGTAGCATCTCCCCCGAATCTAATGTTTTATGTTCATCTTGGGTCTAGTGGGATTTACTTATTCCCCATTTACGTTGTTATTTGACTGACCCTCCCGGTTTCTCACATTGTCCGGACATTCCATGAAGCTACATTAATTGTTGCTCTGGTTGTTGGAAGAGCATCAGCCTCGTAACTTACGGAGAATCTCTGCTTCCAGCATGAGTCGTCATAATTCTCCCATCAGCTCCCAGGTCAAAGTTTAAATGATTTAACTTGTTTAATCTGGTTAGTTTTTATAGAAAGATTGTTTCCTACGAAATGGGGTTATTGACTCCATGCTCAACCGTCCTCCTTTAGCCGGGCTTGTGATCAGCAATAACCCTATAACAGCTACAACCGGCGTTGCGTTACTTATGATTAGTCTTAATATTATTGATAATTCTTTATTCACGTAAAACCATAGTCTTCACGACGATTGACCATTGAGCGTTATATTATGTGGTTTCTAGGGGTAGTCAACCGTGCAGTGTTGCTACTTAACTAAGTGATCCAAATCGCTTTCAATTATCTAGCTACGAATAAAGTGCACCACAATGTTGAGTTGACTTCATCAGCTAGTGTCAAGTCTTGGTTGGTTGGCCCCAGTTTTCTTCTACTTCATTTCTACATTAGTCAATATCACGAGTCTAGGTAGGCGGTAGACGAACCCACGTGACATATCACAATCACCTCAGTAGATCAAAATTCTTATGGACTGATCTATGTTTGTTGGTCTGCACCTGATCTCAACTCGGTTCACCCAACATGCTTCGAAGACGCCTAAGATTAAATACCAGTAACCTGCGTATATCTTCAACGTTTAAAGGCCACGTTCTACATAACATAGTAAACTGTTGCAAATCCTTTATTTGACAGACAGGTATGTCATCAAGGCCACAAATTGACAAAAGGTAATCCAACTTTCTGAATCTGTGTCAATATTTTGTCAGAAACCAATCCACATTCACGGATAAGACTTTCAAGATAAGTGAAGTGGCTGGCGCGCTCAACTATTTCACTCCCTGCAATTAGTCTAGGCTATGACTCAGACCATTCCTTAGGAAACACTATTTAAAAGGGAAGAAACTCATCCTAAACATGTTTAGTGGACGCAACTTACAAGATTGTCTGTAAATAGTGTTTAGCAGAACGTGACGTCGAAGTTGCTACAATTGTCAGATAGAGTGAAGAGTTTCAGTGCATCGAAAAAACGGCGTGGGTAGAACACTTGGAGACTAAACAAGAAGACAGTTCAAATAGCGGAACACATTGTAAGATGCGAGTGAAGACTATGTATACGTATTATGTATAAACTTTGTAACTTCTCTTCTCAATAAACACACATTTCTTCTTCTTATTGTTGTGTTTTACACTTGCATTGTTGCTCACAATGATGAAAAACGTCTCAAACCAGTTTTAAGCAGATACATTTACCTTAGTTTATGTAAAAACACACAAGATATTAAATTTTTTTTTTAAATCATATTCGTTTCACCAATATAATACGATATTAATCAATTATAGTTGTATAAACAAAGAATCTAACGAAGTATAATGAACAATTCATATTCACATAACTGATAATAATCAAAATGTGTTTATTCCTAATATAATCCATAGAAGAAATGAACGTAGATAGATGATTCAATCAATCACAGTTGTTCATTACAAACAATGAAGTAATAAAGCTGTTCCAGCTTGAATCCATTGATTTTGACTACCTGAAGGACAGGGGACTCGAATATATGTCACCAAATGTTCACGAGTATTATTTGTATAAATTGGTAAATAAATAGAATTGTTTTCATTCAATGGATCTTGTTCATCCTTAAATATACATATTAAAATAAAACCAATTACATAATGAATATGTGTTGTACTAAGTATCAATGTTTACAAACATAATGACAAATGAATCAATATCGTAATGTGATATAACGTGGAAAAATTCTAGTTTGTAATCCTACTCTTGGAAATATAAGATAATAGATCACTATTGATTGGGGCACTAGATCACAATACAAAACCATATCATATGTTTGGTTCGATTAATAATCATAGATCAGTATAGACTAGACAATAGTTTATTGACATAAAATACATTAATAGTCAACACAGAGTGACATTCAAGTATAATGAACAATCTTATGTAGTCTTGTATATACAGTATAGTTAAATATGTCTATCTTTATTCATCTGTTAATCATTTTGACAAATAAATCATAATGTTTCTCGTGTCATTTTAGGTTTTTGACAATATTATGTTGTAGTTTACTAAACTTGAATAATGGGTCAAAGTGACATAGATATCTTTATTCATAGAAGTGAAACTAAATCAAATTACTGATTCACAAACAGATAAAATTGGATAATTTAATATATAGTAGTTATCTAAATTCAAATGAACTTAAAGTAATATCATTAGAAAAGATATTGAAGTAGACTTGTAGACGACTAATGTTCTGTTGTTCTGTGAACAATCTAAAAATTTTAACATCGTTGGATACCGGCTCAGTGTTCTATTTGATTAAGCGCCTGGCGCGAGACTGACAGGTCATGGGTTCGAATCCCGCGAGGTGGGGTCGTGAGTGCGCACTGCTGAGGAGTCCCACGATAAGAAGAAACAGCTGTCTAGTGCTTCCAGGTTTTCTATGGTGGTCTAGCTTCAATTGACTCATGATCTCAACTGTTGAAAGATATGTGTCTTTATGTACAGATCGATAAGTAAAATTTCATTGTTAGGAGATTGGAAGCAATCAATATAGAAACTGATTAGCTTTCCTAAATAAACATTTGTTTCATTTTTCTAGCTTCTCTTCTTAACCCTAGACTAAATCTACACGGCAACTTGGACATTGGAGACAAGGCGCGAAGACTGGTGATAAGGATGTGACTCCCAAAATAAATCAAAATGGTTTCAGAATACATCACATTTTATATGGTTTATTTGCAGTTAGATTCGTGTAAACTGAACTGAATTGTCATTAGCAATGATAATTCAATAACTTACTGTATGAACACAATATTAAACAGTGAAGGATCTATAATCCTTCTTAAGATGTGAATACATGTCACATATGTTTGGAAACAAAAATGGATTTCATGTGTTATTCCCATTTTAGTTGATTAAGTTATTACTCGCAATATCAAAAGCCTAGACAAATTTAGTGCTTGCTGGTATTCTACAGTTAGGTATAATCCCAACCTTGACGGTAATGTTGTATGTAGGTTTCGAATCTGATGTGTAAGTCCCGAATGACCTCCTTTGGGGATGAGATCCTAGTACTTACTGATCACTGAATTTTGAATAATGTTATGCTTATCTAGTCCTCAATTCTATGGATTAAACTGCTAAGTTCTATGTATGTATTTGGGTAGCCAACAGCCTTACTTCCTTCCAATAGAGTGCCGTTTGACACACATGTCTTACGTTCAAAAACTTTATTTTACTGAGATCAAGGACCGATTCAGTGTAGACAACTGCTTAAAATCTTGGAGCACTGGATGGACATTTCGTCAGTATGGGACTTCTCAGAAGAACACGCCTACGACCTTCGGCCTTACTTGCGGATGCTTAACCTCTAGACCACTAAGCTGGCATCCAATGGTGTACAATTCCAAATTTGATGAATTCACGATACTGAGTAACCATTTACCATTGTATGTGGTGGGTAACCTCCTCACATCCAACATGCTCGGTCTAATAATTTTGTTGAGAATGTCTTGGAACTAAATGAATTAATTTACAAGTTTCAGCAAAAATTGCAAACTATCTCACAATAGAAAAATATCCACATTTTTACATTTAAAATAAACGAAGTTTTCGCCAATCGAAAATGGAATTTTCATGCCAACTAAAATCAAATGGTTTCACTTTTAAGTCTACCCTTTTCTCGAAAACCTCCGCCTGGATTACCTCCGGGGGCTACTGCTGGTCCTAAGCCCGGATAAAGGAGGAGGGTTGGGCATACGGTTAGCGACCCCATCCCGTAGAACACTAACTCGCTAAAAACACGCTAACCCAAAAAATATTCAAACTATTTAAACTCTGCCCTGGGATTCAGAAGGTCTTTATTTAGAAGAGTTATGACGCCTCATGATGAAATCTGAGTTCTTTCGGAAGTCACGAGGCCGATGCCCCTTTCTGACAACCAGAGCAACCATTTATTTAGGTACGTGGAATGCTCGTACAATGTGGGAGACTAGGGGAGTCTTCCGAATTCCTGCAGAAATGAGGAGATATAACCTGGAGGTGCTTGGAATCAGTGAAACACATTGGACGCAAGTTAGACAACGACGACTAGCTTCAGGGAGCTGTTGTTATACTCCGGCCATGAAGGAGAAAATGCCCCACATACACAAGGAGTTGCATTGATGCCGTTCAAACAAGTACTTATAGGATGGGAATCTCATGGACCAAGGATCATCAAAGCCTCCTTCAAAACAAAGGAAGAGGGCATTTTAATGAACGTCATCCAATACTATGCGCCTACCAACGACTACAATGAAGACGATAAAGATCACTTCTACGATAGGGTGCAGTCAATCGTCGAGAAGTGCCCAACAAAGGACCTGACCATTCTGATGAGAGATTTAAATGCCAAGGTTGAAATGGAAAACACCGAATATGAAGACATCATGGGACGACACGGACTGGGAGAAAGGAACGGAAATGGTGAGAGATTCGCAAACCTATGTGCCTTCAATAAACTCGTCATAGGCGGAACTATATTCCCACATAAACGCATTCACAAAACCACATGGACTTCACCGGATCACACCACACAAAATCAAATCGACCATATCTGCACCAACAAAAAGTTCAGGAGGACAATCGAGGATGCAGTTGGACGATCTAGACTTCGCAGATGATCTGGCTCTTCTATCGCACACGCAATAACAAACAAAGGAGAAGACGACCAGTGTATCAGCAGCCTCGGCAACAGTAGGTCTCAACATACACAAAGGGAAAAGCAAGATTCTCCTATACAACACAGCATGCACCAATCCAATCACAATTGATGGAGAAGATTTGGAAGATGTAAAAAACCTTTACATATTTGGGCAGCATCATTGATGAACAGGGTGGATCTGATGCAGATGTGAAGGCGCGGATCGGCAAAGCAAGAGCAGCATATTTACAACTGAGGAACATCTGGAACTCAAAGCAACTCTCAACCAACACCAAGGTCAGGATTTTCAATACAAATGTCAAGGCGGTTCTACTGTATGGGGCGGAAACTTGGTGAACTCCGAAAGCCATCCTCCAGAAGATTCAAGTGTTTATTAACAGCTGTCTACGCAAAATACTTCAGATCCGTTGGACAGACACTATTAGCAACAACCTACTGTGGGAAAGAACAAACCAGATCCTAGCGGAGGAAGAAATCAGGAAGAAGCGCTGGAAGTGGATAGGACACACATTGAGGAAAGCACCTTACTGCGTCACAAGACAAGCCCTCACATGGTATCCTCAAGGCCAAAGGAAAAGAGGAAGACCAAAGAACACATTACGCCGAGAAATGGAGACAGATATGAGAAGAATGAACAACAATTGTATAGAACTGGAAAGGAAGGCGGAGGACAGAGTGGGTTGGAGAATGTTGTTTGGCGGCCTATACTCCATTAGGAGTAACAGGCATACGTAAGTAAGTAAGTTTTCTCTAAAGTTTTGGTTACAGTCAGTTATGCAACAACAAGTTAATCAAAAGTTATCTGAAGTCTACCATTTACTGGTATTTTGGTATGAAGACCGAAATATATCGATCATCAAACAAATGATAGTGATTTAAATGGTTTAAACAAAATAATTATTACTTGTTGAATCCACTGTAACAAAATATCAGGTAGTTGAATTAGACTTGAATCATTTTGGCAACTTTGACTAAGTTGACCATTTCGGAAATTGGCACCCTCCAATTTCAAATTCGTAATACGTATTAGTAATGATTGACTATTTCCATAGGATTTATTCCTACGATCATTTGATTCCAGCCACTGACATGATAGTTTAAGTGTGTCAATTGGTACATTCAAGCATCTTGCACTCTGTTGACGTAAAGCATTTAAAAAGGTGGTCGGATGAAATAGATTGGCTAAGTCTAAAGATTGTACATTTTGTTCATTGGAAAACTGATTGTTTTCCGCCTGTTTGGTCCACGTCTAATAACAATCAAAAAGATATACAGAACAAATCGGTTGAATAAAGAATAAGTTCATTCGTTATGATCTATATTAGAAAGGTTCAATTAACAATGGTCATTTTAATATTTTAATTAAGTGCTTATATAGAAGCTAGTTTGATTTATAAATGATTTTTGTCATGGATTAGTAAGACTTAAGAGAAATGAACCATTGAATTCCAACCAAGTAACTCAAAGCTTAGACGCTTATCACTTAGATGGGATCCCTTATTGGGTACGCACCGTTTGTAAATCATCGTTGAAGACGAAACAGCTCCCCAGTGCTCAGTGATTCTCCATGGTACCACAACTGATATCGATCCTAAACGAAATAATGTACAGGTCATAATAATATAATCGGCATTACTTGCATTTCCATATACATTTTTTGATAGTAAATGGTTTAATCTAATTGACACAAAGCTTGTAATAGTCAACTGGTATGTCTGTATGAATTAATACGATAGACAATAGGAAGGGATATACGTTGAATTCACAGAAATAGAAAATTTATACGATCACCTCCTTCCTATACTTTTTGTTCCTGTGAGCCGCAAAATATCAGCAAATAACACCAGATCTATGACTGCCGTATTTCAAACAACCTGACATAGGTTATCTAGATTCTAATCTTCCAAATCGATTAAGCATTAGCAATGTCACACCAAAAAAATTTAATTGTATTGGTCATAAAGACAAAACACCCAATCTCTTTCATTGCCTTGATCAGCCTTAAGTTCAGTAATTCCTAAATCATCCCCAATGAAATTGTGTGTTATAGTGAAAACATTAATAGATCCAGTATACATAGTTCCTTCCATTCATTGATAATGCAACTTAAACTATAATCAGATCATTATCAGAAAGGGGGGTTTTGTGAAGATTGTAGTAATTTAATAGTTGAATTCATGAGTCGATTAAATCTAGACCACCATCAAGATTAATCACTTACCTTCCCAAAAATTTAAAAACAACTACACTATTAATGTATACAATCTTATGTATTGTGTGATCTACTAACCAACACGTGACCTGACTGCAAAATTCTCACTGACACACACTTAACATATATAGATGATTGCAGTATCCACAAACCAAAATCAATCTTACATTTAACTCTAGATATACATATTTCGGTAAAAATATATTTTGGTGCATAGCTCTTATGAATAGTGTTATAAAGATTGATTCTCTTAGTTTCCTCGATTTCGATTACACTCAAAATGAAAATGTATTGGTAAACAGAAGTAAACTCATGTTTCTAAACGTAGTCAGAATTCATTAAATTCCGGGTATCCTAGTGAAAACTCAAAATGATAAACTTGTTGTGCTAATAAGGACTGTTTTCGGTTCTGGTGAAAATGAGAGCTTTAATACGCATTTTAGATCCCATATAGGTATTAGTTCCGTTAACACTACTTTAATGATTTAGCCATTCACAAAATGAAAGGAGTTATAAGTAACCTGTACCTGGCTACGATTCTTGGTCGAGAGCCTTCAACTAGAAACGTCCTTTAGAGCTGACCCTATAAATATTAATTCTGATTGGTTAGAAATCTATTTTATTTGAAACAGTTACTTACTGCTACTGGTCAAGCAGTAAAAGTCCTTTTCATGTTAAATTTGCATACTTATCATTAAGAAATAGAGAACTGAATCGATATACATGCGTACCAGTTGCTAAATTAATGGTGACTGTTAGACTGAATGTAGTATGTGACAATACAATCTCTTTAAAATTTAAATGAAACAGAAAAAAATGTCAACCCACAATATATGAATAACTTACTTGTACAGCATTCGCTTTAACAACTAATTCTCGTAGGAAAGGGACTACTTCATTCGGTCCTTCAGGCCATTGTAATAACCATGAATCAGGTGTTTCACCATGTAATAAACTATTAGCTAATTGATGCATTACTCCATTTACTAACTGAGTCCCTTTACATGCTCGTGCAATACTAGCTAAACTTAAATGCACATGTTGAATAAGCTGAAGAGCATTATATAATTCTAAATGTAAAAACTCTTGAATCGGACTTTCAATTGCTGATCTATTCTCAGAATTGATATCGTCTCCTGACTTAGACAGGGCAGATTTGTTAGTTTTGTTTGATGTTCGAGACTGAGAAAAAAAGTGATAACACAAAAGTAGTCATCAACCAAAAAGCTATACATTTTTTTACCAAGCTTAAACACTTTTCTCATAAAAACATTGTATAGTAAAGTAATTAAATGTTAAGTCGTTCGCTATCATATCCATAGAATGCTTACTTGACATTTGCTTTGTACTGAAACCCCATAATTTACACCCATCCTAAAGTCTCCAGATGAATCGAACTTGATTACTGTACAACAGTTTACGTTTATCGTTGACTATGGTTGCTTAGTGTAATTTTTGTTTCGTTTTCAATGTGATATTTATTCAGGAAAAAATTCATTGCATTAATTCAGTGTAAAATTCGTAACTTCTGAGACTTATTATTCGACTAATATTGTCTATATATTCTTATGGTATAACTATTTGATTAGATTATGTATATCTTATTATAGGCTTTTACTGTTCTTAAGTTATGTCCAGTTTATTGATTGCAGTCTCCCACGTTCACAGCCACTATTTGGTTTGATCTTTTATAAATGTTATTTGCTATTTTATGGTGTAATGTGGTCTATTTGGTTGGTATATGAACCAAGTATGTTTGAAATAAATGATTCGCATAGTGGAAGCTGGTGTCGGTGTTCTGGACTGAACTGGAAGGGCCAGGAGGGAAAAGGACCAATAGGCACGCCGGGCTACTCATACCGGTCGGACACATTAGTTTGGCACGGTACGATGATTGTATAAGTCGTATTTCGATTGACGAATAAATCCCGTGATAACTGACCGGGGTTAAAGACAATGACTTCCCATGTATGTGATAATTACTAACTAATCATCAAGTGTGAGTAAATACAATATGTACATGAGTGTATTCATGAATCATTTCGATTTATTTCAGGGGTTAAATAAGTCCATATTAACAAATTTTGTGTTCTCACTAAGAACCATCGAATTAAGTGTAATTCAGTCTAATATTCCATGTACATAAGAGTGACCGATATGACAGTGAACCAATGTTGATCGACATAATATTAAGCTCAGAAGGGGTTTTGTGGAGGTTGTAGCAATTTCAATAGTTGAGATCATCAGTCGTGGATGCGCACTGCTAAGGAGTCCCACAATAGAACGAAACGGCCGTCCAGTGCTTCCAGGTTTTCCATGGTGGTCTAACCTCAACTGACTCATGTTCTCAACTATTGAAATAATCTTAAGCGCCCGGAACCTAGTTGTAAGTGATCAATAATCATGTAACTAGCTTACTTCTATGGAGGGTCAATATGACCTTTAATTGATTCAACATGGGATTTCTGAAGTTTTCAGTTTTGTTAGTAAATTCGAATGTATTCAACTATATCACAGTAAATTAGTTATCTTGCTGAAAATTCGATTTTAAAAATTACTGAGGGCTATTTTTAAAGATAATACAATGAATAAAATAGATCTTTTCAAGTAAATCGAGCACTTCGCCGGCGGCCATGCCACGTTGAAAGCACCGGTTCTTGTCCGATCACCACAGTTAAGCGACGTTGGGCCCGGTCAGTAGTTGTATGGGTGGCCGGTCGGGAATACTGGGTGCCACCGGCTTTTTTAATAAATTAGCCCCCAGATGCTCTGGCACGGCCGAGAGTGGAGAGAGTTAGCTCTTCCTATCTAACAGCTCTCACATGACCACGTGCATACAACCACTGTCACGGAAGTCCTACTCACTGCCTTCTCGCGGCGACGGGGTTGTTTAAAAAATTGAAAGGACGAAAAGTGAATATCCGGAACTTTGACCGGGTTGGTGAATATAGAGAATCCATCTAGGGGAGTTGGAAAACCCTCACTCTAAACCAATGGCGCACATGGGCTCCAGTATCCTGAAGGAACAAATGGTGTGTGAACCAATCGTTGGTCACCGGCTACCATGTGACCGCATCTGCTAACGTTGCTCCACTGCCTTGTGGGTTAGACCTGTAGGTCAAAGGCGCCGAGTGTGGCCTCCTAAGAAAACCACCTGATTCGGTTTGAGCAGCCGAGAAGTATCCCAGCCCTCACACAAATCGAATGATTTATGTGGCGCATATCTATTTGGTGCCTCCTTGTACCAATGTTTATGTGTTTATATAATAAATAAAATTACTTCATTAGAGGACATCAAGACTTGAATGATGTTGCAAATTAAAGACGGCCACCAACCTTTTGTGTTGATAAGAAGATGGAACATTCGAGGTATTTTGTTCATTTTAGACTGCCGAACCACCATCAAGATCATTGTTGAGATTTTCAAGAAAATTGTCTATGTTTACTATTCGAGCAAAATATCTAGTGTAGGTTGAATCGTGTGAAAAAATATGATGGCTAAAAAGTTTAGCTTTTGATGACTTTCAGATATGTTTAGAGTAATGAAGCCGGAGATCGAACCAGTGTATTTTCAACACATGAGGAGAAATTCGAAAGCAGTAAGATTAACCCACTTTAGATTTTTAAAAATAGTTTCCATCATCTTAGTTCTCATATTTATTAGACGGACATTGTATAGTTCAGCTGGTGACATAAAGGCTATTTATCATCACCCAGTTAAAGTGAATAAATCCCTTAAACATTTAATTTACATTAAAGTACTCCACTTTACTCTGAATCCGGTCGTATAAGACAATGTTGTCTGATTTGTAAATGAAATGTAATATCTCAAAAGTTAGAAAACATAACTCTTTAAATTTAATAATCAGTAATATGAATTCTACATAAAGTTAGTGAATTTACTTGTAATAAATTTAAACCTTGATTAAGTTTCTTCCATAATATCAATATTGGTCCTAATTCTTTACTCCATAAACTTTTATCAAATTTATGTTTAGTATCCATGAAAGGTCGATTAAGTAATCTAAGTTGAGCAATTACACGATTTGCTTCACTTCTTTGCATACTATTTTCAATATTAGGTGATAAATTAAAATATATAGGAAGATCGTGATCAGGCAAAGTATTGATCTGAACAATATAGTCCTGTAATAAGATGAAATTGAATATAGGTATATAATTAGATTCAGTTTAATAAGATGCTTTAGCTTATAAATTTTATTGATAATTAACAATTTTCATTGTAAAATCTATGATTCACTTTTTGCCTGGATTCCATAGTCGATAATCATTTAGGACTAGACAAATATCACAAAAGAGACTGATCGATTGAAGTTTTAGACATCAATGAAAAGATTCAAACAACAATTCCAAACGAATTCGTCGCGACTGTTTTAAGCTCGTCTTTCTCAGTTCTCAAACTCTTCTGTATGAAGACCCTCCAACTGCTAGAGCAAAATTTAAGTGATTTAAATGATTTTTTTGAGGTGAGAGTTTTTTAGTAAGTTTTTTTTTTACAGCATGAGGTTTCCGACCTCATGCTCAGCCTTCCTCCTTTATCCGGGTTCGAGATCGGTAGTAACTCTAGAAGAGCTTCCAGCGGAATAAAAATTAGACCTAATAATTAGATATTAATAATTGATTGGAGAACGAGTGAATTACAAATCAATTTTCTTCAATCATCTGTGACATTTTATCATGCTTATTTTATCATTTTATCACGTAAGAAAAATCTACTTTTCAGGTTAGTGCCTTTGTGTTATATGTCAAAATCATTCAGAGACTTGTACCAATAAAACAATCTCATGAGCAACCATCAATCGGCCACAATTTGTATCATTGTTTATCATCCATTAATCAGTATTCTATTCACTAATTTCATCAATAACAAGTTCATTCATCACATAATAAAATCTTTGTGACTCTTAATTAGTATACCACTTTACCATTGAGATACAACATAGAATTACTTTAAACAAGTTGAGATTAGATGGTGGTTGGAGGTAGTCAACAGGAAACCCTGGACCCGCGTTTCGTGCTAATTGGCACTCGTCAGCAAGGTGTACCTGTAATCTTGAGGGAACTGGTGCTCCCTGGCGGATTCGATCCCATGTCACCCAGCTTCACAGTCAGAGACGTTACCACTGAGCTATCCAAGCCGCTGACGAGTGCCAAGTAGCACAAAACCCGGGTCCAGGGTTTCCTGTCGACTACCTCCAACCACCATCTAATCTCAATATATAGTGCCCGCAGTGTCGAGTCACCTAGACTGGTGGCCACATTGTAACATGATCGATAGCATTCGATCTGCACTAATGAGGACTAGACACGCATGAGATTGATCGCCACCCAGTGATCAATCAATTATGATTACTTTAAACAAGTGTATAGCGTAGAAATAAATTCAATTCATAATTATGATGTTTAATTACAACCTAATAATATTCTCTCTTCATTTCAAAGAACATATCGATAGATCTCAAACCTTCATCATTGATACAAAACATTAAGTTTAAACTAGTTTACTGAATTTTGTTAGATTACATAGATACAAATACATGTCAATGATGGATTAATCAGCTTTACCTTGGAAAATTCAAAAGTGTAAATCCTTTTGATAAACCATTCATCAACAGTACATTTATAAACTTTATTTTGAATACTTTTTACAATACACACTGACTTTGATTCAGCACCATTGAAAATAAGAAAGCATTGAGCAGCTGCTTTACTATTGTATGGGATTTCTCATCAGTTAGCACCCACTAAGGACGGGTATCAAGACATTTAGACCTCATTTAGAAAGCACTACTTTTAGACCTGTGACCCATTTAGTGCAAACTGGTCATAGTGCCAGTATAAACCCATCCTTTTCAATTATTTGTCAGGTCAGTAATTTAGACTTAGTCTTTCAAACGGCTGAATCAGTAGCCATCCTGATGAAGAAACCGGAGGTATGAGTACAAAAAATACCTTCCCTGACCAACCTCAAGTCCAATTAATCAATAGTAATGTTAGCTAGTGAATGACCTAATTTGACTATTGAACTTGCGACCTTTCGTAGTCACAAATCTTTGTATTGTTATCATTGTTACTATTATTATTATTATTATTATTATTATTATTATTATTATTATTATTATTATTATTATTATTAATTAAATATCGTAATTAATCTCCCCAATACATGATTCATTCACTTCACATTCATCTCTCCTTATGACGTCTTACTACTATTTCACACAATATAATCGTCCACCAAATATTTGATCGAATTATTTCTCTCACCCTGTCTGACCCATATTTATTCTGATCATGGATCTTAGATTTTCAATTTAACATTCTATATGAGTCATATCAACATAAACAATTTTATTCTATTTTGTTTGACAATCCTAAATTCATATGCCTTCAACGATGCACTTTACACTTAACCTGGCCATTTTTCGGATTATTGATTTGGACATATAATTGCAGAACCGAAAGAGAATTTATCGAAAAGAATATCCTTCGTTCAAATATTAGTCTTTTTATATGATGGAGATCTTTAAACGATTCAATAACATAGATGATTGGATTAAACCAAAGAGGGAGATACTGTTATATAATAGTATATAAGGTACATGTGCAAATTGTTGCGATTATGATAAACAAAATGATGCCGGCTCAGTGGTTTAGTGGTTAGGCGCTCGTGCGCGAGACTGGTAGGTCCCGGGTTCACATCTCGCGAGGCGGGATCGTGGATGCGCACTGCTGAGGAGTCCCACAATAAGATGAAACGGCTGTCCAGTGCTTCCAGGTTTTCCACGGTGGTCTAGCTTCAATTGACTCATAATCTCAACCATTGGAAAGTAATGAAGTTGATAGCAATTATCAAACAAAACCATTAATGGGGTAATCATATTAGTGGTGATAATAACATTACTAATCATTGTAATACTGGTAGAGGGTACGAGATGAACGGAAGTGGTCGAATGTTTAAATTGATAAAAGGTCAAACATTTCATTGAATAATGTGAAAATAATAAAACTAGTTATCATAACAGTAAATTATAAATGAAATATAAACTAGATCAAATTGAACAATTGAAATGTTGTGGCAAAATACAAATGAAGTTAAACAAATGAAACCGGGGAAATAAATGAAGGGAAGTATGGCGGTGAATCGGTCATGATATTAATGATAAATGGACTGCAAGCTCTTTTTGTAAAAACTAGACTAAAATGAACAATGAAAGGGTTATTGTGTTTAAATAAAGATGAAATCAGATAGTGTGCACATCACTCAGAAGTCTTATACTAGAACGAAAAAGTTGATCAGTGCTCCATGGTTTTCAATGGCATCCCAGTTAAGATCAGTCTGTGATAAAAAATAACATAGTAATTCTCTTTTTGACACCTAAATTTCACATACAGTGTTTGATACAATTTGAGATTTATTCATCAGGTACTCATGTATTAAGTACAGGTTTATGCACTCGACTTACAGCTATATTCTTTGTGTGACAGTTAGTATTACTACCCAGGTGCCATAATGGAATTAAATGAAGTAAAGTTCGAGCTTGGGACCTATTAGTTGGGGGCCTAGTCTTTTAATTTCTAACTTAGCACTCCATGACACACGATAGTACTAGTAGTGTGATACTCATGATAACAATAACAAGTAATTATACTCGGATTAATTTTTCAATCGGTAGTTGATACTGAGTCAAATATAAGTGTATGCTAAATAAAATATTAAAATTTACTATTGTTTTGTTCTAGATAAAATACTGTTTAAGTGTATAATGAGAAGAGAGAGTCTATGCAACATCGGGGAGAGGAACAAGTTCCCCCAGTAATCTCAATAGATAATAATCATCTGATTTTCGTGGAACTAACAAACGTCAAAGAATTGATATCCAAATGGAAAAGACCTCACAAACTAATACGCCAACTTTCACAAGCAGAGAAACATAAGAGCAGCTCAATGTTTAAAGTAAATACTAATTGCCATGTATCCCTACAGGATTGGTGCATTTATAATAACTGAAAAAAAAGAATTTTTCAGTTTAATCCAATATGCTCACCTGGTCAACCTTTCCCTGGAAAATGCAAAAAGTAATGGTCTACTACTTTATGGTGGTTGTTAACTCATTTCTTATTAAAGTGAACATATTTCTTTTTTTAAATTATATGTATAGTTTGTAGGACACCTGTGGACTTAAGTAAGAAACAGGATACCTATCAGCACAGGAGATGAGATCAAATACCCAAGGGGTTAACAAGTCGGACTGTTGATTCCACTTTATCTGTCAATACTCAAAAAAAGAAAACTAAAAAAAAGAAATAGATAATCAATAATTCGTACTTTTAATTCAATTGTACCAGGTAGTTTGAAAGGACCAAGTTGACGATTTCTCACTGTATCATCGTTAAATATTGAAGTTAGATATGAATTTAATACACTTAAGTCCACTGTATTATCCATACGACCACCGTAAATTGATTCACCAAATAAACCATGAATCCACGACCAAATATCTTCAGTTGTTCTAGATATTTGACCATGATCTTTCAATAATAACCGATCGATTAAGTCGGCTGCAGCACGAAGATCTGCAAATGTAAACTCGTAAAATTTCGTCCATCCCTAAATAGAGAAAAAAAAGTAATCTAGAAAGTTTCCTACATTGTTAAGTGATTTTTTATCAACATGAAATTTCCTTTTTCTCCATAATTCCAGAATCTGGATTGGGTGAAATAAGCTAGAATCTGACGGTGTAATATCAGTTCCCTACAGACTATGAACAAATATTGCAAACAGGTGTCAAATAGCATAGAACTTAAGTCCACTGATTCTAGATAACAGCTTTAAACCATTCAAATCTAAAACAAACTTCACTGCAATCTGATCGCTACGATTCAACCAAGGAGTAGACAATATGACGTTAATTACTACTGCTTAGTGATCAATTGGTAATAATACCAGCATACAATTCATTTTGTAATACAGTGAAATAAAGCCTATTTCCGTCTTGTTTTGATAGACTTAGATTTATCTCAACACGTTTTACGTTACATGAAAGAACCTCACACATTATTTATTTAAAGAAATTTATATGATTTTATGCCTTCTATTTTCAAAAAGCCGGAAAATTTGAAATATGTATGCAATTATCGATGTTAAAAAAAGGTATTTTACAGTTGGATAGCAAGAGTATGCAATATGGCCGCTACAAAATTGTAGTAATGTTACAATCTCATTCAATGTCGTTATTAAGACGGCTATCAATATCGGTAGTAGATGATGATTGGATTGTATCGTGAATTGCGTGATGATGGAATTGCGAATTATTGAATCCCACCACCCTTACAGAGAGACTCGAATGTCCTTGGTTTGGTCCCTGGTAGGGTTATGGTTGTGCATTGTTTAAGAGTCTCGAAACTTTGTGAAACAGATGTTTCCTGCTCCCCAGCTTGGAATAGCTTTTTGATTCAAGTCTTTTTGTGATATCAACCATCTTCAAATTATGTTTCAATTAATAGAAAATTTTCGTTGGTTTAAAACACATGAATAGGTGAACGAAGATTACTTTTCCAAAAGTTCTCGTTAGTTTACAGTAAGAAATAGTCGAAGTTTAGGCAAATATATTTTAAGGAAAAGATAGCGTATGAAGTCGGACGTTCATGAGCACAGAAAACCATATTTGAGGACATACATCAATGTTAATTAGAAGATTAGACAACATTACAAAGAAGGCTTAATTTAATTGGAATACAATAAGTGTTTCCTACGTATCCGATGGTGATACCTAAAAGGAATACCTAACCTAGCATCTCCTTCAGATGCATATCCTAAGGAATAAATTACACTGCAAATTTACATTTCTGTTCTCATGAACATGTAACAAACTGATTACGCAGAAGTGTAGTTAAGATAGTTTTTAGTTTAACCTTAACTTATTCAGTACAAAAGCACCATATGGAAAAAAATTACCATTCCTTTTCAATAATCTACACTGTTCAAAAGAATCTAACAAAAAGTAGTCAGTTTCCAAACCTTTAAAATAGTTCAGCTATACAGTTTAGAAAAACCTCGGAACTCTGCACTCAACATAATTAGATTCCACAAGTCAGTGATCTTTATTAAATGGTAACTTAATTCTCTGAAAGTACACATTCCCTCCTCTAGTGATCGCAACGTAAATTTATCTGATTTATAGATCTAGTTTAACTATCTTGCTGCTAAGTATTTAAACAAATTAGTTAACACCTACTCAGTTATATCATCTTTAACTGAACTAATAACACTTAATAAGTTACTTAATCGCCAACAAGTAATATGGTTATTAATTTTCCAATTATTTCTACCCCCACTCTGATTATTATGAAATCGTTTTATTTGACTTTCAAACTAATTTAGCTACACATTACACAGAATTTATTTTAACGCTTATAAACAACTAAAACTGTTTTAATAACAACATTGATTATTCTGTCTTAGCGACCTTGATGCCCAAACTAAGGTCGAACGGTGACGAATGTTACCAACATATTAAACCGATAACCACAACCACACTTTTCTTAAAATATAGGACAATCTTCGAAATCGCTTATTAGTTGCTAAGATCTACACGTAACTAATTTCTATCTACCTAAGCTATACTCGATTTATATATAGTTGAATGTACGTAGAAAAACATAAGCTAGCGATTTCATAAGGTGTTTTAAAGTATTAAAATGTGTTCAGAAAAGAATACTCACCTGTGGGATATAAGTTCGTCTTTCTTGCACAACAGCATGAAACCAAGCTAGGCATGCAAGTAAAGTTGCTCGAGTCTTTGAATTTCCTTGAGATATATAGTTTCTTGGCCAAGTTTCATAAGTTCTTTGTAGATTCCGTTTTAATCCAGGTGGAGCCTAAGAAGAAATAAAATTAACTGAATATTAGGACGCATTGGAATTTATCCTAATCTTTTTTTGTAATTAAGTAGATAAGACCGGTTCATTACATCTATATAGTATTATCCATTCCAATAAATTCGTCAACATTTAGAGAAGGCGCAAAGATAAGCATTTAACTGGGTAATATCATGGACTGATATAAGAAAAGCAAGATCATAACATGATCTATCAGAACTAAGTTCAGTCCAGTAAGGATTTACTGATGTCGACTTTTAAGGAAAGCTGAACGATGGTTAAACATCTCCCCAATGCTACTTAATTTTTAATGATTTACCAAATGATCTTATTCTGTGAATAAAATTATCTTCAAGAATACAAACACGTATAGTTAATGATTTCCATTGGACAATAAATCTGTGATCAGGATCAAAACATGATTTTCAATCTACATATTGGGAGTCAAGATGTAAGTTAATTCAAAAGAGCGTTCAGTAACCAAGTTCATTTACCATTTAAATGTGTATGTTTATTAGTAGTTTGTACTAAAAAAAACTATATAATCTAAGATGTCAAAGGTTAAAATATTTGGGGACAATAAAATACAACGTATTAACCGGTGACGTGAATTTTTATAATAAAAGCAAGAAATATTCAATAATGTTATATCGCAGCGAGAATTATGAATGGTTGCTTTGGAGAACTATTCATGGACAAATATTATAAGTATATTATTAATATATAACTATTTCGTAGCTAGATTATGTATATCTATACTCCTCTTATTAAATGCTTTATTTTGACCCATAGACTATTATTATACGATTTACTGTTTTTGAGTTTATTAATTACAGTTTCCAACATCCACAGCCACTTTTAACTAGATCTTGTACAAATGTTATTTTCTACTTTATGGTACGATGTGGTTTGTTTAGTTTGTGTATAAACCTAGTATGTTTGAAATACCTGATTTATATCGAGGAGGCTGAGATTAGTGTTCTGGACTCAACAGGCAGGCTTAGTCAGGAAGAAGGACTCATAAAGACTCTAGGCTGCTTGTACGGGTTTTATGCATCATTGGTCCGGTCGACAAATCACTGTTCTCTAATCGGCTTATCATCACGCAATTTATTAATAGGACAATAGGCCACAAGATATAACAGTAAGCCATTTAAACGGAATAATATATAGTTTTTCAGATGGAGATGGCTCAATTTATATATTTTTTCGTCTGGAAACGATGAAGCAAATTTTTAGCTCAGGTAGATGCTTTTTTGCCCGGTTACCCAAACTGGATCAGGTGGTTTTCTTAGGAGGCCACACTCAGCGCCTTAGACCTAAAGGTCTAACCCACAAGGAACTGGAGCAACGTCAGCAGATTCAGTCCCATGGTAGCCCGTGACCAACAATAGGTTCATATACCATTTGTTCCTTCAGGATACTGGGGCCCATATGCGCCATTGGTTTAGAGTGAGGGTTTTCCAACTCCCCTAGGTGGATCCTTCATATCCACCAACCCAGTTAAAGCGCCGGACATTTGCCTTTCGTCCTTTCAATTTGTTAAACAACACCCACGCCGCGAGAAGTCAGTGAGTAGGAGTTTTCGTGGCAGTGGTTGTATGTGAGAGCTTTTGGATAGGAAGAGCTGACTCTCCCCACTCCCACCCGTACCAGAGCATAAGAATAAAAGTAATTAGTCGTTTCATTTAGAAGTAAGTGCAATCAATTGAATAAAATTCTTATTCTATACACTTGAATAATTTTCACAAGCCTTTTATGTTAAACTTAGTCAAATGCTAATTGACGAATAATTTTGATAGAAATTTCTGGAGTTCTAGTGAGGGTCGGTAACTGAAGAAACTGAAAATAGTCTAAGGTTGAAAACATTGATCAATGGATATTAACTCAATAATTTCAAAATAACACATTCATCTCGCAAACTAAAAGCTTTGTGTTAGATCCTTGACAGAGTAGTAGGTGAGTACTAGTTGTGAAGTCATGTACTAGGACATAGAAATTATCTAATACTCCATCATTTTTAATAATCATCTGGTTAAAATCAGAGCGAGATCATGAAGCGATTGATGCTAGACCACCATTGAAAACCCGGAAGCACTGAATGGCCTATTGTCGTCCTATTGTGGGACTACTCAACTGTGTGCATCCATGATCCCGCTCAAATTCAGGGCCTTCGGTCTCGCGTGTGTGAACGCTTAGCATCAAGACTACCGAGCCGACATCCAACGGTGTTAATGTTTAACCTCAACCAATTCACAATATTGCGCGACCACAACCCAATACTGATAAAACCAAATCATTACGTAAACTGTATCATCATCAGAAAAAGAATTATTTACAATAAGGAAATATGAAAAAATTTTCAGCTCACTTCATAAGCTATTTTAAGGCAACTTTGTAATAATGTAGATGGAAATGTGGTACGTGGTTCTGCAGTTAACCATAATCTGAAATCTTCATGTACACAATGTTCAGTATCAATAGATTTATTAATTGTACCATTATCATCATTATCATTATTACCATTATTGTTAGGACTAATTGAAATTTTCTTATTGATATTCAACAATGTGTTAATTTCTTTCTCCAGTACTGGTAGCCAATGTATAACAAGGTGTAAATTTTTCAAACATAACCAATCACCTTGTTTTGCAGCTAAATGTAGTTCTTTTATGGCTAAGTCGGTTTGACCTTGACCCATAGCAATTTGACGATAATGTGATGAGGTTGTCTCTGATGTTTTATTAAATATTTTACGTGAGAAATGAAGTGTAGCTGTTTCAGATAATTCTTGTGATGGATCAGCTCCTGGACTAATTAATATTAGAATAGGTTCTGTTGATCTTGTTTCAGTTTCAAATAATCTGTGTAAATTCAAAGTTGATGGACTTAGTTGAGGTAAGTCTAAAAATAGAGAAATTATATCGATCAAGAAGTTGCCTTTTTAATTGATCAGATTACATACAGTTATTTAGATTGAGGAGTGTACGAGGACATTTAACTGAGGTTTTGAAAGCACAAAATGGGTGAGTACATGTTACTTTGTTCTTTTAAGGATAATGCTCGCAAGTGCCAGATATCGCATTCCCATTTAATAGTGAAAACGAATGGTTATTCTTACATATGATATAGTTGTTTTATGATTTTATATACAGTGGAAACGTTAAACTCATTAATTAATTACTGCTATATCTTTTACAACTCAGAAGTTACATAACAATGAACTATAAATCTGTAAGTCAAAGCTTGAAATATAAAAGTTCCAGTTATGTAATCCACCTGAGAATTATAAATTACGGTATATTGTAATCATGTATTTCATTCATTAATAATCAAATGGAATTATTCACTTGAATTTTTTGTGTTTTAATTGGAGATTTGGGAACATGGGAGTCTGCGAAGCCTAATTATTATACGGTGAATATATATACAAAGTTTTCGAATTAAGTGTTAGAGGAGTAAGTAGAAAATGCAATATGATAATTATCCGATTAGGTGGAACTCAGTTGTTAGAATTTTGCATCAGTTTCGTTCATTAGTGTCTAAAAACGCACTGTCGTCCATATAGCGTCGTTATAGTAACTGATAAGTAGAGAGATGATATCATGGATATGGTACTCAACTTTCAACCATTTAGTCTTTAAGTCCATACTCTATTCCACGTACTTTGATCTGCATACTCCAATGAGATACTGATAGATAACGCGTAATATATTGCCAGTCAGACCTGTGACCTATTTCACGAATTTACACACTAACTAATTCACAGCAAGAAATGCCTTAACGCTTGTCAACCCTTGAACCCTTTTTAACTTAGTAGTCAATCAGAAGATGATGACTCAAAACGCATACAATAATATACTGTTAATACCTGGCCACACAGCAAAGTGAATGGAAAGTCACACTTTAAGCATGATCATACTATAAGCGGTAAAGAGCCGAGCAAACAGCACATAAATACTTAGTAATAACTAGAGTTTAGTAAAACGAACAATAACAGTCCATGCATTCAATGAAGGTTTACAATAAGGGTAATATATAAATACAGCTCCACAGTCACTTACTTATTACACAATAAAGATGTAAGTAATAATAATCTGAAAAATAGCTCCGAGAGATTCAACTTCTCCAATATCCGTTCTGTTACACCACTCATCTTGTTCGATTGCCAAACAGTTGAAATATAACACAAGATGAATCTTAACCTAGCCATTGTGATTTTGTATAAATGTTGTTCAGTGAGAATAGATAGGTTTGTTGTAGCCTTAATTATACGAAAGTTATAATAAATACTTCCCCTGTGTGTTCAAAAACAATTTGTACTAACACTAAACCTAAACTGCTAATATTGATTAATTATTCAGAGTGATGTGGTTGCCCTGTTATCCTTAGTTTTCTTATCTTCCAATTAGTCTAGTTAACCTTCTATTTTCCATATGTAAATATCTTAACAAGCAAATGACTGATCAGAAGGTTATTCGAAATATGTTGCACTAGTTTGTCATACATGGTTATAATAAACTTCATCTTATCATTGGATTATCAAAATTAACTTACATTTGGTAAATGAGTTACAGTAATTAATTGACTGATAACATCGAGAATAAAAGTAGGAATGGTATGCCGTTTATATAACTAAGAAATAAGGACAATTACATACAATCAAACCTCTTTTATAGTTTGCTAAACTTTAGGAGATTCATTTCTGCCTAGCATCAATCTACATAAACGTTTATTCCCGAGCGAGTAATATATCTGGCAAACACATCAATCACTCCTGTTTAGTTATCGAATACTGGTGACATAAACAGTGGATTACAGCTTTTCGCTTTGTTCAATAGTATAAATTATATTTGAAGATAAATATTATAAGCTGATACTTTCCATGAAACGATTCTATCAATTTTGATCAAGCTTTAGAGTGGTAACCGAATTTAGAATGATGACCAAAACATGGTTTAAGCAATTCAACAACTCTTAGGATCATTGGTATGCGGGTGACACTGGAATCCTGAACATGCGTTTCGTCCTAATTTTTACTCATCAACCGGACATACCTGCATCCCTGTGTTGATGTTCACATTAAAGCTCGAACCCAGTACTTTGCATCAAACCCCTAGTCTATTATCTATTAATCCCTTGAATCAAGATAGTCACTAGTTTTTTCCAATGAGTATGAAGGGATTAGTAAGAGTGTGTACTTTTGATTGTTGGTATTTAGGTCTGTAACTGATCGGTTTTTGCTGCCATAAATGGTCCTGAGAGGATTGCCTTGACGCAACACTCTGTTATACTATTCAAAAACACTAGTGTGTTTTGCTTTTCGATTGAATAATGGTTATCGAACTGCCAGTTCAACTAACAACCAAAGGATTGTGTCAAATAGGTTTTTAAAATTATATATTTACCTAATGTCCGACTAGCAAACTGTGACATAGCAGAATATAAACGATCAGGTCGAAGAGCTTGAACTACAAGAACTGTGAAATGAAAAGCTGTCAATGATTTGGATTGTAGATTCTTAGGCATTGGTTTCATTTCAACATCATTCTCATGTAACCAATTTGTCCAAAATTGAGAATCTTCAAAACATAGATTTTCATAAATATTCGGAAGTGCAGTCTATCAAAAAGAATTAGTTTAAACGATAAGAAAATTGGACAAAATGTAAAAAGAAAGAAATTTCATTAAACACCGAAACCGAAGTGACTATGAGAAGTATTTAGATCTGAGCTTTTATTGTTGTGAAATTGATATACCAAGTGCCACAGGAGAATCGTATGATCAAAATTATTCCGAAATTACGTGTTTATTTGTGAAGTACTAATTTAAAACAACTACTCCCTTTGATAAATCTCGGTAATACAATGTTTCGCAATGGAGGATGATGTCTGTTTATCATGTGATCTTATTTGACCATTGTAATTCATTTGCTTCTGCAGTAATTTTGGTATGTGTTCACCCACCGTTAATTGTAAATCATGATTGCTCCTCCCTATGTACGTATTTCCGCACATACATGTAAACTGATAAACACAATAGGATGTGACACGATCGCTTAGGTGTTGTTTGGGCTTTTGGTGAACCATAGACCTTGTCTTTTCAATAATGAAAAGTTGGGCAGCATAAAATGTCCGGTTGATGGCCAATTTAAGTCTCCGTTTCAACATGAGACTATTTGTGTAGCCTCTAAGATTGTTCGAAATGGATTGCGCAAGCATATCACATAATTCCGATAAACTTCGTTCCTTAATGCATTATCGAAGTACTAATTGTTTACTTGAAGAAAAGCTGCTTCATGCAGTATGAAGTTATGTCCACACAATGTACTAAACTGATTTGGCAGATGTTTCTGAAGATCATGAATTGTATGATGCAAGTAACAATACGAAGATAATAAATAAGGATCTATTCAACCTCATAAATACATGAATACACCACTTTTTATATGATTTATTTGCAGTTAGATTAATAATCCGATTCGTATGAATTAAAACAAGCAATATTTAACACCCATTAACTAACGGATTAAGTTATGTAATTATTTCTTTTCAGAATGCGATTATATGTCACAGATGATTGGGGAAAATCAATTTAATATGTCATTCACACTCCAATCGATTTAGATATTTGTGGTGTTTGAATGAACTAATGATAACTTTGTACTTATTGAATGCTTGATTTCGAATTAGAAGTACAGTACATTCGTTTGTGGTTATCTAATGCTTCTTGATTCAATAAAGTTATTTCTGGGATTCTTAGTTCATACTATAATTCAAATACTTCCAAATATCATAGTATTGCTTATCATATCAAAAGTTATAGCAATGTAAAATAAAATTACTATTAAAAAATCACCTAGTGATTCACATATGATATGTTACTTCCCTTTCAACATTCATACTTAAATACTTAACGGATATGTTTGATTGGTGACTTAAAAAATCAACATACAAAATAACCAATCTGGCAGAGAAGCCACTGAAAATGTCAGAAGTATTTACGATCTTATTATTTAAGTTATACAAAAGTATCTGAGATGAACTGCAACATTTTCAATATTTATTAGGTATATTGTTATTTCATTGTTCATTTAGTGAATACAGTACTTGATACTTGAATGTAATTTTCATTTAAGATTTCATTTCAACACGTCACTTTTCTTATAATTATATTTTCAATCCAATACTTGAAGACATGTTATTTATTTATTTATTTATTTTAACACATAGATATTGGTACAAAGGGGCACCGAATACATATGCTCCACACAAATCTCATTTGATATATGTTAGGGCTGTGATACTGCCCGGGTGCCCAAACCGAATCAGGTGGTTTCCTTGGGAGGCCACACCCGGAGCCTTCGACATAAAGGTCTGATCCACAACGTCAGCAAATTCAGTCCCATGGTAGCCCGTGACCAAAAATAGGTTCATACGCCATTTTTTCCTTCAGGATCCTGGAGCCCATGTGCACCAATGGTTTGGAATCAGGGTTTTCCAACTCCCCCAAGTGGACTCTCCATGTCCACCAACCCAGTTAAAGCGCCGGATATCCGCTTTTCATCCTCTCAATTTCGTAAACAACACCCCCGCCACGAGAAGGCAGTGAGTAGGACTTCCCTGGCAGAGGCTATATACGCGTGGCTATGTGAGAGCGTTTCGAGAAGGAGAGAGGACTCTCCCCACTCTCGGTCGTACCAGAGCATTTGGGGGCTGAGGATATACTACACTGAAAATATAACATACAGATATAAATAACTTCAGCTTCTTGAAATGACATGTTAAATATAAATGATACTGTCATAACACAGTATTCATATTACTAAATGAACGGAAGAAAAAAGACCGGAACTACTGAATATGATGCACTTATTGGATAATCAAAACCTGGAGATTAGTTTCAGCCTCCAAAGCTAATCATGAAATTTTATGAGATGTATGGAGACATTTGACACTGTAGTATGAATTTATCCTAATTTTTCTTTTAAGAAAAAGATTTGAAACTTGGTATGAAAATAACTTTAAATTTTTCTAATTTTGGTTAGGCGAATGAAATCTTATTGATTTTATTACATTTATGATAATAAAAATAAGTAAAGACAGAATGTCTAACAGAAGGAAACTACCATACAAATCTAATTACCGTTTAGACAACTGAATTCAAGTAATAATGTCTGCTTACTAGTGATTGATTAACATCAAGATGGATTTCAAAAAGTTCTAAGCAAAAGCTAATATATTAACCATACCTGGGGTTAAAACAGTTACTGATATAGATGACATTGAATGATAGTCTGTTCTTATCATTAATGGAATGAGGTGAAAAATATGAACCAGCGGATCTCGACTTATTAATCGGACAGTGTTGTATTAAGCAAAAGTTCTGATTGTGATAAATTTGACCTTATGCGAGATTGTATGTCCACATTGCTACCAAGTTCTAAAGGAGGACCGAGTAGCTGTCTACCTGACTTTCTAGCTTATGAAAGTTTATGAGGTAACATGTCTTCAAATATAGATTAGAAGTTAACTCACAATTCATAATTACTACTTCGTACTCGAATCAAATGGTTTAGTGTTGCATAAATATTCAATAAATGGAATGTTATGTTAATTACTTAGAAACTTTCTTTCTACGAACTAATTCTTTCTTCCTGTACCATATCCTTATTTCAATCTTTCTTTTATATGTTACCACCTCTGAATTAACTACTTTTATGAATCCGATGTCCATCTTGTTGTATTAATGAGGTATGGCAACTTGGACCGATGCATATATGTGCCTGGTCCTACGTTGTAGCTGACTGACTGACTACTTAGAAACTTAAGGTAGATTGAAAATTATGTATTATATAACCAATGAATTCGTATACAGTCAAACTCTGCATAAGAGTGAAATGAAATAGTTTATATCCTAAGAAGAATGGTTTTAAAAAAATTCTTGAGGAATTACTTTAAGCTTCAACAAGTTACGAGCTCGTTCAGCATCTAACCAACTGTAAAGCTTCTCACCAGTATGACATGATTCTATGACATTTAATCCAATAAAAAACAGCCATTCCTTGTATTTTAAAAAAAAGTAATAATCAAAATCATTATAAATATTTAAAAGAGGAGAAATTGTTGGAAACAGTGAAATATAACAGATTATATCGTTACTTGTTAAATACTACTAATATGGATCATTATTAGTAGACGTGAAAAAATATTTAAGAAAATCGACTGACTACAAAATTAAGCGTAGGTTGATTCAATACAATTACAGTTATAAGTAAATTAAATATCAATGATTCATGTAAATACAATCATCACACATTACAAGGAAACATTTCACTATGTATGCTCAAAAATGACTGGCAATGATATAATTTACTGAATATCAGTAAGTAATATATATACACTCAAAATGAGCTAAGTAAGGATAAAATGAGAATACAAATCACACATAGAATTAGTCATCGGTGTTCTTTTTGTCAGCAGTTTAAACATATGATTAGTAAAGCAGGAGATTTCCAAGTCAATATCTTGATTCATGCCATATCAGATAACCTATTCTGTTGTTGAGCCAATCAACATTAGCCATCTTCATAGCAATTTCATATTTTTGTAAAACCAACATAGAGTTGCATGTTAAAACAAGTAATGAATTATTCATAGTCACAGACAAGGTTTGTTTTGTTTTGTTCAGTGGATCAGTAGGGTATTAGGTTTCATAAGTTAGCAATTATATTTGTTGAGGACCAAATTATTGTCAGTATAAATCCGTTTCGATTATCGTATTATAATTAGTATAAAGGCAGAATAGTAATGCTTTCTGCTTGTGACAAGATACTACTATAATACAGCAATAAAAAAACCGGTGACCGAGATTGTACGTGATCGACAGATACAGTCGGTCTAGGATTTAAATAACCGTCCGAACAATCTTTAAAAACTTCGAATGATATAAAAATAGATTTCTCAAACTAGATTTGATCTGACTGGTAAAATTTATTGAATTCAAAGCCCATGAGATCACCAAGCATTTACATTTTCGAAAATAAAATGACTTCTGGAAGACCAGAATAATATTGGCCAAAGAAGCTACCTCGTAATTGTTCCTATTATTTGAATTGTATCCTTTGATAGTTACTACTTATTATTACAAACTGCCTTGTTCCACATTATATTTTCGGTACATTAGTGGGATTCTGAGCACAATAGCATCCGAGCCTACCAGAATCCAAATCTGGAATCTCCTAATCTGTAGTCAGGCGCGTTATCCATTGCACCACAGTCCCACAATGAATGTACATATGCTAAATTGTATTTTTCTCTCCTATTACTTCACGTAATTATCATTCCACTTTGTATTGGTCATTCTTTAGGGGTCCAATTTATATGAAACCAAACTATCCGGTTAGATAATTATCAAGATAATGATATGCAACGATGTATTTCCAGTAGTGGTCTCCGTTGAAATCAACAATAAATTTTTGTTTTAACTTAATCCCTCCTTTTCAATAGAATGCAAATACAGAAGAGGTAACAGATAGTTGTAAACAACCACATATAAATTCACACACACGGACTCATCATTAATCTAAAAGAAAAAATTACGCAAAAAAATCGTTATCATACTTCATCTGTTAATGATTGTGGACGCATTGTACGAACCATGTGTAATGCAAACATTAAACGATCTGGTTTAAATAATGCTCGACAGACATTTTCATAAACTAATTTTTCTATATACTTTTGCAATGACTGAATACGTTCCGACGTCTTCAGTTCAGTATTCTTTTTAAAACAAAAAAACAAAATTTACATACAATAACATACATGTGGAGATTTGCATATCAGGTGAATGCATTCAATGAGTTTAGTTTAGTTAGGTTCTGTGAGCTGAATTATTTAATTAAAGAGCTTTTATTGTCTTGTTGGACAACCTTATCAGAGCATACATTATGCAGAAGTGAATTTCTTAGATATCCTACGTATGGTGTGAGCTACTTATATCCACATAAGTAGTATATAAGGATAGTCAGGAATATAATGTATTTCAGTAGAAGATAGAGAAGGAAAGAACGGGAGCGGAAAGCAATTGGCATGAAAATACAGGGACAATTAAATCTGAGACGATGGATTGATGTTTGCAAAAGAAACAATCAAGTTTGAGACAAGTGGTTGATATTTTGCAAATTAAGTGTTTACTTCATGGTTCTCAGATTTTAGTAAGATATTCAGTAATTTCGAGTTATCATGCATTGGGTTGTCCCCACCTGAATTCTTGTTCACTTATCATAAATCAGTTTGTTTCTGTGATAAGATAGCGAAACCTATGAAGATAACGAGTCACAAACTAGGACACCAGTAATCTCTTTTGTTAAACCACCTAGATCATAAAGATTTGACTATATGTATACTAAAACCATACATCATATACATCATTTGCATATCTTTGAATTGTCGCTTAAGAGCTTCATTGTTCCTTCATTAATGTTGTTATCTTGATTGCTTACAGTTTCCTTCTCTCTTCTCTACATTCAAATCTCAACCTTATCCTCGTAGACATTCCACTTCCGACTGGTGTTATGTGCTATTTATATCTGCAAGCATAAGTAGCACACACCACACATATATACATATATGATTGAATTATAAATTGCAGAATATTCTAAACCCAAAAAATACGATGTCATAGGAAATTACTACTATTCAAATAATTTAGCAACTCCATATAGTTAAAGAGATTTAAAATGTGCCTGTTTAAATGAAGACTTAAGTTGTATAAATCCTTTTTTAGTACCTAGTCAATTAATGTAACTCACATAATCCATTACAAGTTCATGCACTCGATTTTGAGCTGCACAATTTCCGAGAAGACTTATGATACTATCCGACTAAGAGTGGGATTCAGACATGAGGTTAACTGGTTAAAAACCGTAGTTAAACAACCAGGCTAGTGGTTTTCTAGTACTAACCTCATTATTCTCTAATGTCTATATATATATACAATGAAAACTATAGCAATTATTATTTGCAAAATCCAAATATCCATGGTAGATAGTAATGATAATAATACTGGCTTTATTCAGTATTGTACAATCGGTTGCAGTAAATGCTTCTCAGGGGAAAATGATGCATAGCTGTAACAAAATCTCTGACTTATTTTCAACAGTTGAGATCATGAGTCAATTGAAATCAGGCCACCATGGAAAACCTGGAATCACTGGACGGCCGTTTCGTTCTGTTGTGGAACTCCTCAGCAGTGCGCATCCAGGACCCCGCCTCGCGGGATTCGGATCTAGGACCTATCAGTCACGCACCAGGTGTTTTATTTATGTTTATTTAAACTGTGAATGTTCAAATACATTCTTAGGTGTCTTTAAAAGAACAATTAGCTGCCTTTCATTTTCATCTGCAAAAGATGTTGATCACTTCTTGATATTGTGCATTGAATGCACAAAATTCAAAATAATCTCTCTTCCTTTGTTCGAATAAGCAAAATACGATAAACCACTGTATCATTTTCCATTAAGTATTTAAATATTAGAGATAGCAATGTATAAACTTCCCATCTATCATCATATCTAGATATCCAACAATATTCTCTGTCCATTTTAGTCTGAATTATATGAATAGTACTATATTGACTGAGTAGCCGGTTCAAACGAATTCAATCACATATTATTATCTTTTGTTTTAATTACGAAACTAGTTTAAATTGCTAAGCTATTTGAAGCGTATTAAAATAAGAGAGTCTAAATTCTTTGTTTAAGTCAATTCTAAATGTACCCAAACGATTTTATCATATATCGGATATTCATTATCCAAAATTGTATTCCGTTAGTTTCTGACCTAGTGGGTTTACTCTCGCCTTATCACGCTAACTGTTACGTAATGATTCAAACTTATAGCTGATATTCATTTTTAGATAATGCTAGATAAAACAGGAACCAATCTGATTCATGTAAGTGACACAAAACACAAATTTGGCTAACAGTGTGTTATACGCATTATTTCGGTAACAGATATATACTAAACTAGTGTTTATGCTACGTCAAATAAACAGCCTTTAATTTACTAATTGATCTCCTTATCTAATAGAAGTGTACGTTTTAGCGTATGATAAAAATAATTTTCACTACCTGGACCCGTCACTGATCAATGGAGTATTTATAAAACAAATGTTTGCTGTAAAACAACTAATTTATACTTCATAGGTTGGTAAGTGATGAGTGGGTGAGAATAATAATGATTAGTTGTTTGCTTAGTTAGACTAGTAGATAGTCTGATGGGTACTAGATGAGTTATATATTCTCCTACCCTTATTATTATTGGATTGTTGTCGGTTTTAGGTGTGGAAATATACTTACGTTCTAGTCAGGCTATTCACGTGTTCTTGATCTGAATTGTGTTGAAGTCCTGTAGAATAGACACTGGAAGGGTATCTAGTGTAGATATTCGTCTAAGGCAAATTAACGTCTCATCCGTGTAGACGAGGAAAACCGAGATTCATAACAGTAAGTATAAGAACCTAAACTTTGTAATGGCAGGTTAAAATTATATTTTCGTTAGTGTCAACAATTATTTTTAATAGTGGAAATCATGAGTCAATTGAAGTCAGGCCACCATGGAAAACCTGGAAGCATTGAACGGCCGTTTCGTCTTAGTATGGGACTCCTCAGCCATGCACATCCACGATCCCGCCCCCCGCGAGAGTCAAACCCAGGACCTATCAGTCTCGCGCGCAAGCGCTTAACCACTAGACCACTGAGTTAGCCGATATCCAACGGTGTTAATGTTTAACTTCAACCAATCTATGAAATTGAGTCGTCTATTTGATTTAAAAATCTTTGTACACTCATTTCCCAAAATTATACAATCACACTGACTTCTGGAAATTAAAGTGTTGTAAAACCAATCTTTTGCTTTACAGACAATGGCCATCGTTCTTTAGCAATGAACAAGACAAAGTTATTGATGACTGTACCAAGTTTGAAACCCATAGATAATTTATGTATGGACGAGAGGAAGTTGTGATTGGTTATTTCCTAGACAGATTGGTGGATAGTCTGAAAATCATTTGATGTGTCATATATGAACACACCCCGTGTACCTACTGGATTGTTGGCTGTTGATTTTTGGCTACTAAGTGTATTGGTGCGAGTTGTGTTGGATGGGTCTCTAGTAAAGATCGAGCGAATCGTATACACAGATAAATGGTTCACTGTTCACCCTAAGCAATTTAGTATCCCAGAAATACAAGCGTTATTTCAGTGATGGAATTTTATGATTGTACCGTAGAAATTTACAATAGTTAGTAATGTTAAGTAGCTTCTCTTGACGTAACCACTTGGGATTTTTAGCATTTGTTTTTATCAAAATACCAGTTGAGCATATTGACAAATTTATCCTATGTAGATGTTCAATAACATTTCAAGTTTAGAGATAAACAAGTCTTTTGATCCTACCCGTAAGTATTACTTTCTTTGCATTCTAGCCTGAATCTAATCTAAAGTTCACCCTTATAATTCTACACAGAATAAAAACACAATACATCCCTGTTCAGTTAGAATTCAATAATTCACGTTTTCTACTGCAGTCAATTTGCTATATTAGAATCAAACAACTGCCGAATGCCAATGATTGTTCAATTAAGGTAACTTAATGACGTAAACTATTTTCTGAGTAAATATATATGGTCGTTGTCAAACCATAACAGAAGACGATTCAATACATTTTAATTAATTTTCTGAGTTGATACTATGCTTTTAGCGCATTAGGAAGTTCAGTATCAAATTCTTGTCCATCTATCGAACAAAATAATTTCAGCTCTTCTCTTAATCTGGAAAGACAGTCAGTTAAATGACTTGTTTTTTTTCGAACCATTTGAAGACAGTTTTAATCATGGACAGAATTTAGCCAAAAGATATCAGTGAATATTAGATGGAATGTTAGATGGTTATTAAGTCCTTTCCTAGATAATGTTTACTCACTATCCAACAAGGAGTTGAACCTACAAAATTTAGGCTTCCCATCAAGAATCTTACATTTAAACTACTTAGATGACATTAGAAGGTCCATATTTCTAACTTCAGACATTTCCTGATACTATACGTCAATCATTGGTTATACCCGTCTTATTCCCAACATGAATGAAATCCACCGGTTACACTTTCTCATGAAAACCTTTTAAATCACTTTCAAATGTAACCACCAGAGTGAACGTCAAAACTCAACATACTAATAATAAGAAAATATTAGATAGTTTGAAATTACTTACATGTGGCATAGAGAGAGCACGTTGATAAAGATATAGAAAGCTGTTTAAACTGAATTGATACATATGATTAATTTTCATGAGATCTTTCAGAGCGAAATAAAGTCGACTGCTAGTTTCAGCTAATGGATAAAATACATTTCTCTCCTTTATGAAATATATCAAAGATTAAAAACATAATGGAATATTTGACATTAAAATATAGTATTGTTAGAGATTTGCATATTGTAATTGATATATAATCTACAAGGAACTTAATTCATCACAGAATTTTCTGGGATGTATTATGTCATTTTGTTGTGAATTCACTGAATTTTGAATGACTGGTGTAATGACTAGTTATTCGGCCTCATTAAATGAGCCATTTGATGAAATTATGAGAAAAAGTGGCCATCTTAGGAATAATTACAAGCTTGACCTCATTCATTCTCAGACAAAAAGCGAATATATTACTAGTGTGATTATGTAGAGAATTATTCAACTTAACGCTGGTTTGACTAATGAACTAACATTTACAGGAGTGATACTGAAAACCAAGGGGTCCAGAATCCCTTTTAAGACCTAGGTTTAGAAACTCCCAGTCGTTCATACTCACATCATATGCTAGTAAATATCAAACCTTGGGATCTAGAAACAAGCATGATTATGTTTTCGGGATGGGATCTATTGGTCACATTTCACACCTTCAGCGTGTTTTAAAGGAGAAAATCGGATAGTTGAGTAACTGAGATTGTCGAAGTGATTATCGGTCTCGTGGGACATGATTTACAAACCACAATCAAAACAAATTTCAAAAGACAGAACAATCATTCAACGGAATGAATATATTGGGAAAATGAAATTAATGCAACTTATCTAATAATTGATAACTACTCGGGAATAAAAAATAAGGGATACATACAACTAGCTGACATTCAGTCAAATCAATAAATCGTATGATACCTATCACGAAAGACGGAGGTCCTGAGTCATGGTTACTGCTGAGATCGTTTATAATCAATGTCAAACAAACTAGATGTTCAGAGCTTTCTCGTTTCTAGTGGATCAATAGTCAATGTCAATATATAATAAAAATGTCTTTCAATACAACTATTAGTGTTACAACCAAGATGGTGAACTTGACATTGTTTTACTTGAATTTTCCCATTGATGTTTTTGGACTGAAATTGATCAGTCTCTTATTGGCATATGTGCATACTGTGCGTATGCCTCGAAACGAACGGTACTGAGTTCGAGTCCCAGAGTGAACATCAATTCTGAGATGCAGGTACATCCAGCTGACGAGTCCCAAACAGGACGAAACGCGCGTCCTGGATTCCACTGCTAGCCACTATCCATCTTTGCTTATCAAGATGGTGAACTGTTGTAAATCAGGAACAACGAACATTCTGGAATAAAATGAAGTCATTTCATATCATGTGCTCTGCTAGTTCATCCATATTCATATATATCTATACCAATAATTGAAGTTTTACAACCGTAATTTTATGTGCAACATGTGTAACACGTACTCTGGAAGGGCAGAGAAGATATTATTTAACAGAGTTTCAGAACATATTCCAAAGAATTTGATCTTGAATAGCCCTAAACTGTTTAGCAGTGGTATTAGAAAACATATATTGAATATGGATGATTCAGTAGATCTTGATGCTATATTTCGAGTAATAAGTAGATAGAATAAGACACACTTCTACGGTACACAGAAGTAGGGGCAGTTGGTCATCTACAACTAAAATTATCAGTACAAAAAGAGATTGCAGTTCACTTGTCATTAATATCATGGCCGATTCACCGCTATACCTACCCTCCCTTAGTTTCCTGGTTTCATTTGTTTGACTTCATCTGTATTTTACCACATTTCAATTGTTCAATTTGGTCTAGTTTGTTATTTCATTTCCAATTTACTGTTTTATTATTTCAGATTATTCAATGAAATGTTTGACCTCTTATCAATTTAGACACTCAACTACTTCCGTTCATTTCGTACCCTCTACCAGTGTTACTATGATTAGTAATGTTGTTATCACCGCTAATATGATTTATTCATCAATGTTTTTTTCGGTAATTACTATCACTTTCAGCATGTAGTTGTGAAGATAGCCGAATTTTCATTGAAAACATGTAAGCACTAGACGGCCGTTTAGTCGTAGTATGAGACTCCTCAGTAGTGCCCATCCAAGACCACTCATGCTGGAATTGAACCAAGACCTTCGGTTTCATGTGCGAACGTTTAACTTTTAGACCACTGAGGAGGGATTCGATAGCTGTAATGTCTAACTTAAATCAATCCACGACATTGCGCCACTATTTTTCATTGTCTTTGGTAGGCAACCGTCTCATATCACTTTCATCATTTTTGTTTGTCGTAATTGTAACAAGTTTCACATGTTTCCTACACATTCGATTACATCATGATCTCTCTCTATTTTAATTCATTCATCTATGTTATTAAACTTGTACGTATGTAGGATACATTTATACTGGTGTGCTAAATGAATTTTTCACACTGTACATAATATTGCGATTGTACAAACCAGTCCGTATGTGGATGATTTAGAGCACAAGAAAAGATGAAATGACCTCATTTGGTTCCTCAATGTTCGATTTTCTTGCATAATATATCGAAATGCATTAGTTATATGAGAACGTTAATCTTACCTTATTCAATTCAGCTTGTAAACGTAGGGATTCTTTCAATGAATTCGTTACAACTAAACTTGATTGCTTCGTTTTATTTAATGATGACAAAAGTTCTTTATTCTCTAATATATTACCATGAGCATTTGACAATTCCTTTCATATATTTGTTTGAAAATGTTCCATTTGACAAAAAACCAAGAAGAATGAATATAATAATCAATATGCAATACTATAAAAGCTTGAACTATTTTTCATTATGAACACCAGGTTCGTGATGGATAATTTTACATTGCACATATATAATAGTCAAGAGTAGAAAGAGAAACTATCAGGCATTCTAATCAGCTGTTAGTACTGAGATAGTTTAAATACTTAGAATAGATCGGTCCTGATTCGGGAAGGATATTTCGTTCTCGAATCACCCTTAATAATAATCATGAACATTATATCCGATGAAAAAGCTAGAAACTCAGTAGCTGAGCGTATGGTGTGTCAACGATTAATGCGAAAGATACTGGGTCTGAGTCCCAATGAGAACATCAACGTGAATGTATATAAATTCAGATGGCGAGTTTCAAACAGGAAGAAATGTTTGTCCTGGATTTCACTTCTAGCTACAATCCATCTATTCTCAAGAAATTATGACAACATGGCTATATCGAGGAAATCTGTACCGAGTGCACACACACAGACAAAAAGTAATCTAAATTCAGTCCTTACTACTGATGCAAATCCTTATTAACGATGATATTTTCAATGGTATAGTTATGTAATGAACTTTTACATGCAGCTTTAGTTTAATGTCAGCAAGAAAATAGTTTGTATTACCGGCATAAGTATAAATTAATAAGGATTTTCGGTAGCTAGTAGTAGAATTCAGCACTCACTTTCCGTCTTATTTGAGACTCACAAATTCCATGTATCTGCATTCCAGAGTTAATATTCATATTAAAACTCGAACCCATAACCTTTCTCTTCAAACATCAACTCATTATCTACTAAGCTACTGAGTCCAAACCACTATATAAAACAAAATACACATCCTGGATTACACTATATGTAGTCTCTATCTAACTTAGTCAATAGCTTATGACTAAATGATTACACTCATGATTAAAAAATCCCTGTAGAAACAAATCAATGATCTATATTGAAACATATTCATCTTAGAACTTTTAATAAATAATTACTAAATTTCGAATATTTTAACGTTCCTTGAATTCAGAATCTTTATAAGCCACAAATCCCCCACATCAATTTGAAAAGAAGATTATTTTGATTTACCGGGAAATTATATGTTAGATTGTAGTTGATATTGTAGTGAAGGAGAACACGGGTGAGGACAACCGAATTATATTCAGCACAACATTACAAAGTTACTTGGTAAAGTAGAAAGACCATACTATAATACTTAATTTGCAAAATGTTCAATAATTGTCTGGGACTTCATTGTTCTTGCATTTCTATACTAATTGCTTTCTATTCCCGTTCTTCCTTTCTTGATCTTCCCAATCTTCTGCTGTCAGACATTACATTTCTGACTCGAATTATATACTACTTATGTCAATATAAGTAGCACGCACCACAATATTATCAAAAAATAAGACTGAAAGAATGTTAACTCCGAGAACTAATTTATGGATTATTATTAAACATATTCTCGTTATATAATAATTAACTAACTAGATTACTATGTTTATGTGTTCTGTTTACTAAAAGATTTCAGTTAACCCATGAATTATGAGCATACTATATAATGTTCCTTATTTTCAGTAAGGGGTTGTGGAGATTGTTGAATTTCACTGAAAATCTCGAAGCAATGGACGGCTGTTTCGTGGATGAGCACTTTCGAAGAGTTTCATACTAAGACAAAATGATCGTCCAATGTTTCTAGGTTTTCAGTAGTGGTCCAACTTAGATAGGTTCATGATTTCAATGATATTTCTAATTTATTACCAATCTACTACTGGCAATTTTTTCTATCAACTTGGCTTGTTTATGAATAATTTTTATTTCTTAAATTTATGGTGTGATGTGTTCTGATGTGTCTGTATATAAACCACGTCTGTTTGAAACAGAACATGGTCGATACTGGTTGTTGATATCAGAGAGGAGCTTGCAAATAATGAGCCAACAAGAAAGTAGCTGTTGGCTCAAGGTCAATAGTGCTGGTCGGGTGTGTAATTGGCAAAGTCAGAGATCTCTAGCTATAGAGTACATAGCAGATACGAAATAAACCAAATCAGAATTTAGATTGGTGACTTGGCATATTATGTGACTGTAGTTATCCATGGAATCCAAAACTGCTGTTTCAATCTATTTGTGACATAACATCACTTGAATGTACCTTCAACATCAAAGCATCCACTCAAGTAGCTCATTTTCCCATCAAGAAGTGATTATTTACAATCGTCAGTATAGACAATAAAAAAACCCACCACCAAAACCCTTACAAATAATTATAATCAGAATGGGTTTTTGTGGAGATTTTTAGAAATTTCACAGGTTGAAATCATGAGTCAATTTAAGCTAGACCACTATGGAAAACCTGGAAGCACTGGACGGCCGTTTCGTCCTAGTATGGGACTCCTGAGCAGTGTGCATCCACGATCCCGCACCCCTCGAAATTCGAACGCAGGACCTATCAGTCTCGCACCAGGCGCTTAACCAACTAGACAACTGTGCTAGCCGGCATCCAATGGTGTTAATATCTAACTTCACACAATCCACAAAGTTGCGCCACCGTACAACATTGTCTTCAGTGAGCTGATATCTCACAACAGACCTGGTTGAACTCCACTGGTAACAGCTTCTCACTAGGACTCCAGGAGTATCTCATGAAAACAATTCATAAATGAAAAGTTTATACAGATAGAAGGAAAATAAAATAAATTTATTACCTCTAGTAAATCATTTTCTAATTTAGCTAATTCCATTTTCATTTTCTCTTCATTATGAATTAATTGTTGACGTTGATTTTCTAATTGTGGACATTCATTTTGTAAAGTAACTTCTAATAATTGTTCTATTAAACCAGTTCGTGTTGAAATAAAATTAATAATAGTAACTAATGCATTAGCACTAATTGGTTGAATATAATCTATGCCTTGTAATGGTTTACGTGTACATAGAAATAAACGAAAATCTTGATGATAATCTATTAATTTTTCACCAATTCTTATGAAATTTCGTGATCCTAATGTAGAGATAAGAAAAAAACAAAAAAAAAACAAACAAAATAAAGTAGATGTTATAACGCCCGGTTTTACTTCGTTTAATATTATAACGGTTGGGTTTCCACTTTTAAATGTATGGGACGTTAATTTACCTTAGACGAGTATCTACACTAGATGATCTACGGATTTGAAAGTGATTATTGATATTGTCCATAGAAAGATTATGTCTCACCGTTTACCTATAACACAAAATACCAGATGTTTATATCACGCTAATAAAATACCCTTTATTTGAACTAGTGAAGTCATTCGATTGTTCATGAAGAGTTATTCTAAAGGAGCGATTATTGAAGTTAAAACTTTAGGAATTATTTATCGGGCTATTACTGATTACATTTTTGTTATATAGTTATAAAATAACTGGATTAATTTATTTTTATATTCCCTGAGCTGCGGGCTTCCGTTGTAACTATTATTTATTGTTATACGTTTCATTCTTTGTCCAATATGAATTGATTGGGTGTAAAGTATGATTCTTAATTTGTTGTATTGTGACCTGATAAATTATGTCTACAAACTAATAAGTGTTTGAAACAATGACATAAAAACTTGACTGCCTGCTACGTTCTATTATTCGGACTCATTACTAAGGATAGAAGAAGAAAGTGTTCTGGATCAATTAGAGTTAACATGATCCTTGATTTAACTAAAGGTTAGTCGCTGCCAGCCGTGGTAGCGTGTAACTAGCCAAAACTTAAAACGTTAGTCAGCAGACGAAAATAGATTACTATAAATACAGATTCTTATTGGTACACTTTCTCTAATCATATCAATTCATAACAAAACTGGTGATTAATTGATGACCTTATAACATAACAATGAGTAATTAGTAAGAATTAATTGACCATAAAATGCAAATGAAATGGCGAGTAACCCCTTATTTGATTGAAGTGTGGATGACACAAGAAACTAATTCTTTTTCCCATTGTATTTGACATGTATTTATCGTTTAAGAAGGATAATAGATTCTTAATTGTATAATCGTGTAAATATGTCTTCACAAAGTAAGCTACAGAACCATCAATGTTAAATGCAACTTAGCTCAATTTAGACAAATCTAAATGTATATAAATCATATAAAAAGTAATGCTTTCATCAATCATTTTTTGATTTAAATTCACTTAGTATTGTTTACTTAAATTTTTCCATTGATGTTTAGAACCGCAATCGACCAGTTTCTTATACCAAGTGAATTTAAACTTCACCCCATTGCACAACTAAATGGCTATCAGGACTCATTAGCTAAGTGGATAACGCGATGGAGTTTGAAGCGAATGTTACTGAGTTTGAGTCCCAGAGTGAACATCAATTCTGAGATGGATGGTACATCCAGATGACGAGTCCCAAATGGGTTGAGATGCGCGTCCTAGATTCCACTGCTAGTCACTATCCATCTTTGTTTACATTTTTTTGGATTTATTTTGGGCATCGAATTATTAAGAGTGGTTACGAAATTGAATCGAGAGTTCAATTAATAGTTCGATTAATAGTAAAAACAAAATCTATTATCCTCATCATCATCGTCATCATCATATATTTACTAACCTTGTAAAATTAAATCTTTTGATAATAGTGGCATAAGTATAGGTTCAATTTCATCAACTTCTTGTACAATTAAACATTTTCCAAATCTAACAGCTAATTCTAATGTTGTTATAAAATTTGGGCTCTAAAAGAAACAAAACAACAACAACACCAAATGATGATAGAATTAAACATTCAAATAATTCGAACTTTATACAACATGATATTAGATCAATTTACATAGACTTCGCTTTACCTTCATTATAACTGTTACATGTTGTAAGGAGAATTTACAATGAATTTCAATAGTATTTAATAGTAATAGACTTTGTATAATAATAATAGCAGTAATAACAATAGTAATAGTAATAATTGCTGTGACTTTATGTCCGACTTTTCATCACGTGATTTATCCACCAATCAAAATACAACTTATACAATCTTAGCACTGTGCCAAACCAATGACGTCCGACCGGTATGAGCAGCCTAGAGTCCTTATTGGTCCTATGTCCGTCTAGCCCGTCCATTTGAGTCCAGAACACCAATACCAGCTCCCACTATGCGAATCGAATCGGATCATTTATCTTAGACATACTGGGCTTATATATCAATCAAACAGACTGCAACGCCATCATAAAATAGGAAATAACATTTGTACACAATGAAGCCAAAAAGTGGCTGTGAACGTGGGAGGCAATAGTCAATGAACTGAACATAGCTTAAGAACCGTAAATCTTACAATAATAAATTATAGGTCAAAATAAAGCTTATTACAAGGGGAATATAAATATACATAATCTAATTATTGAATAATTATACCATAAGAATGTATAGATAATATTATTCAATTAATATATCGTAGAAGTTATGCGTGATTTAATCTTCGCTCGGATATAACAATAATAATAGTAATAGTAGTAGTAATAATAGTTATAACAGTTATAAAATACATCCATTTACAATTTCTCTAGTTATATCTAAAACGTTTATTCAAGTCGTTCACAAATGCACCAATAAATGTTCCTTTTCTGTATCAAGACAGATTAGTCAGTTTGTAGTTTTTTATTATTATTATGGATTGAGATCAGATAGAAAACTATTGAATGTAAGAGTATATTGGAAAATTATTTTATTCAAGTGTAGAATCCCTTAGAATTACTCATTCACGAGTAAACTGAGGATAGAACTCAAGAACTTCAGATATTACAGATAAAGTGTGATCATCCAATTTAGTCAATCAGCTACAACGTAGAACCAGGTACATATATGCATCATTCCAAGTTGCCATATCTCATTAGTACAACAAAATGAACACCAAATTCATAGAAGTAGTTACTGCAATAATAGTAATTCATTAAAGATGTTATGTAAGGATATATTACATGAAGAAAGAATTAGTTGGTAGAAAGATATAAAGCAATTTTAATCTTACGGTCTAAGGGAAGACAAAGAGTGTATACATCGACGCCATTGCGATCGACTCTGAGCCCTGTCACCAGGAATCTCTAACCATTGGTTCCGATATTCACGCGGGCCCCAACCAAGTAGTCTGCATCTACCAGCACGGCTAAGACAAGAAGTTAGTGACTTCAAGGAGTGATGCCACGCTTTGGTTTGGCCCTTCACCCTAACTTTCTTCCAACTGTCTCCAACGCCAGTTAGCATTGCGCATCGTGGTAATCGGTGTTCAGGCATACGTAACTCGTGGCTCAAGTACCTCAGTCGATGAAGATCATCAAACTAAAATCCTGCAGTCTATATGATCAATTTCAATCAGTTTGGGATAATATTTCTCGGTTATATAAATTCATCTAAAGACTCTTATTATACATTTCTTATATACAAGGTTTTTCTAAATGCTCACTGTGTTAAATGGAGTAAAGTTGATAAAATGGTGTAAACAATTATCATAACACGAAGTATCTCTACATACAACTGTAACAAACAAATATATATCATAAACAGTTAGCTAGAAATTCCTCAGATGTATTTCCTCGGAAAGACATGAAAAGACCAATTTTTTTTCAGAATATTTTAGATAAATAAGAGTAGTCTGGCAAATAAAAGCATGAGCTGGTTAAATATAAGCGTCTTAAACTTTAAAAAAAATGCAATCACTTTAGACGATACGGTAAATTACAATCTCTCATCAACTATATAAGATGCTTCCATAGAATTTTTAAGTTTATTCCTTGAAGTATACATCTTCTCGGCCTAACATCGTCTATCAGGGTAAAAGATGACTTAAAATATACAGTAAGCGCTGTAGACACTTCAGTCATAGCAAACGATCAAACTGTTTTAAAGGAATCTTCTTTACTAACATTAGCATATTTTTCCTAATGATCCTATTATACATACATTATTCGTTGAATACCTACCTGATTTAAGTAGACGTTTTAAATAAGTTTATTAAAAACAACCGAAATTAAAATAATTAACCATAGGCTAGGAGAACCGTCTTTTTTGTAGAAAACTCAATCAACTCCTAGTTGTAATACAAAAGCATAAGCTACATATATTTAATTCGTCAAAATGTGTAGCTTATTTTACGATATCTTCAAGCTGATTAAAAGATAGAAATCACAGAAATAGGAATCAAATGATACCATATAAAAACAAGTTGGTTAATTTGAAATGTATTTACAAAAAGTTCCTCATTTCATAGTATGCTTGAAGTAGCTTACTTGTTGATTTACAATTTCTAAACGTTGGTCTTTCAAATAAACTTTTAACCAGTTTAATGCTCTTGACGACGGATCAATAATGAATGGACACATTGTAGTCTGAAAAAATGAACGAAAAATATGTGAGTATACACAGAATTCTTAAGAAATATAAAACATATTGGAATAGGGCAATATTACTCTTTGTTATAACGTTACCATGATATAAAAGATTGCTATATGGGACTGATATTTGTAGGTCAAATTCCACTACCTGAATGCGATTTTACAGATCCTACAATTCAACGAGTTGAGACATTATTAGTATTTATGGTTTAGAAAAGAATATGATGATCCTACTGCAGTTTCCTGTTACATAATTCATAATAGCAAGATGAATCTTCTTGGCTAAAAGACGACTATCCTGACTGAAGTTTACCTTTTAATCAATAACATTCTTGTTTACTTGTATACTAATTATGTGATCTTTATCTCTTTTATTAATCGACATTATTATCATCATCCCAAAACATCTGTGTCACAATATTTTTGGTCCCCCCAACGCACTGGAAATGTTACATATTAGAAACAAATAGAATGATTCTAGGTTATTAAACTATTTTAAAGAAAATCGATTGCGATTAAAAAAGAATATTATCATAATATACGACGCCTAACATTCACGAGTCATTTATATAGATTTAAATACTTTGTTGTCTTGACATTTGTCACCAACCACTTATTTGTAACCTTGATAAAATTATTATTTACTTCTAGTGTGGTGTGTGCTACTTATATCGACATAAGTAGTATATGATGTTAGCCAGGAACAGAATGTCTGGCAGCAGAGATACGAGAGGATCGAACAGTAATGAATGGGAACAGAATGCAATTTGTATGAAAATGCAAGAACAATGAAGTCCGAGTCATTATGAAACAATTGATGGATATTTTGCAATTTATGTATTTACTTTTTGATTGTTATATTTTATTAACAGGTCCTGTAAGTTTGTTCCCACTGGTGTTCGTGTTCACTACACCAGTACTCATGTCAACGTTTCTTGTCAATGAATTTAAGAGGTTTAGAAACACCTGATATTCAGATTCTTGAGCTAGTTATCGAAGATTAAAATAAATAGAATTTCAGAGCAGATACATAATTTGACGATGGACTGCTCCAAATTTCTTCTGGATGTTAACTAAATTGCCAGAATTTAAATAATTCACAATGACGTCCGATAGTTCAATGTTTAACTCTTGGGATGGTCATAGGTTTATAATCTATGGTGCTGTGAAGCTCCAAACTATTATAAGATGAAACGTGATTAATTGACAGTGGATAAGTCGTTATTTAGACTATCATCAAAACGTTTTAGCATTCTTGAGAGTATTAATTAGCATATTTAGAAAACTTACGAGGTCTTTTTGTTTGTAATAATTATGGAAATGAACGTCTATTATACTATTGTCTATAACTTATTAAGCTATAGTAAAACCAAGAATACAAGAATTCCTAATCGTAATCATTTCTATTAATAACATGAAATCACCACGATTTCAAAGTACAGAAATGAACCATGAAGACATAATAGTAATCCACGTGCCTACATACTTCTATCTCTTTCACGCTTACAAAAACTGAACCATCTCATTATTTACTGAACCGGTGTTTTACCGAGTTCCAATGCTTTACACAGGTTCTTGCTTGTTTACCGTTAAATATTAACACGCTTGAAATATAAGTAACTTAGATACAATCTCTATTTGACTTTAATTATTCAAGCCGTTTTAACATGATTTGTTGACATCATATACACAAAACAAGTAGTACATATATCATTAACAACATTATCGTTCAATCATACCGGAGTCAAACGGGCATTAAAACATCAAAGGAGTTGGATAGTGAAATATGTGTATGAACATTTAAATTGTTGACTTACATGTACAATAGTAACAGCATTTTCTCCTGATAATTGATCTGACGATAGACCTTGACTATACCATAATAACTGCTCATGTTCAGTAGATAAAAATCTACGTAAATCAAAATCTTGACTTGATGTGCGATCATTGTTCACTTCAGAAGATAAAGATGTTGGCATTATACCAAGATTAGTTAAATCTTTAATCCAATTTGTAATTTGTTGCCGACGTACATCTTCAGGACAAGGTGATAAATAGGTTATGAATGCAGATGCTATCAGTGCGAATGGTGGTAGACTAGCTAACTGTATATTTATTTCATTGATCTGCAGAAAATTAATGATACCAAAATATTAAATCTTATTTTTTTTCTAATAATAAATACAATGAAAATACGACCATCATTGTTTCTTGGATGTCAGAGGCAATGAACAGTATGATAAAGCACGTTTACTAATGAAATTAATGATAAAGAGAAGGGTGCATGCTATGTTTAATAAATATCTTATAGTTGCTAATGGTATTTATTATATATAATTCTTATTGAAATTATATCAATTTGGTCTAGAGATACATTTGAATTAATTTAAGTTGAAGTTAAATTTTAGTATGGATTGCTACTAGCGACAGAATCATTGAAATCAAGCATCAATGAAGAACTGCTTAGTCTTAGTATGGAACTCCTTACAAGCAAGCATGAACGACTCCACTTGAGACCAAACAAAGGATCTTCAAGTCTCATAACGAACGCTTAACCATCTGACTCTCTATACAGTAATTTTGTTAGACCTGGAGGTTCCGAGCTCGATCCCCAGAGAGGTCGTAGTGTTCACTATTGAGAAGTTCAATACTAGAACAAAACAGTTGTCTGGTGATCTTTGGTTTCAATAGTATCTCAGATAAGATTAATCTGTGACAAATACAATCTAAAAATTCATTTAGTACTCATCCTATTTTTATAACCTCTACCTTAATTCATAATATTTCATGGATTACATAATCTGTGACTGAATATTTAATATGGTTATTCAGTTTGTAATTATTTCTGCTATTCTAAGTTGCCCATATACATACTGACCAATTATCAAGAAATTTTATTTAACCTACACAAACCGATTCAATTAGAAGATACATGACAGTCATTTTAATATTATAAAATAGTAGAAAGCTTATTGTGCTAAAAGTCTGTTTAGCTTAAACTTGGGTATTCTTTAGACCGTAGATATGAACTCATGACTGTGTAGAGTTTGATGAAGATTTATTAAAAGAATATTTTTCGTTCACATTTATGTGACTAAACTTAGGTTTAGGACTGAACAACAGCGATATCTAGAATGATCTTGAGAAATATTTGACTCCTTCCGGTTGTTTATGAAACAGAAGATGTGAATATAAATGATTTATGACAGAGTATATCGTGTTTACATTAATAATGAATTTTCCTAAGTTAAATATAGGTCCGTAACAGCTTCTACTTTATTACACATATATGTGATTTTTATCAGAAGGGGTTTTGTGAAGATTTTGGAAATTTCACTGATTGAAATCATGAGTCAATTGAAGCTAGACCATCATGGAAAACCTGGAAGCACTGGACGGCGGTTTCATTCTAGTATGGGACTCCTCAACAGTGCGCATCCACGATAGAGCACCCCTCGAAATTCGAACTCAGGACCTCTCAGTCTCGCTCCAGGCGCTTAACCAACTAGACCACTGAGCCGGCATTCAATGGTGCTCACTAGTGACTGGCTTCAAGAGATACTCCTGGAGTTCTAATAAGAAGCCGTTACGAGTGGAGTTCGATTAGGTCTGTTGTGAGATATCGACTCACCTAAGACAGTGGTGTACGGTGGCGCAACTTTGTGGGTTGGTTGAAGTTAGACATACTATACTAACGACCTTGAGCAAATTAACAGCCATTAAGGAAACACTGTCTTGTTAATCAATAATTAGAAGTAAAATTAGGGTGGAATATTGATTTGAATATGATAAGTAACTATTTACATGTTAAATTACTCTTTCTCGTAAAGAATAAAGGTCACGTCTACATATCAACAGTTGGGTTACTCTTGCCAGTTAAGATTGTAAACCTACACACCTACATATCAAGGAGGTTAGTGCTAGGTATTAAGAAATGAATAAAAGTTATGGGTTAGGATTATGTATTAGGTTAACGGTATTCATCATGAACCAGCATCAGTTATAATGCAATGATGCATTGTAACACTTTTATTAACAAACTTAATAACTTTGGGATTGAAATGTGGAGTCAAGAATTAGAGTAAGCGAATACTATCTAGCTACAGAAATACGTTTGACTGTGAATTGAGTCACATTAAGTTCGTGAACACATAATGTGCATTAGGAAGAGGTATCTCTTACGTTCTGGCCTAAGCACCATATCATGTTCATTATTTGGTTGCATAATAGATACCTTTTTATCAATTACAAGTATTTTAACAACCAAATATTTTTAATTTTTACTTGGTTAATCACGATGTACAAGTTATCTAGCACTAAACTTTTAATTTCGCGCAAAGTTATACAAGGTGCTATCTTAACTTTGATTGGTTCATTCTTGGTTGTTAATATAGTACACTTTTATCCATATGTCTACATACTTGCTTGTATCTATCGTACCTATAAATCTTGAGGATTTTTTAAATTAAGTTGAATAGGCACTTTTACCTTCGCTTCTTTTCCCTTATTATCTGTTTCGATTAACGGATGTATAAAATATGCATGATCAAGATCATTCTTGTATTTGACTCGTTTGATTCCGTTGTTCACAAACTCAGATTATGCTGATAAATATATACGAAGTTAATTGGGACATAATTTTCATGAATATTATCGTTCGATGATAAAGTAGCCATGCGGTGGGGACTATAGGTCTTTAACCGTTGAGGTTAGTGTTAAAACTTAAGCTTGAAACATTCATATAGCGTTTTATATAGGGTGGCAGAACTCTCACCAGAATTTTTATCTTAGCTCTGATCATAACCATAATCCTGGCTATAAACCACAGTTTTAGACCATTACCTTAAGCCTTTAGTGATATTTACCCTAATAAAACTAGCCACTATACAAACGACAGTCAATATCCTGGTTTGATATATGCACCAAGAATTTGAAGTGGCTTTTTTGATCAAGACTGGTTCATCTGTATGATCAAAATTAACTGCAAAATGTTCAGTAACAGAATTTCAGATTGTATCACATTTACCTGATTCTCCCAGCGTGTATGCTCACTTTCTAATTCACCGACTAATGTTTCAGCTGACAACAATGTTTCACGTGTTTTGTCAAGCTCCATTTTTAAATTTGCTGCTTCAGATGTACGCTTTTCAAAAACAGTCCGTAGATTAGCTACGTTAGAATCTACATTACTTAAACCTTTAGTTAAACTTGTCAATGAATTTTCAGCTTGAATTAATGATTGTTTTAATTTAGCATGCTCTACTTCTAACGGAGCAATACGTTCCAACACTTTAGCATATTGTACATTAGCACGAACCCATGTGGCTAAAGGAGCAGCTGCGACGGATGCACGTTTAGCAACCTATTTAAACAAATATAAAAATAAGCCGATAAACAGATCAATTCAATTTAGATATGGCAAAAAAATCTATAATGAATCTGCAAAAAAATAAAAAAACATTTTGAATACATAAAATAGGCCAAATGATGCCAACACATGTTAGAAGCATATATTTTAGATAAGCTCATACAAAGAGCTGAGATTAGTTGGGTAACCATCGGAAACTGTTCAACACTAAACAACTGTCCATTCCCACATTGGGACATCCAAATGTCTACACTTACGAACCCTTACATTATTGAAATCACTATCTTCAAATCTCATAGTAAACGGAATACACCCATTATGACATTAAATAAGAAAGAAAGAATGGTTCAGCGAAGAGTTCTTTTTTCGGCGAATTCATTTTCAATCCGTCATAATGGGTGTATTACGTTTAAAAAATTCCAAGGACCCTTCGACAGTAAAGGAACTTAATGAGTTTCTGTGTTATTCTGTCAAACTTGCGGAAGTGAATGCGAAGATTACCTTTCTTAACGATCGCGTTAAAATGCACAAATATCTTAAATACTACTGGAAAATTATTTGCGATTGTACAGCTTTGAAAATGAATTCACCGAAAAGAGAATTCTTCGCTGAACAAATTTCATAGTAGCCATGAGTTTGATACTATGTGGGGTTATAGATATCCGTTGCTAAGACGTCATAGCATTAAGCCTAACCAGCTGGAAAGTACTTCTAGTTTGTTCAAGGTTATCCAGCTAATGTTAGTCTATAATGATAACCCATTTCAAACGAGACACACTTGATAAATCCCTTTAGATATATTTATAAGTTGACTTATTGCTGATTAAGTTATAATAGATTGCATGCTGAGGATGATTAATTCATGCATCGAGTCAATGGTCGATTATTCTAATCTGACTTATTAGTATAGTTCACATTGAATGACAGATTTGAGATGACTACCAATAACCTAAGTTAAAACCTCGAATTCTAAAGTCTAATCATTTTTTAAATAGTTCAAAAAATGAAAACTGAATAAGCGCTTTCTATACATTACGATAACAATCAAGCTTATAGCACAAAGAGATTAAAAAGTGATCCAATTAGGAGGAAACTAATATTGGTTCAAACCTCCTTTATATATACATAAGAACAAATTTATCAGTGTAATAGTTTGATATTACAGAAGACAAATCATTCATGTGTCACAAATTTATTTGAATATCTCTTGGGTTTTTAGATAATCCATTTTATTCAGGCTGATAAGTTCAGTAGTCTGCTATAAGAACCTATTTATCTACTATTGAAAAATTGATTATTATGTATCTGAATGGGGTTTTCTTGTGGAGATTGTAATCACTTTAATAGTTGAATTCATGGGTCGATGTAAGCTAGACCGCCCCAGTACGGGAATCCTCAAAAGTCCGCGTCCACGATCTTGCATGCGGGACTGGAACCCAAGACTTTCGGTCACTCGCGCAAACGTCTAACTTCTAGATCACTGAGCCGGTATCCAACGGTGCTAATTTCTAACTCCCATCGATCCATGAATGGCTGTGCAGCCATTCATCCATTGTATGGGGTAGATACGTATCTCTACCCGACACGGATTGAATTCCACTGGTTACGACTTCCCACTAAAACTCTAGGAAATCATCTTGGAACCAGTCACTAGTGAGCATATGGTGATTATGATCAGAATGGGTTTTATTGTGGAAATCGTAGTAATCTTAATAGTTGAATTCATGTACATGAATTCATATACTCATGAATCCAACTATTTTGTATCAAATATGAAACTGACTGACATAATAAAAAGCCTATTTTATTTAGTCAATTATACGAACCCGAAAATGTACATAATCTATTGTGTATATCAAACAGCTGTTTAATATACTCAATTCAATGTGTAGTTCATATTGAGCAAAGATAACATCATAATGATATTAAGAATATTGTAAAAGTTAGAGCTGGTTTTTGGATTGATTATTATTTATATTTTTGTTACGTAATCATTAAGTAACTACATTACTAAGTATGTATTTTCTGTTTATCATGCGTTTCCGTTTAACCTATTAACTATAATTATACTCCTGATCATTCCTATTTTGTTGTCAACTGATTATTCATAGCTTTTCCTATTCACGGCATTTTTGGGCTCGTTTATGTATAATTTTTTTTTCATTCTTTGGTGTGTTGCAGTCCGGCATGTTTGTATATAAACCCACGTATATTTGAAGTATACTGATAATAGGAGCTGGTTTCTGACTTTTTGGACTCAAGGCAAGCCATAAGGAAAAGCTTGGGAATAATTGGGCTAATAGGATTCTAGCTGCATCGGCTCGTGGTCAGTGATGTTGGTTAAAGAATATAATTGTCAGATCTAGGACAATAGGTTATAGAAGAAATAGTAGATGCGGAATAGACAAAATTAGAACTGTGATTCTGATTAGTGAACTTAGCATGTGATATCGATTAGCGTCTGAAGACATAATAAAAAACATTTTATAAATATATTTACCCTTGGTTCAAATGATTCTTGGTTTTTTGCTAACAACTCCTCAACACTAAGACGTAAATCTGGTGTAATTTTTCTCGCATCAAAATTCAAAATTTCCTCTTGAACTCCTCTTTTAGCTAAAAATCCACGCATACTAACCCATGATGTATCACGTATGCCCATAAGTAATAAAACACCTTCTAATATATCACGTATAATATCCGGTGGTGCACGTAATGCACGAATTTCGGACAAAGCTTCTGATTTTATATTTCCAACAGCAGATCTAGCTTGATGAACTAATGGTTCAATTTCATTGAGTTCTGCATCAATTTCTAATTTTCGACGTTCTAAACGAGTAGATTCATCTGTTGTCCGACTTTGTAATTTCTCCATTTCTGAACGTTGTTCAGCTGCACCCTAGAAATGAAACATAATATTACGATATACAACTTTGCATAAGAGATTTTCACTAACAGTATCGCTGTGTATAATTCGTTTGAAGGAAATGTCTAAAAGTAGAGTAAACATGTATTTCGCATACTTCTACATACTGAAGCAATCACTACACTACCAACCTAAGTTTTTCATTTGAATTTCATATCATGGAAAGCAGGTTGGTTGTGAAATAAATTAAAAAAAACACTACGTAGAGTTTTACGTAACATTAACTCTTAGGGTAAGAAGATCAATTTATACTAATATTTAAATACTCAATATACTCAGTCCACGGGATGTATACTTTTACTAAGTGAATAAGTAAATCAATAAAACAGCTTAAATTACTGGAAAACTACTACTCTGCTATTTTAATGAGATCACAAACCAATCTAACTTAGACCACTAGTAAAAATGACTTAGTACTGGACACCTGTTTCTTCATGGTATGGGACTCATCAATAGTTCGCATCAACGACACTGTCATGGAGGATTGAACACAGAATCTTCGGTCTCGAGTGATCACGCTTAACCTCTAAGCCACTGAGACAGGGTTTAACAGTATACAAGTCTGACCTTAATCAGTCCATAATATTGTGTGACCGTCTTCTATTGTCCTTGTTGGATAAACTCTTCACATTCAACACAGTTGAAAGTCAATGATCATAGCTTCTCACTAGAACTCCAGAACTTTCCTCTCGAAGCTAGTCATTAGTCAGCACATAATAATTGTTAATTAAAATTAGGCTTATACATTAGTGGTCTACAGTTAAAGCGTTAGCGCACAAGTCCGGAGGTCCTTAGTTCGATCTCTAGATGCAGGGTCGTGAATTCACTCTAGTGGGGAGTCCAATTCTAGATCAGGAAGGTTCATTAGGGTTTCCGAGTTTTCAGCAGTTGTGTAACTTAGACTGGTTTGCGATCTCAATAAAACACAACAATCCCTATAATGCCAAAACTGACGTCCAGATAGCTTTGTAATTGTGATTCCCAACATTAGCCCTCATTTTCAAGTTTACCATTAGGGTAAAACTTTTACTTAAACATATTAATTACAGGGTGTTGCCTTAATTCTGATTGTATTTTCCACGATATCATCAATAAATCCATTAACTTCGTAACTGATCTTATTTACAAGACGAATTGCATATGATAACTCATTCTTTCTAGAAATCACTAATAAAGATAACAAATGTATAGATGATTCAGTCTAAGAACATGTAAAATGTCAAACTTTAACGTAATATAATTTGTGAAGAGCGTCGATCGCCCCGTTGTTGGCTAAATCTTGGTAAACCTTAATTGTTATAAGTACATCCAGAGCGGATTGCCTGATATAGCCATTTTGTCACAAGTATTTGGAATATATGAATTGCGGAGAACAATGTAATCCTGGAAGTGGGCTTCGTCGTATTTAAAACTGGTTAGGTGAATGTCTTGCATCTTGGTTCTGATGTTTACACTGAGACTCAAACACTATCATCTTTTGCTTCAAACACCTATCGCGTTATCCAACAAGTCATTGAGTCCAAATAGTCACTAACTCTTTTAACGAGTAAGATTTTTAAGTTAATTTTAATAGAGACTAACCAAAACTTGTTCTTGAATATTAAAAAAACATGACAAGAACTGTAACTATTGAACATTACAGTGGGCATATGAACTCAGTAGCTGTGGATAACGTGTTGACGTTTTGGGCGGAAGTTTTGACTTTCAATGTAAACAAGAACACTGGGTTTCAGGTATATACATGTGAAAATCCTCAAACAAGACGGAATACTGGTTTTGAATTCCACTGTCAGCCATAATCTATCTATTCTACAACTCAATACTGTCAATAAATTTCACAAACTGAGTAACCCATTCATGGACTATTGGCTATGATTATTAAAAGTTAAAATACTTAATAATGAGTCCAAAGAGAGTCTACAATTATGCCGTTTGGCAAATTTTTCTCAGATATGCAAAAAATAGTTCTCAGAAGAATTAAAAATCGAGTGTTATATATATTTTTATCTTGTCACTTCTTAATTAAAAAAGTTGACCAATCAGGCGCTTTTCTTCCTAGTTTAAGAGTTTTTGACTAACCGAATACCACAGGTTTCTGATAAGACACTGGACTTTCCTTTATTCATCAATGAACTGGACATAAACACTAACGGAATATTTCATTAATGCAGTGACATCAATTACTGAATAAAAATGAGGTTGGTTCTTAGAACATATGAACGGGAAGGTCGTGGAAAACGAATTCCTTATTTTCTCCTCAATATCTGTCTACCAGTTGGCGTTCTCCTATCGTCAAAAAGTCTGAATAATTAATAAGAAACTTCGCCAGGAAGACGACAATTCGTCATTACGTTTGGTTAAGGGTTTTACATAGTAGATGAATATTATTTGTTTTCTAATATTCAGAAGTATTTCTCTAAATTATTTTTCTGAAACTTTACCCTTATACTATTGTCTAGGTATAGCCAGAGCACAATATGATGTTGCCCAAAGTTTTTTCCTAAACTACTTACAGTTTTCCATCATATTAAGGTACAAATGTATGCATGAAGCGTCTTTTTCAATAAATCCTCATGAGGTCTAATAGCTGTGTGTCCCAGTTAATTTATGAACTATTTTAAACTACTATTATAAGTTTGTAAGTAGAGTGAAAAAATAACAAAAAAGGTAAATACCTAGTTATCTATACCTGTATTGCAGCGCTTATTTGTTCTAAAGCTTTATCAGCTTCAGTTTGTTTTTCAACCAGCAGTTCACCTTGTTCAACTGCATGCTGTTTTAATTGTGTTACACGTTCACGTGCTTCTTTCAACTTAATTAAACCACTTTTTAGTCGTTTAACTTCTGACTGTAATTTTTGTCTATGATTTTGTTCCACTCGGGCATAATTATTGCATAATGAAATAAAGTGACGTGGTGTGGGCATCATCATATGAGGATAAGGAGCTGAATTATGAATGTTGACAAAAGCTTGAGTAAAACTATTTGCGTTATTCGGTATACAAGATTTAGGTATCAGTAGTTTAGGAATTTGAAGTAAACTAAATTTAGACCAACAATCCATCCATTGAACAGAACAATATTTATAAAATGAAGGATTTGATTGTAACCAATTATTGAATAATTCATAATCATCTATATCTAGAATAATGGCAAAATGGAGATTCTTATGAATGCGTTCAGCAAAGAAAGCAGTTAGTGGTCCACGATGCCCAGCTTCTGCTGCTTGTTCTTTGAAATTCACTCCACTTTTTGATGCAACACTAGACATGAGTGTTTCTAACTCATCAGCACTAATTAAACCACTTGCTTCACCACACGCCAAAAGACTATTAATAATTTCCAAGAAGTAGTCACTTGTCAATTGATAATCTTCAATAATTAATAATGTCGGCTGATTTTCAATACCTGCTGCTTGGCATACTGTTTTGATATCGGTAATAAATTGACGCATTTGATTATCACGACCAGTGTGTAAACGGAAAACATTCAGCTGATGTATATGAGCGACTATATTGAGAGCAGATCTACGGCCTGTACCAGATCTACCGGCTAGTAATAATGAACCTGATGGACGACTAAGCACACGATCAATACGACATATATAATCAATGAAATCTGGGAATAATACTAAATTTTCAGCTTGTGGAGATTTCTCTCTGGCTAATTGTTTTAACCCTTTCAGGACTGTTTCTTTCATTTGCGTATAAGTTATAGATCCTAATGGTCGCCCATGTAATGGTATTGGGCTACCTGGTGATAATTGGTGCTTTCCACTCCATGTGATAAACCAGCACATAGCGTTTTTAAGAAGATCATCATCATTAACAAATTGATTAATTCGTTCTTCATTTTCAACTAATTCAAAATCCTCTGTAGCCATCTTTAACGTGATTTGCACTTCATCACATTTTTCATTTGATAATTCCCACTTATTTTTTCGCTTAGGTAGATCATCAACATTATCAGTTCCATTCAAACAACTGCATAAAATCTTATTGAATAATACATCGAATTGATGACGTGCATTTTCACCGGGCAAACAATCACGAAATAAACGTTTTGCTTCATAACCGAATACTGCCCAGATGTAATTGACTGATATATTTAAATCGTAGCGCAATAATCCAGTTACCCACTGAGTTAATAAATGAGGTGTAAATACACAATGAGCATATTCATCAGCGCGAAAATTATGTTGTAGTTCAGATAATATTTGAATCATTATAGTAGACATATTATGTATTCTAGCTGGATTAACAATTGTTTTATAAGTACTATGTTTCATCCCATTATCATGATTTAATTGTTTTGAACCAATTGATTGGTTATTTGCTTGTAATTTATAAACAATGATAGCTTGTAATAAACAAGCATATATATTAACTAACTGATCTTTATCAGGATAGTTTATCACAGTTAAACGTAAAGCCGATGTGAATCTTTTCGATAAGGAATAACGTCCAAGTCCTATTGATGTGGTTGATGGTGTAAAACTGCCAACAAACTGAATTCCTTCAATACTAATAAATTCTAAACTGGTTGAATCATAATATCCTTGATAAGTAAGTATCTGTTAACAGGAGATAAGAACAAAAATACAAAAGTGAAAGTAGATAATAAATTTAGGGAAATTTAAGAGTATATTAGGCCGCCTAATCAATTAAACAAGCAAACTGACTGTCTCTCTCGATATCCTGCAATGTATTTCACCAGCTGATTGAGTGATATGAAAACATGAACATGGAGGCAACTTTTCAGAAACTTCATGCAACTGGTTCCCTTTGTGAATTTGAATAAAACCAGAACAAACATTGATTCATAATAATATGAATGCATTATATTTTGTGGTTTCTCATCATCTGCTTACAACCATATATATATATATATATACTGAAAGTTAACATTGAGGTAAGAAATAATGTAAAACAATTGACAGAAATGAACGAAAAGAATTAGAACGACAAATTTATGAATCACCCACCCTTTATGATTTGGATTCTAACTACAGATGACCTCTAATCGGTACTTGAACATATAGTTACTTACGCCTGTTACCCTTCGTGGAAGAGCATAGGCCATCGACCATGATTCTCCATCGAACTCTGTCCTGGACAATTCTTCACAGTGGTTTGCAGTTGATAATCAACCTTTTGATGTCTGATTTCAATTATCGGCTCCTTGCGTTTACTGGCCTTTCTCTTTTCCGCCTCCCTTCAGGATTCCAAGTTAGCGCTTACCTCGTGATGCAGTTTAGTTATTTCCGTAATGTATGTTTTGTCCACTTCCAGCATCTTTTCCTAATTTCCTCCTCAGTTGGAAGCTAGTTTGTTCTCTCTCACAGTAGGCTGTTGTTGACAGTATCCGACCAACAGACATTGAGTATCTTGCGTAAAAAATTGTTTATAAATACTTGTACTATTTTGATGATGACTGTAGTAGTTTTCCGCCTGTAGCTCTTCTAGGGTTACTGCCGGTCACAAGTCTGTGTAAAGGAGGAGGATTGTGTATGTGGTCAGAAACCCCATCCACTAGAAAATAATCTTGCTGAAAAAACGCATTATATCTGACCTCAATGTTAACTTTCAATATATATATATATATATATATATATATATATATATATATATATATATATATATATATATATATATATATATATATATATATATATATATATATATATATATGGTTGTAAGCAGCTGATGAGAAACCACGAAATATAATGCATTCATATTATTCTGAATCAATGTTTGTTCTGGCTTTCTTCACACTGACTGTCTGTCAATCACCATAAACGTAAAACCTAATTCCATGCTACATCATTACAGAAAGATAAACATGAAAATATGAATAATGAAAAAGTCAAAAGAATGTTGATGTCAACGATAGTAAGGAAGATTGAACATAGAACATATAGTTCAGAGAAAAGGAATGAATTCTCGATATGAAATTTATGAAATACTAGTGAAGTAAAGATTTAGTAGAAAATAAAGAACAAATATATCCGCGCTTATATGAACATTTTTATGACCGCCAATATTTTTTAACCATAGATTACGATTATTGCACAGTTCCAAATCTAGATAATTGGCATTCATCAACACAGCTCAATTCGGTAAACATTCTATTCATGAACGGTTATCATATCTTTGAAATGAATCTTATTGTGACTTATTGACGATTCATGTTTGGATTTTACAGAGAGTTCTTTTACAATTACACTTAATATAAAACCTTACTTCAGTAACTTTTATCAGCTATCTTCAACCATTTAATATCAAGATTTATAACTATACGATGGCAGTATAACGTCAATTATATGAAAATCATCGATTTTGTTCAAGATTGAAGATGTTATTTATATTTCTTGTGTAATAAAATTCATTATTTCGATAGAACAATGAGAAGATGGAGTTAATCTGAAAAATGTGATGTATTTGCGCTATACATTTCAAAATGCCTTGACAAGTATATGTGTGACCAGATTGTTCGAAATGTATAGCACAAATACATTACATTTTTCAGATCAACACCGTCTTCTCATTGTTCTATCGAAATTTATAAAAGGGAATTATTGTACAAAAGTAATAGGAACACTAAATCATACATTAAATAATAATAATAATAATTAATGTAAAAAGTTGAAACATACTTGTTGTAAAAATGCAATTAATTGACATGATCCCCATTTATCTGGTTTAGGTAGATTAAGATCACGTAAATATAAAATAAGTTGATCACCTTCTTTAGGACGTAATACACGTCCACTAGACATTTTTGAAGTTGTACTTATAACACAAATACAATATTGCATTAATTTATTTAAAATATGATTTGGTGTTGTTTGAGCTGAACATTGAACAGTGACGACATGAATTGATTGAGATAATGTAGCAAAACAATAATCTAATAGAAGACTTTGATGAAGTATAAGGAGAAAAAAAATTCAGGAATGTAAATAGGAAAATCCTTGAACTCCTTTTGGTAATAATAATAATCATAATCAGGAGATCAATAATATTAACCGTTAAATATGAGTGTATAATTGAAAAGTTAGAACATTCAGAACTATTCTACCAGGAATTTTTGATCCCATAATAAATAGAAAATATTTACAATGAATTCAGTTGACAATTTTAATGCTTTAATTAGTTATAGGGGATACAAGCTGTATGGATATAGAATAGGAATACAGTGGTCTTGAGTGCTGTTAGAGGTATGAGGGCGGTTGCCCACATCGTGGAAGGGTTCTTCTGGAGGTGCCTGAAAAGGAAATTGGATTAGAGGTGGTCTTAGTGACCTGGGGGCGTGATCGCAGTGCCCATGGGACAACTGCTTGAGGTCGGTCACACACGACCTTTTATGAGTAATTTTGTGTTAGCTCCGTACTTGTTGAGACCTTACCACCGGAGACGGATATCCGTGGGATAGGGCGAGGTGTGTATTTTTAGGGTCGACCTTTTCTAACCCCACCCCTCCTTTTGGGAAGGCAGCATCGCCGTCGTGATGGTTGTCTGAAGGAAACACCTTACTGCTGTCACACCAATGTACCGTCAGCAGTACGACTTCACCTTCGGACCTTGGGTTCGTTGCTTTCAGTCTTACCACTCTTCAACCGACCTGTCTGACATGGTAGGACCTAGAGGAACGGTTGTTCCAGCCAATATAGCTCAGTTGCTTCATCACGATAGGCAAGCCCGACCACCACGTCAAGGTAGCAACAACGGTCGGCTAGATAGATGTTAAGATATATGGTCTATCCTTCATTGGGAGTAATGGACGTAAGTAAGTAAGTAAGTAAAAAGTAAGAAAATGGTCATTGTTAGCTGTTGTTTGTATTATTGGTCAAACTAAATTCACTCATTAGTACGATTAAAGTAAAACAAACTCCTCAGTAGTGGACTTTATAACCGAATGATCTTATTAGGCAGATATATATGAGATATTTTAAAGGTTAAGGCACAAACAAGCTGCCTAAATTAGTGCTTTGATGACTATTACTACTATAGATTATCAGGAAAAGTGGTTTAACTGAACATTTAAGTGAATAAGAACAGATGTAAGAAATTTTTCAGTCGTTTAGGAATAAGATATCCGAAATTAGTTTGAATGTTTCTTATTAAAGATAGTTGCACCTTTCTGTACATAAAACAAATTCTTAAAAAAAAATTACGATTTTAAACAACAATCAAACTGATCAGAATTCAGTCAGTAGATAGTATCATGCAAGTTTATGTCTCATGACCTTTAAAGTTACTGAGTACTTCTTCTCTAGTAATATAGGTTCACTGATTCATTAATCCTTATAGTGTTAAGTAGTTAGAATACAGTATCTAATATGTCTTTTATTTGAGTGCTTAAGTACCAACTTCCTATCTGTTTCATAGCATTTCGGCACTCTTAAAAGAAATATAAAAGAAATTTTACATTGAACGTTAGATTAGATATAAAAAACGAGTGTATCTAAAGTATTATAGACAAATTTGAGGTCCTAGATACTCCAAGGAACGTAAAACTAGTTGTTTCTCTTGGAAGTTTCTAAAGAGCCCTAATTAGTGGGGGTGTTTGCGACAGTTTTTCCCTAATTTCGAAAGACTTTGCTAAGAAATTATTAGTGACTCCTGGCAGTATTCAATCTAATAAACCCATTGTATAAAATTTCTTGTCTATATCATAAATTTATTTATTTATTTGACAACTTGTTTAGCCAGCGCCTCAGAATACAAGACTGGGTTCATAACTTTTGTCTGATAGTGGCTTTTATTTTCTAATCGATCACAATATTAAGTCTAAAAGTATGCAACTGATTAACATAAGGAATTATGTAAAGTGAAAATGCTGAATTAACACTACATCATCTATAGTTATAATATGGAGTATAGATTACATCATGTCAACTTCTTCTTTAGTTGATAATTAACCGTACTCGAAATATAAGTTTTAAACAAGGACAATAACAAACTTACATTAAGTAATCCTTGTCTAATACATCTTTATCTTAAATTGTTATTTGATCTCCCTGGAATGAAACTAATATTTATATTTTAGTCATACTCTGATAAGTACTATTGTTTATTTGTTAAAAAGTGTTTAATATGCTAGCGTTCGATTAATATAAACTTTGAATAACTTGAAAATTCTTCGACTGTACGTTTACAAGCGAAAAATGGGAGAATTTTCCCTTGAAGATCAGATTCTTTCTTAAGTACTTAAAATATGACTAAAATTTAAAGATTCCGCTGTAACTTACAAAAAAAAGATATCGACTCATTACAAATAGTAATCAGTAAATAAAATGGAACTCACGTTTTACCGCATCCTTCAGGACCAACTAATAAAAATGACTGTTTCGACAGTGAATTATTTAACCAGCAACGGAATGCATCAATAGATCGTCTGACATCAGGTGTTAAAACTAATGGTGGACGACCAGAAGCTAAGCTATCAGCTATCGCATTTGCTATGACTGGATCTTCAATGCATATATTTAATGGTATTTCAGAATATCGTGAATTACACCCAGTGGAATGTGGGATCGATTTACCGAGTATTACAACACTAGTTTCTGTCGAATATGAAATTAAGCGATTTGGATTATTTGGGTCCACCTACGAAAATAAATTTACAAAATATTCGGGATGTTAAAACATGAAGAAATGAATTTCATCGAACTATTTATTCGAGCTTATATATTACTCCTACAGAAGAAAAAAACTTGAAACAACTGGTAACCAATGTTTACAATTGATGGATCACTGAATAGAGACCAACTCTATGTTCGTCCAGTCCTTACTGTTGATCAGGTTCTGTCGGTTCAGTTGAAATGCGGCTACTAGTATAAGTAACTCGAATTCACGTTCACTATTTTGAGATGTTAGGCGGTTGGAGGTAATTTGATAGAGAACTTTGGCCCTAGGTTTCATGTTAGTTGCCACTAGTTAGTAAGGTGTGACTAATATCAGGGTTTAAATAGATCAGGGGTGATGTCTTAGATGATTAGTCTAGGTCGTGCGGAATCAAAGCCCATAGGAAGTATCCGTTCCCTGAAGATGAAAGGCATGTTATGCTGACGAGTCCTAGCTAACTCAAAATCTAGGTCAAGGGTTTTCGTCTAATACAACTAACCACTTGACATAGTAAATAAAATATTTTTAATTCTTAGTTACGGAGAAAAAAATATTATTCCTTAGGCTAATCCGTTTTAATGCGGATTTCTATTTCATTTGAACGAATCTACCCAAGGTCGAATGTAGTCAACAGTAGTCCATTTTGGATATTCTGTAATCTTAAGTTTAATGACAGTAGGACGTTTAGTGAATATAGATTTTATCCAGAATGCAGTTTAATGATAGGAATTCAAAAAATAAATGCATGAACTGTTTTTCAAAGAGTTTTTATTCACATAAGGGGATAACACGATGACATTTGAAGCGAATGGTGCCGGGTTCGAATCCCCATATTAAAACCAACTTTGGGATGCAGGTACGTCCAGGTGACGATTTCATTGATAGTCATCATATATTTCTGTTTATTATATTATTGCTTTAGTTTCAGGGGTGTTTTTCTTGTCAGTTCAGGTTAGACAGGTTTTTATAAACTTCAAATATTATAATATTTGGCATATAAGTGTATGAAGATTACAAGTGATTAGGAATCTGAGTCTAAATTAAATGTACATCTATTATTCCAGACAGTATTTTGATGTAAATCTTGGAAGAAGTTACATTCAACTATCGTACAATTCTTCATAATATAAATGACCATTCAGTATAACATGAAATTGAAATATTAAACGATTATCTAGCAAAATGCTGAACAGAAAATTCTTCAGATATCTGACAGTACTGATGCTTATAGTATCATTGTCAATACCAACTGAAAAGAAAAATGTAAAATAGTATTAACGAGATATGTATGATATATTTTCTTGTAAAATGTTTATTTACCTGTACATCTAAAGGTCTAGTTATATCAGGTGGATTTTCACCTGTAGCTTCATATACTTTGATAGCTAATTCATTACGTGCAGATTCTGTAAGATTTGCACCTAATCCACGTATTAACCCTACAGTAAATAAGGCTGGTGTAATTGCACCAACTAGATGAGAAAGACCAGTAAATATTATGGCAGCCGGACTAGTATCAACGATAAATTCATTCTAAATGTATAAATATAGTAGAAATAAAAATAAAATGAATAAACTTGTCAGTATGGGATTTTAGAAATTGTTAAGTTTTATTAAAATCGTAAACCGATCAATGTCAGTCAACCGCTGAAAATGAGAAGACACAGGATGTCCGTTTATTCCTAGTACAAGACTTCTCAACAGTGTGCATCTACGACTCCGCAACCGGGAATAGAGCTCAGGAAGATGGCCGTGCAATATTGTGGATTAATCGAAGTTAGATTTGTAAACCATTGTCTACCGGCTCAATGGTCTAGAGACTAGATGTCCACGCGTGAGGTTGCTGATCAACACGGGTTAGAAGTCTCATATTAGGACGAAATGGCCATACAATGACTCTTCGTTTTCGAAGGTTGTCTAAATTAAACAGATTCGTGATTTATGTGGAAACTAAGACTGCTATCTTTACAAAAAATAATTTGATATTACATGATAAGTATACGAATAGGCTTGTAGATACTTCATGTAAATGGGAAACAGAGAGCTAGACCATACTATCAAAACATTTACTTGCCAAATATCATTCTTCATCGCCTAGGTAGGTTAATGTAGAATGAGTCACGATGATGATGATGACGTTTTGATAATAGTGGGACTGATTGTTTTATTGAGGGTGTTGTGTAGGTCGGCACTAGTCAACTAATTTTATCCGTGATACTGAAACTCATAACTAGGGATTTTTAAAATTCAAATGAACTTAATAAGCATGATAGTATTCTTGGATCTCTTATTAGACCAATAATAAAATTTTAAATGACTTCTTCATTCTATTACCTTTTGGTTAAATTAGACAAGTGGAAACCTTAGAAGTTGTGGACAAGTTTGAGCTGTATTTATAGTCAACAATGATGTATCGTATGCTCTTTAATAATATTCCTTTCATCAAACTGAAGGGGAACATGAATTTATGCCACTGGCTTTCCTAAAGTTCTGAACAGATTCATGAATTTAGCTCCAAATTGATTATTCGTAAAATCGGTCAATGAGATTTGAAAGTTTCCAAAGAAACTAAAGATAATAATAAACTGTTCTGACTTATGAAATGAAATGTAGAATGTTTCATAATTTTCAACTACTAAACTATCTCAGATAACAATTCAAATTCTAAATTAAAGAAATAAATAGTAGATGCTTCTATCATTTGAAGCTATTTTGTAGAGCTTACATAGTCCCTTTATAATTTTCATAATGAATTGATTTCGATAGTATAGGGTTGTGGAGATTGTTGAGTTTTAATTGAGATCATGAAGTGATCAATGTCAGACCACCATTAAAGACCTGGAAACACTGGACTGTCATTTCGCCCTAGTATGGGAGTCCTCAGTAGCCCCCATCATCCACCCTACATGACGGATTCGAACCCTTTGTTCTAACGCTAAACTTCCAGACCACTGAGCCGAGATCCAACAGTGCTAGTATCTAGCTTCAACCAATCCATGATATTACGCGACCATTTTCAATTGTTTTCGGTGAGTAACTGCCTCACATCAGACACGGATGAACTCTATGGCTTCCAGGTTTTCAATGGTGGCCTAACATTGATCTGTTCATGATCTCAATTAGAAGTGATTTTAATTGCAGAAGTATTAGAAACCAGAGATATTTATTTACCCAATTTTGTTCTTCATTGTTATGGGTTATGGTCTTGTCTAATACTACGTGACAAAGTCACCAATCAGAACACCAATTTCTATGAATTTGTCCTTGAGCTAACCAATAACACACAAACAAGCACTAGTAGCCTTGAGTCAACGGAGTAACTTCTCTTTTTGCTATACCCGCTGAGTGCAAAACATAGTAATCAGCCTCTGCTATACGAACATTACATTAAAAAAACCCGTAGTTTATATAAAACAAACCACATCACATTACATCATTAAATGAAAAATAATAATTATACAAGATCAAGCCAAGTGTCAAAGAAATGAGCGCATTAACACACGATGATCTAATGCAGACTCAAGCACTTAACTTTGAGCCACATTTCTTACGTGAGGCCAAGCAATACTACCTAACTGCTCAGACAGAATTAGGTTAGGCGGGACTTGAACTTGGAACATAGATAATTATAGTCGAATAATTTAACCAATTAGATTAGAACTTGTTAAAAACACTCATAGATGACCATTGCCAAGAAAATACACACTTGTTCATAAAAAATCGTCTAATCCACTTTGACTACAGTAGGTTTCTCAACAATATCTTATGTGAGATGATAAAAATCTCCAAAATCTCCAAATATTTACTTTAATAGTTGAATTCATGAATCAATTAAGGCTAAACTATAACGGAAAACCTGGAAGCACTGGTTGATGGTCCAGCTAAATTATTATAATATCCACAAAACACCTTTCTGAATAAAATATTTATTTACCTTTTGATAGACCCATTCTAAACATTTGTAAAATACTGAATCTATTAAATACTTCAGTTGATTTTGTTCCATTTCTGGTTGGTTCATTAACCATGCTTCAACAAATGCATGTGAATTAATAGCTTCATCACTTACATATACAACACCCATTCTTGATATAGTAGCTGGACTTGCATGAATTAATTCATGTGTTTCAAATAGAAAATTTACATTTGCATCAAATTGTATACGTTCACCATTTGGTAATGTTAATAAATGATTATCATCTAATACAGAATTTAATGATTCAATCCATTCAGGATCAATATCGCCATCAGCTATAATCCAACATTTTTGATCTATGTTTTAATAAAATATTAAAAAAGATGAACACAAGTATAAAGTGATTAAAATTCTATATAGTGCTTTAATAAGACTAAGAATTTAATACTTTAATGATATTACCAGAAGGGGTTATGTGGGGATTTTAGTACTTTCAATAGTTGGAATCATGAGTCAATTGAAGCTAGACCGCCATGGAAAAACCGTTTCTTTCTAGTATGAGACTCCTCAGCAGTGACCAGTGGAGATATCAGCTCACTGAAGACAATGGTGTACGGTGACGCAATTTCGTGGATTAGTTGAAGTAGGATATTAACATCGTTGGATACCGGCTAGCTTAATGGTATAGCGGTTAAGCGCTCGCGTGCAAAACTGATAGGTCCTGGGTTTGAATCTCGTGGGGGGGGGGTTCGTGCATGCGCACTACTGAGGAGTCCCATAATAGGACGAAACGGCCGTCCAGTGCTTCCAGGTTTTCCATGATGGTCTAGCTTCAATTGACTCATGATTTCAACTATTAAAATTTGATGATATATTTAAATGGTAATCCGTAATCGGATCCATGATAAATATTCAATGTTCTGTATACAAAATATCATCTGGATGTTTCATTGTATACATCAATATTAATACTGTAGGAACAACCAGGAGAGGAAATTAAAGTAGGATAAAACACCTAGTGTACAGTTCAGTGCTAATCACAATTCAGAATACAGTCAGTATTTAGCTGTAAGTCATTAACTAAAACATTTACATTCAAGGTGTTTGTATACCATATATATAATCATGAATATCAACTACACAGAAATATCAACCCTTACGAACAACGATAGATTGAACAATCAAAAAAAGAAAATCATTCAAAGCAGAAGCCATTTACCCATAAAGAATCGATGAATGTTGGAAAAACTTTGCAGTTCAAGTATATATTTTAGGTAGTGTTAAATTCTCCAAGCTAGATGGTTAATTTGTGGAGTTTTCACTCTCGTTTTAAAAGACGTCATCAAGGGTTACTCTGCGTAGCAGCGAGTCTGTTAAGTACCAGCTTTAAAAATAAGTTCTGGTGGCTTTATTTGTAAGTGATTTACATTGTAGGTTTTGTTATCCTCATATATGTGCATTTAAGTTGACTATCTTGATCTGTTGATCTTTGACCATGTTCTTGATCGACATATTTCGAATAGCTTGATAAAGAAAAAAGTGTTTATTGATTGTTGTTTAATATAAATGTCAGACTTCCAGAAATTCTCTTATGTCCATAATTGTCAACATGAACAGTGATAAGATAACGCATTGTCTTATCAACAGTTTATGTTTGTGTATCCCGAAGTGAAAGTTGAATTCACATACAGTGTTTATCACAGTTGCTACAATTTATTTTGTCAATGAAACTGGACTTGTCTTTTTTCTCAGTTCTTTTCTTTAGCCTGCTTAAAGTGGAATGAAGTGATTTCATTGGTTTAAAAGTGACATTGGGTTTTAAAATCCTAGTGGTGATTTTTGAAATGTTTTTCATACACGGTTGAACTATTCGTTTCCAAGTCTATGCGGAAGGTTTTGTGATGGTGAGTCTATCCACAGGACACTTTTTAACGAAGTTGATGGGGTAGTTATTTCTAAGAAATGCAAGTGTGTTACAGTGCGTTTTTGACGACATTGTATGACAATCATCAATTACCATAAACTATAATTGTGCAAAAGCCGCACAACACTGGTTAAGGAAACTTACTGATTTACCAGCCAAATAATTTAAGGGCATAGGATACGAACCAATGTGATAGTCACTAAGTAGCTAAATGAATAATAATACATCATTTCTGTAAATGTTGAACTGTATTTAAGATACGTGATAAGAATGTAGTTGATGCTAAGTAACATGAGGCAATTAGTATGGTTCTCTTATACAAGATAATGTGAGTTTTGTCACTTACGTTCACTGTGAATTTGCATCAGTGGTGAAGATAACATTCATTCATAGAGATTCAAGCCACAATCACTCTAGTGCAAAGATGTTGAGGAAAGGAAGCAAGAATAGCTTGAATTACTCAACAATCTAATAAAGGTTATATAACAGTTCACAAACTCATAATTCACACTTTAAAATTTCAAAACCTACCCATACATTCTTTAACGACACATCTTGCACTGTGCGTAAGTACACCATCTGTCCATTCTCTAGTATCTGCTTCAATTTGACCAAGTAACTGTACACGTAACATTGATTTAGGATTAAATATATGTGAACGTATTGATATTCCCATTTTATTCAATGCTAAACGTAATAAATTTAAAATTGTTGATTTCCCAGAACCACATGGTCCAACTAAAACAACACCCATACGTTGTGATAATTGTTCATATAATTCGATAGCTTTTTGAATCTTTATTAAATGAGAATGAATAAAACACAAATATCTGATTAAGTTTTCAATAGTATAGATATTTTAGGTTTAAACAAGGAGTTTTGTAAAACAAGAAATGAATGAAATCATCATAGTTCTTAAATATCAACAAGGTTGTGGAGTAAAGTACTGCATTTTATTAATACAAGTCAACATTGACTAACTAATCCATCTAAGTGTGTTTTACCAATCAATATTGTTAATTCATCAAAACCGCGAATCGGTTTAAGTCAGAAAACCATTGCAGACAAAGAGAGACCGAACGACAGTTTCGTCCTAGTATGAGACTATAGACCGGTACGTATCTACGACCTTGTTCCCGGAAATCGAACTCAAGACTTCTAATTTTGAACTTCAACATTTAATCTTTAAAACATTAATCCACTGTCAAGTGGTACATAATTTTAACATCAGTCAGTTCACGATATTTCACAATAATCTCCCATTGTCTTTGGTTCTTGGTTTTGTTGAAATGTATGGATATCAGCAACAATCTTTTATCAATGCTACTCAGTTGTCTTTCAGTGACTATGTTTAACTTGTTATTTCATATATTCTGTAAGTACTTTTTTTCACCGACCATAGGAACGTATAGTGACTGAAATTAATAGATTATTTCCCTAATCTTCAGTTCTATATAGTAAAGGAGAATAACTGATTAGTTGGTATATAACATTAAAGCCGATGAAATCTACAAATGTAACATTCTGCATTCTTCATGGAAAATCTAGTGACCAATTTATTCGTAATTCATTAAATTATTATTGAATGGTTTTTACACATTAAGGAAACATATATTCAAGTATATTAAGAATATTGTGAAATATCTTTACTTGTATAACTGGTTGATCATTACACATTGATCAATATTATGTTTATCTAGTTCTTACTTCTAATCAAATTACATAGCCACCAATATAATTAAATCAATATATCATGCACTATGCTGAAATTTAAAGTGGTCCGGATAGCATGGCTTGGATAGACCAGTGGTAAAATCTCAATATGTGAAGCTGGGTGATGCAGATCCGAATTTTACTGCAAGCACAGGTTCTCTCAAGATAGCAATTACACCATGTTGACGAGTACAAATAAACATGAAACAGTGACAGCGGGTTTTTTGCTATCTCCAATCACTTAACAGTGATTAGGACTGATGTCCGGAATATAAAACCACCGGATATCAACACAGTGACCTAAATGTAATGGGCTAGCTGCAAAACAAGTAAGTCAATGTCTCAATCCTTGACGGTATCATAGATAAGCCCCTGACTGAGCAATAATAAACAAAGACATGACAGCTTTCCAACGATTCTTGGTTCTCAATTAGTTTCCAGTCAAAATTAACCTGTAGTGTAAACTATAGTCAAACTGTACAACTCATGAAAATCTTCATTTTTATACTCTACCTTTAATTTAGAACGCTTGAAAATATTTAAGACAAAAAATGAAATTTAGAAAAGTCTTCATTTCAAGTATGTTATTTGAATTATGTTCGAGTCAGTTTCACTACCAAGTTCTATTGAATGAATCGATAAAACGAGCTGATGACAATGCATGAATAGGCTATCTATAAACACCATATATGATAATAATATTCGGTTTTACTCAACATATATATGGTTTCATGATAGAGCTCAAATGTCATGACCTTATTATGTTGAATAAGAATAAAATCGTTATAAGACCTTTCTAAAAGTGATGATTAGATGGTGGTTGGGGATAGTCGAGAGGAAACCGTGGATCCGCGTTTCGTGCTACTTGACACTCGTCAGCAAGGTGTACCTGTAATCTTGAGGGAATTGGTGCTCCCTGGCTGATTCGATCTCGCGTCACCCAGCTTCACAGTCAGAGACGTTACCACTGAGCTATCCGGGCCGCAACTGACCTCCTGCAGGACTGAGATGTAATCACAATTGATTGATCACTGGGTGGTGATCAATGTCATGTGTGTCAAGTCCGGGTCCAGGGTTTCCTGTCGACTACCTCTAACCACCATCTAATCTCAATATATAGTGCCCCCAGTGTCGAGTCGCCTAGACTGGTGGCCACATTGCAACATGATCGATAGCATTCGATCTGCACTAACTAAGCACTTGACTCATATGACATTGATCAACATCTAGTGATCAATCAATTGTGATTAAACGTGATGGTATTTGTCATGGACGTTTATGACTATACGCTGAAGTAAACATCTATGTACAAAATAGACATATTCATTAGAAATTTCAAGAGTTTATCATATCAACTTATGTAACTAGAAATATTCTGATGATAAAATATATCTCACCTGGGCTTCTACTAATATCATATTATGTTCTCTTACTACTGAATGTATTGAATCAATGAGTTTGGTTAATTCCTGATTTTTAAACTGTATATTATGTAGACACAAATCAGGAAATACATCTCTAATGAGATTTTCAAATTGTTTAGCATCAGAATTTGTTAATTTAGCTAATGTATTTGTTTTAATTGCTTGTATTATAAATTGTGCTTCATATTCATAAGAATGTTGTTGATCTTTTGTTTCATGATGGTTAATCAATTCATTTGAATTTTTTTTATCAATATGTAAAAGTGTTCCAGCACAATGTAAGACAGTTTTTAATGCTCTCAAACCCCAATCATAATGTTGTTGTACTGAGAGAAGTTGTCTTGTTATTAAGAGTGAACAAAGAGAAAAAAACAATGATTGTATGAGTACATGATTATAAAAATTTTGAGCACAATTTAACCATTTATTTTTCATGGTTATAAATCAAATACATCCCTCTCTCAAACATATATTAGTTAACAGAATGCAATTGTATCATCCTAAGTGACAGTCATTATAGATTGTATGCTATTCCAGGGAGTAAGTTTATGATTTCCAGGTCTTATTCTAAACATTTTTCAGTAAAAATACCATATGTTAGCGTCTATTTTCATGAGTATTGTCAAGTTAAAAGGTTCACTATTAACTGGTGAATTTCATATCTAGAAAAGTATAAACAATTTGTGTTATGACTGCGTCGCCATTTGTTATAACTAGTTGTCGCTAATTGTTATGTCGGAATCACTTATTACTCATACTTGGAAAAACGAGGAACCACTGCAATTCCCACGATGCAAAGTAAGAATATCAAGACTGATACAAGTGAAGACTTATTAACCCTAAAACACGACGACGACAACCATAGTCGAAAATACACTCATTTATATATTGATTGTACGCCTATCTCGATCACATATATGAAAAATCCCTACAGTTATAACAAATTGCATGCTACATGTCGTGCTGAGCATAGTCCACGTTGATTTAATACAAGAATATCGTATGTTATACCGAATAAAATATCATACTGGAAAACAAAACAACTACTACACTGAGTAATTATTACATTGAATTAAAAAGGACAGAAGTAATATTGAACAAAAACTAGAATGAATAAACAAATGTAATTTCGGCTCTTTGTCCTATCATATCACTTTACTTTATTCGTGACTTCTCAAAATCCAACAAAAATTAGCCAATCTAAAAACTTAAAGTCAAATATTTATACTATCAAATTAGTATATTAGAACATTCAACACTCAACGATAATCATCTTCCTAGGTTAGCTGGATTGTGTACTGAATGTTTAAAACGCGATTCTGGAGAGCACTAAAAAAAAGAAACTAACCACCAGTACTTTAAAACACAATCTCCTACATGATCATAACGTCCTGATGTGACAATGACGCCCTAAGATTAACGGTAGTTTGGCTCCCTTTATGTAGTACTTATAGGTAGTGAACAGAACAGGGGTTGGGACGACCTAGTGTTTACAGAGTTACTTGATAAAATAGAAAAACCAAATAGTAAATCATTAATTTGCAAAATATCATTCCATCATATCAAACCGGACTGTTGCCGTTGCAAACATCAATCCATTGTCCCACATTTCATTGTTCATGCGGCTTCTTACAAATTCCATTGTGTTCTCGCTCTTCCTTTCTTGATCTTCCCCCATCTTCTGCTGTCAGACATTACGTTTTTAACTCGCGTCATATGCTACTTATATCAATATAAGTAGAACGCGCCACATGTGAAGTAATTGCAGGTATTTAGTACAGATAAAAACTTTTTAAAAATAAAACACATTTCATGAATATATCGTCGACTAGTTTATTCTAAAGTTTAAGTGCTATGTTACAAAATTTTGTCTGTTAAGAGTGAAGTTGTCTTCAACAGTAATATTACATCATTACTTGCCTTATAAACATAAATTAATGAGGTTCCTGACATCCTTTAAAAGATTGCATATTTTGACAATACTGAAGTATAGTATATTTGTTATTTAATTCATGTTTACTATTATAAACTTACATTGAAGCATAAGTGCCCGCCCACCTTACATCTTCTGTTTGAGGCTGATATTTTTAATAATCCATTATGTCAATACTGAGATGTAATTTCATATCTTTACTATTAATCTCAATTACTAACCATTTGCATAAAATTTCCCATGTGAACCCAGTAGCTTAGTGAGTAAAAAGTTAGGGATTGAAAACAAAATGCACTAAGTTCAAATCTTAGTGGAAACGTCAGTACTAGGATACATCCAACTGATGTGTCCGAAATTGAACTCTAGTCATAAGATCTGGATTCCACTGCCAACCACGTATTAAAAATGCAAAAGCTTGTGACGTAAAACTACATAAAAGTAATTCTCTCAAGACTCACGTACGGTAACAGTGACTGAATATTAACAACGAGAAATTAGATATCTTTACTAATTAACAGATAATTTTGAAATAAATCTCAAAGAAAATCTTACTTTGCCAATGAGAAAACAGACACCAGTTTACGACTTAATATTTGAGCATTAGAAAATCCTTCAGAAAATAAAATCATTTCAGCTATCAAATCACTATCTGGTTTTGTCATTGAAACTGGTCGAAATAACTGTTTCAAGTTATCTGGTAATTTTTGACGTCCACCATATCCTTTAGCGATGGGATTTAATGTGATGAATAACCCAGAATTAGGGTCAACATTAGTAGTACGACCTAGTAGATTGATTTGTGGTGTGCCACATTTCAATGCATCTTGAATAATCTATAATAAGGATTGGAAAAGAAACAAATTGTCTCTATATAAGAATAAACACAAGGTAGTCTATATGGAAGATCCACTTATACATTAAAATTGAAAAATTACCATCAATCTGAATAATAATCATGTGTCAGTGATTACAAGAAAGTGATGTTTTAGATCCTAGTAAGAAATCGTCTTCAATGGAGTCCAACAATATCAGAAGTAATACAATTAATAGCGATGTCAACGGATGATCATCTCTTTAAATCACTCATTGACTGAGGTCGTTAATGTGAATCATTTAATGTTGACTGATGGTTTAAAAGTATCAATCATACAGTGAGCATTGAATGTCCTGTGTCCAAGTTTGTTAGTGGATAAGAAGTTAAAAACTAAGGTTAGACAGTTGTCTAGTTCTTCCCATTTTGAATCCCATTTTGAAATCAAACGGATTCTAAACAAACATCATATAAGAGTGTATTTTAGAGCGAATAACACATTAAGATCGACATTAGTGAAAGTTAAGGACAAATTAGCAAAGGAAGAACAACAGAACATTGTGTATGAGATTCACTGTCATGACTGTAATGCTACCTATGCTGGAGAAACATCCAGGCAATTGAATGTAAGATTGACGGAACACAAACAATGCTTGAAAAATGTTCCAAAATCCTCGGTCGATTTAAAGAAAATTAAAAATAAGTCACCGATAGCGTTACATGCGTCAAAAACAGGACACAAGATTAATTTTGAAGGGACCAAAATACTTCAAAAAGGTTTTAACATCCATAAAGAAAGATTGACAGCAGAAGCGCTGCATATATGGGCGAACAAGAACAGCCTGAACCGAAAAGATGGTATTCAACTGGCAACTACCTGGAAAATTTTCGTTTGACAAGTAAATTTGGAACCTATCTCTTGTTTAAACCTGTTTTTTAATATCACATGCATCGTTATTATTTTTGAAAGAATTCAATGAGTTTTTTAAACAATACAATTTATGTTTTGACATGCACATCGATCTTTCATTATCAAGTTTTCATCCTTGAACTTGAACTTTATTTATTCCTTCATATCAGTCTCTCACACATACATACATACCTATACACTCACACACATACGATTTGTTACTCAGTTAAGTATTTCCATGTAGTTGAATTCTTCACATGATTTGTAGTTAACTGACTCATTTTATCCTATTTTACAAAATCAACATCCAAATATGATTAGTTTAACACAGTATAATCCTGATTGTTAAAAAGCTATATATTTCTTTGATAATTTTGATTTTGATTATTACCCTGAAGAAGTCCAGACAAGTTAGCTGGATGAAACGTTGGAATTAGTTATATTTCACATATAATGACTTCTCTATACTCGGCGCTCAATTACTGTCAAACTATTCGTTCTAATCTTGACGAATATTCGTATATATAGTTAAAGAAGATCGATTTCGTGTTTATGTCATTAGAAGCTTTTGTTAAAATGTAACTAATCAAGGATTTCATATTAATGGTTATGATTAGAAACAAATATTCTCAAATTCATTGAAAACCATTCGTTTTCTACAATTTACATTTATCGTACAGAAAGCTATAGTTATGCACATTTGTATCGTGAAAACCCAAGGATAGGGGAATTTAGTATTTTGAAATGAGTCAGAATGGTTAACATCATGAACTTAGATAGTTTCGCTCAAACATTATGGACAGATTTATATAAAATACTAATACGCATGCAGCTTATCTAAAGGCTTTTGTTTCAACTTATAGTTTAGTAAAATATTGCGTTCATAAAAGTTGATATTAAAAAAAGGTCAATATGTATTTGAAAAAAAAAACCGGTAGGTAGTAACCTGAATTTGCATTGAAATAGCAGAGAGAACAGATTCTTCTAATCGATTAAATTCATCGAAACAACCCCAAGCACCACATTTTACTATTCCAACAAAAATTCTCGTCATAGAACGTAAATCAATACCTTCATCACAATTGAAAACAAGAACCTAGAATAAATATGGAGAATAAAATCAATATTATTTATTAAATTAATACTTCCGAATTCGGTATAGTTTTATCGTTAGCTGTATAGGTTTATATATTCCCTTTCATAATTATTCAGAATTGAATTTGATTAGTTATTGTTGAAATATAACTCAGCCTGCAGCTCTTCCAGGGCTACTGCCAGTCCCAGGCCAAAGTAAAGGAGGAGGGGTTAGACATGGGGTCAGCAACCTCGTCCCGTAGAAAATAACCTTGCTAAAAAATGATGACCAGAATAAATTGTTGAAATATAAGTACCAAATGTATCTTCAGAAATGATGCTTTCCTACAACGAGAGGTATTAGGAAACACAATAAAAGACCACAAGTCATCTTACTCTGTACACTGTGGTAAGATCTTTTAGGTTAAGAATTAAACAAATAGAATAATCTAGAATTGATCATATTTATGACAATATTAGACATATTTTGTAAGCTAAACCACAGGTGAAGATAACATCCCAACTCAAATATCTGAATACGACATGCCGAATCTGAAAACTCTAGCAATGCTGTGGTACGTGCTACTTATATTGATATAAGTAGTATATAACGCCAGTTGAAAAACGTAATGTCTGGCAGCAGAAGATGGGAGAAGATCAAGAAAGGAAGAGCGAGAACACAATGGAATTTGTAAGAAGCCGCATGAACAATGAAATGTGGGACAATGGATTGATGTTTGCAACGGCAACAGTCCGGTTTGATATGATGGAATGATATTTTGCAAATTAATGATTTACTATTTGGTTTTTCTATTTTACCAAGTAACACATTTGGTTGTCCCTACTCGTGTTCTGTTCACTACGATGCTACTTATTTACAATAATTCCTAGAAAGTTACCAGCAAACGAATGTAGACAATTTTATATGTTAACAAATAGTCTAGAGAATGAGTTTCCTTTGAATAAGTGGAGAATGTTTGGTCTTTCGTCTTTAATATCTTATAGTTTTCAAATTTTTTTATCGAAAAAAAAACTCGTCAGAATTTACACCTATCCACCTCATTCAATGCAGATCCATCCAAGTGAATCATGAGACATTTTATGGAAGTATTCTATAAAAATTAATAGATTTCCTATACAAATCAATTTTAAATGTTAAAGGGTACACAGAAAGAATAAGACTATTTTCAATTTACCTGACGACCCATCATAGAACCAAGAGCTTTCACAGATTCTGTTTTACCAGTACCAGCTGGACCATAAGGATTACCACCTAAACCCATACGCATAGCTTGTGTCAAAGTTAAATAACATTTATCAGTTAATGGAGTATGTACTAGACGTGGTGAATTGCCTTGATATTCAAAAGTATATAAGAATTCTGCATCAGCCATACATATAGATGTTTTCATTGAATTATTATCATCATTTTTTATTTTAGTTGTATAGTTATACATGGAATTCTGATTGTGATTAATATAAAATCGTAATTGACGTTGCCATATCCAATCTTTTGAGCTAACTGCACCATTTCGAATCAATTGATCAATTATATCAATTGAATGTATTTTATCTAATATTAATGAGCTTAATTTACAAGATTGTAAACGTGATTGAGTTGAATACTGGACATTTGATTCTTGTGAATTTGTACAATGTTCATTTGTTTTCATATTCTTTTGTTGTTTAGCTGAAGTATACATAGCTAATTGAGACTAATTTATGTAGAAAATCAAAAGAAGTAATTTTATTAAAAAGAAGATGAATATCTGATTAGAAATTTCCGGGTTTAGTCATAAGCATATAAAAATGACGTGATTTCTTTATACTAACAGGAATTTTACAGACGGTAATTTCTGATTTCAAAACAACCGTGTCGCTTATTAGACAAATATCACAACATGTAATCAATGATGATTCAGTAATATCGTGAAACCAATAAAGTCAGACACATAAATCATTGAATGGCTGCTCACTGATCTAAAGATCAAGAGTTAGTCATGGTTCCTAGGGATCCTGGGTTTGCTTCTTTTTAGTGCTATGCTTATGCACTCTTGAGGAGTCCCATACCAGAAAGAAACAAATATCCAGTACTTACTGGTCTACATTATAAAGTAAACTTAGTAAACTAAGGTGATATTTTGTACTAACAGTGATCACATGAGAATGGATTTTGAAGTTATAACTTTCCTACTTCAAAGTAATAAAAGGTTATAGCTTTTAAGTTACTTTTATTCAAAAATACTTAGAGAATAACTTAACTAGACAAATATAAGTATTATAACTGTTATAGATCTGATAATTTATATATCGTGGGAGTGAACCGTAGATCCTACTTGTTACTTCTTAATAAAATTAGGAGATTGACGTAGTCAAATACTCAGTATTCTGTGTTTGAAGGTATACTTCATGGTTTGTAGCTTGTACTCACAAATTTAGGTTTTAAATATGGTGAATATGTATGACTTGAAATGGTTTGCAGGTTGTGTCTTCGACAAGTAAGTTGAACAGTTTTACCTTCAGTAGGAGTGATAACATTGGTTAGATTACTGCTAGGTCGATAACTATGATGATGTAGATATCTAAAATCATGTCATTTTTAAAAATACTTTTACTGGTGGATGTAGGTAAGAAACTGATGTGAACAGAGAAACAAGAAGCCTTTACAATCTACGGAAGCTATTTTTCGGGACGTTATTTCAGTTAATTCAAAGCTTGTAAAACATTAACATTTATTTTTGTCCCTAATCTATTCTATAGAACATGAGCTTTTGCTTAATGTATGATTCACTTCCACAACCCTTTTCGTTCCAAAGCTATTGTAATTCAAACGTATTATTTCGTACTCTGCTTCCTACGCTAATCCCCAGTTTTGGACATAATTGTATTTTCCGAGTTATTGTACGTTGTGGTCGGGTTATTCATCCATTTATTCATGTACCTTTTTACATCAATCTGAAATCGAGAATAGATCGAGCAGTGTTCCAGTTGTCTTGTCTTCTCTCATTCGCGTGCTTGTCAGCCAATCAGTTGATAGAATAGTTTTCTTCTCTCTACCCCACTTCGAACCCACGCGTACTAGCCTCAAGGTTAAGCCGTTCAGCCTATCGCATCAAGGTCTTAATCTAGACTAGACAAGTTAGCCTCAGCACCAAAAGTGGATAGACAGATGAAGGACGTAACAGAAGCTATCTTAATGGCTTAGCCTGCGACACTTCTAGGGTGACTTCTGGTTTCAAGCCCCAGCAAAGCAGGAGGGTTGCGCACTGGGTCGGTAACCTCATCCCGTAGAAAACAACCTTGCTAAAAGCACGTCAACCAGAATAAACAAATCTAAACTATATAAACCCTGCCCTGGAAGCTGAAGTATCTTCATTCAGAAAAATTATGACGCCTCATGGTGAAAGGCGAGATTCGTTGAAAGTTACGGGGCCGACGCCCTTTCGATTAACCAGAGTGGAAATTAATATAGGTACATGGAATGACCGGACAATGTGTGAGACCGGGAGGACCAATCAAATAGTTACGTAAATGAGGGTAAAATAATTGGCTGCGCTCGGAATAATTGAAACCCATCGGACGCAAGCTAGACAGGAGAAGCTAGCTTTGAGAAAGGTGCTACTGCATTGCGATCATGAAGGAGAAAATGCTCCTCACACTCAGGGATTTCCACTGATGGTGTCCAAAGTAGCATGGAAAGCACTTATATGATGGGTTTTCCTGGATTCAGGACCACCAAAGTACTCTTCAGAACAAAGGAGGGGATCACAATAAATATTTTGTAATGTTATGCACTCAACAATGATAGCAGTGAAGATGATAAAGACCAATTTCGCCAGATGCTGCAATCGATCATAACGAATTGTCCAGGAAAGGACCCAACAATCCTCTCGGGAGACCAAATGCCAAAGTCGGAATGAACAACACTAGATATGAAGATATCATCACACAACATGGATTCGTACATTCAACAAAAGGGTTATAGGCGGAACAGAATTCCCCCACAAACATATACACAAAGCCACATGGGTCTCACCGAATCATATTACAGAGAACCAGATTGATCATATTTCCATCAATGAAAAATTCATAAAGTCAATGGAAGAGTTGAAAACCAAGAGAGTAGATGACATTAGCTTCAGATCACCACCTGGTTGTGGCCGAGATAAAATTCAAGATAAAGGAACAATAGACAACTGAGAAAACAGTATTAAAAAGGTTAACTGAAGCATCAACGAATTCAAGATAATTCTCAACAACAGGTTGAAGCCATACGGGATCTACTGAAAGAAGAACAAACTACTATGAAGGGCAACTATAAAGGGATCAAAGAAGCACTATCCTCAACGTACCAGGAGGTTCTAAGTGGCGAGAAGCATCATCATAAGGAATGGATCTATATCGAAACTCTGGACAAGATCCAAGAAATGAAGAACGAGAAGACAACAATGAATAACAGCCAAGCGAGAACAGAGAAGGTCAAGACACAAGCTGAATACATTGAAGCAAACAAGTAAGTGAAGAGGAGACTAAGAGCTGACAAGCAGAAATATGTGGAAGACTTAGTGACGACAGTAGAAACAGCTGCAAGACAAGGAAATATAAGATAGCTATATTACACAACGAAGAGACTAGCAGGAAAATTTAGTAAAACAGAGAGACTGGACAAAGACAAAGAAGGCTAGCTAATCACTGAGATCCAAGAAAAGAGGAACAGACGGATAGAATACTTTGAGGAACTGTTGAATAGGCCAGCTCCATTGAATCATCTGGACATCGAAGCAGCACACACAGACCTTTCCATAGACGTCACCCCACTAACGAGCGAAGAAATCAGGATGACCATCAGACAAATCAAGCATGAGAAGCGAGGAGGACCTGACAATGTACCAGCTGAAGTCAGACATAAAAGTAACCACAAACATGTTCCACATCCCATTAGGGAAGGTTTGGGAGGAAGAGCAAGTGCCGACAGACTGAAAAGAGGGATACATCATCTAAATACCAAAGAAAGTAGATCTGAGCAAATATGGGGACTTAAGAGGCATCATACTACTGTCAATACGTTTTCAACAGAGTTTTGATGAACCGGATGAAAATTTGAGTGGACACCGATCTCACAGATCAACAGGCTGGATTCCGTAAGGATCGGTTGTGCACACACCAAATTACGACACTAATAATCATTGTTGAGCAATCAATTGAATGGAACTTGTCACTAAACATCAACTTCATTGACCATGAGAAGTCGTTTGACAGTGTGGATATGAGAAATTTTTGAAAATTCCTTTGACACTATGGTGTGCCTGAGAAGATCTTCATCATCCGGAATTCATACGATGGGATACACTGCAAAGTCGTTCACGTAGGACTGCTGATAGACTCATCCGTTGTGAGGACCGGAGTCAGACAAGGGTGTCTACTCTCTCCCTGCTATTTCTTTTGGTGTTTGACTGGATTATGAAGACCTCAACATCTGAGGAAAAACACGAAATCCAATGGACAGCTCAGAACCAATTAGAAGATTTGGTCTTCGCAGATGACCTAGCTCTTCTATACCATACATACGAACAAATGCAGATGAAGACAACTAGTGTAGCAGCAGCCTCTGTATCAGTAGGCTCCGACACACACAAAGTAAAAAGCGAAATCCTCAAATACAACACAGAGAACACCAACTCAGTCACACTTGATGGAGAAATTCCGGAAGAGGTGGAATCTTTCACGTACATGGACGGCATCATTGATGAACATGGAGGATCATATGCGGACGTAAAGGCGAGGATTGGCAAAGCAAGGACCGCATTCCTACTACTGAACATATGGAACTAAAAAAACTGTCAACAAATATCAAAGTCAGAATTTTCAATACGAACGTCTAGACAGTTTCATTATACGGAGCTAAAAATTCGAAAACTACTGGAACCATAATCAACAAGGTACAAGTATTCATTAACATTTGTTTACTCAAGAAACTCAATGTCGATTGGCCGGAAACCATCAGCGACAATCTACTGTGTTAGTGAGTATACCAGCTTCCATCTGAATAGGAAATAAGTAAAAGACTTTGAAAGTGGATAGGATATAAATTGAGGAAATCAATAAACTACATCACGAGAAAAGCTCTAATTTGGAACCCTGAAGGGAAACAATAAAAAAGAAGACCAAATAAAATATTGTCAAGAATTGGAAGCAGATATTGAAAGGATGAGTAAAAACTGGGAACAACTGGAACGGATTTCCCAGGACAAATTTTTTGATGGAGGATGCTAGTGCACAACCTATGCTCCTCAAGGACAGGTAACAGGCATAAGGAAGTTAGTAAGTAATATGGAGTATTTAGTCACATTTGTGAACATTAACTAGTAATAGTGTGGTGCGTGCTACTTATATTGATATACGTAGTATATGAAGCGAGTCATGAATTTAATGTCTGGCAGCAGAATGTGGGGAAGATCAAAAAAGGAAGAGTGGGAATAGAGAGCAATTAGTATGGACATCCAAGAACAACGAAGTTTGAGACAATTATTGAAAATTTTGCAAGTTATGTATTATAGTATGGTTTTCTATTTTACCAAGTAATTCGATGGTCCCCACTGGTGTTCTTGTTCACTACAATAATATCCAGTATTCGAGATTTTTTCTACATAAGACTTATGAGTTGAATGTAACTGAATTATAGTGTTAATATCTCAACTACGAACTATACGATAACATCAGATAACATACCTGTAAATCTTTTTAAGTCGATATAATTCACCACAATTTAATGCATTTTCAACATTTTTACAAAAATGAATTGCTTCTGATAAGATTAAAATTTGTTCAGGATATATATTTGAATCAAATTTATATTGATGATGTTGATTTTCCATTGAATATTTATCATTGAAACATTGAATTAATAATTCATTTAATGTTACTTTCATTTGATTGGTTAATTTTTCAAGGCAAATTTCAATTTCATTGGTTAATTGAACTGATTTTGTAATTGGATAATTTCACCTTCAGATGAACATATTGCTATAATATTTGTTGATAATTTATTTGGATCCATTTTTAAATCTTCAGTATTTTGATTATGATCTTGTTTTTGTTGTTGTTGATGGGGATGATGATGGTTTTTGAATTGCACTGAATGTATTCCTTGAAATAATTTCTTTAAATGTGTTTGTATAATATTTGGATTAGTTGATTGACCTAATATTTCTAATAAATCATCATCACCAAGAAAATAAAAACGTGGAAATCTACTACGTTTCTCTTCTAAATATTCATTTAATGCACGTTGACATCGAGTTAATTGTTCCTTAAAATATAAAATTTATGGTAATATGAATAAGAAATGAAATTCATAGAAGAAAAAATAGATTATAATTTTGATATTGAATGAAATCAATATTGAATCTTTATTCATTTTAGATATTTGGGCATAATATGGAATAGCAATTACTTCCTGTACCGTTTATAACAAGCTTACGTGGAAGTTAGCTCTATTTTCGTTTGTTTTCTTTTCATGTGTTTCAAGAAACAAAATGTTAGGAGTGTTGAGGCTAGTCAAGAGACCGATATAATTATTATTTGGGATAATTAATTTGATTGACAGAACATTATATTAGAGAAATATGTTGATAGTCATTTCAAAACTGGAATAATGTGCTTAGCTAGCGGTAATAGACCTCTGCTATAAACAAATAAGTCTTGGTTTTTTTGGATCACTAGCAATGCGTCTGTCAGCAGTCCTACGTGAACGACTTTGCAGTGTATCCCATCGTATGAATTCCGGATGATGATGATGATGATGATGATGAAGATCCTCTCAGGCACACCATAGTGTCAAAGGAATTTTCAAAAATTTCTCATATCCACACTGTCAAACGCCTTCTCATGGTCAATTAAGTTGATGTGTAGTGACAATTTTTATTCAATTGATTGCTCAACAATTATCCTTAGTGTCACGATTCGGTCTGTGCACAACCGATCCTTACGGAATCCAGCCTGTTGATCTGGTTCATCAACACTCTGTTGAAAACGTTATCTTGTACTGACAATAGTATGATTAAAACACCACATACTATATATAGGGAGAAAACGTTTTCCACAATTTGCTCGACTATGGTCATTATGAACAATTGTATGAATCAACTTTTATCTATTCTACTCTACACTTACCTCAAACTGATTTATGTGTATTTCTGTTCTCATACTAAGTTACACTTCATTCGTTTTTAGTTCACATGTTACTCAACCAATCTTTATTATTTTCATAATTTAGACAATTGATATAGATCAAAAGTTAATTTTAATAGTTCAGATACACTCAATTTTCATTTTAACTTGAATTAAGAGCATAGTATTCTTCTAAATATTACATATCTCTAGTCTTGTTTGACAGTTTTGTATAGCTTTTCACATCTTAGTTTCCCTCTTCCTCCTAATTTTCGATCACTATACTAATGGTAAAAGAAATGCCATGCAATCTTGATCAGTACACATTGAACAAGATTCTATGTCGTTTCTGCATCTAACTCAAATACGTTTCCTTAAGAATTCAGAGTAATTAGTAGATTCTGGCTAACGCTTAGATGTTATTCTCTAATACTATTATACCGTTACCCATAACAAGTCCTTAAATCCAAAAAGTCCTTTATTATAATATACTGTATTTTTGATAGGAAATTCAAAAATAAATAAACCAGAAAGAATAATAGAGTTAACAAAGCATTGTAACATACCTGTAAATTATTTAATGTATCCTTCAAAGCTTTACCTTTCATACCATTAACTAAACTAATAACACGATTATCTACTTTCAAATAACCAATTAATTTACGGAATTCTTCATCGATTTGTGCATATCGTGCAGTTTCTTTTGGCAATGCACCACGGCCCATAATTGGTTCTAAGTAAACCCATTTACGTTGTACTAATTGAAATCTAGTCAAACAATAATCCAAGTCAGTTAAACGTTGTACCCAAGCATTGGATCTATCCAAAAAATTATCAATATATGGAGAATCTTGTAATGAAGCCAATAAAGCCAGATTATCACCAACCTTGATGTGAACAGCACATTAAATGACAAGTTTAATTTCATGATATTATTATTACTATTAATGATAATTGTAATACGAATGTCATAAAAACTGGTGTTATGAGATTTCCACTGGTTTTACATCTGTCATTAATACTTTCTTATCAAAGTGAAGAAAGTAATTAGATATTTTTCTTTTAAATATACATCACTGACTCTGGTTAAACAGCATTAAGAACTAGACAAAATTTGATACTGGCCACTATTAACTGATCATTTAATGTGAAATCTGACTTTCTGTACCTACTAACTCAGTGATTAGATACATTATACTTATAAAAGTTTTGGATAATGGAAGAAAAAAGCAGTACTTCTATATATAAGGCCGGGGAGTATCACATAAACTGTATAGTTCAAGATAAAGTGTTGGGGATGTTAGGTCCCTAAAACTCATTTGCTAAATGCCTTATTTTTGTAATTCTGATATGACGGGAAGAAAAGTCAAAGTTCGATTGATTTACTCATTATGATCTTTGGTTCAACATTACTTCCGTTTTAATTCAGTGTTATGATTATTAAGTGTAGTATTCGGTTTTGCTTTCCTTTATGACATTTTATTCTGTATAACATACGATATTCTTTCATTCAATTGACATGTACTATGCTCAGCATATGATTTGTTATAACTGTAAGTATTTTTCATATATGTGATTTCCTCATAATTATGAATCAAAAATGGGTGCATGAATCAATATATAAATGAGTGCATCTTCGACTAGGCTTGTCATGGTTGTTCGTGGTTCTGGCTGCTTGTGGAATATATTTTCCTCTTCCAAAATGAACCTCTCTCTAGTTTGCTGAGCTAAGATGCGTCATAATAGCAAGCTTATTGATCAGTGTGTCCCAGAGTGTTCTCGTTCCGTTCACAGATTAGGTGAACTCGCGATCTCCTCAAACATAGCAGTAAAAGAAATATATTATTTGTTATTGACTTACATTAGATTATATTAAACAGTGAAAAAAGGAACCTAAATTCTATTGATGAATGTTATATATCACTATTACATACAGTTACATACTAGATTAAATGTACAATAAACATTTAAGTATGTATGTTCTTTAAACTAACCTGACTAACAATTTCTTTCCAATCTTTTACCAAGTACACAATTTGTCCAGAACTATCAATATATTCAGTTAGTGTGAATGTAGTACCAGAACCCCATAAGTCTAATTCTTGTAAAGCTTCTCTAACAACAATTTCAGCTTGTGCACGTTGTGAAAGAGATTTTAGCTTATCAGATTGACTAATTATATTAGGTATAACTGGAAAAAAATCACCAAATAATAAATTTTCTAATTTTAATTCTTTTGATAATCCAATTAAACGAAATAATTCAAACCAATGATCTCTAGTTAGATGATCACCTTTTAGCCATTTCAATACAGGTATAAGATCCTATAACAAAATAAAATATTGTAGAGAAAAATTAAGATTTGAGCACTGGGAAAAATGTCAATGTCACTTCACAAGCTGAAATCGTTATTGAATAATCTACACGTGTAAATGATTACTTTATTTCTAAAGAAGAGTGATGTATAAGTACGTTAGGTCCCGATAAACATAATGAATGGTAACTTTGGGATCCGTTTGTGGACCAATACTAAACGTATATTTTTATCGTATAATTGTTAAATAGGTAAACTATTCATATTCATGTTCCTCTTATTATAAGCTTTATTTTGACCTATGAACCATTATTATACGTTTTACCATTCTTGAATTATGCCTTGTCTATTAGTCACTGCCTCCCACATTCACAGCCTTATTTGGCCAAATTTTGTACAAATGTTTGTTCTGTTTTATTGGTACGTTGTGGTCTGTTTGATTGGTATATAAATGTAAGGATTCATATTGCAGAGGCTGAGATTGGTGTTCTGGACTTAACCGACTGGGCTAGGCGGAGAGCAGGGTCAATCAGGACTCTAGGCTGCTCACACGTGTTTTACGCGTCCTTGGTCCGATCGATAATTCGCTGCTTCTGACTGGTGGCTTTGGGCTATAACAAAGTATTTAGTTCTGTGATGATTCTTGTCCATTTTAAAATAAATTATCATTAATAAATCAATTGAGCTAGATATTTATGAGGGTCTTAAGTATATACAATTTCAGATAGGTCTTGAATCATGGCAAAATCTATGTTTAATATTCCATAACATTCAGTAGCTAACCAACTAATTTCAGATAATTATGAGAATCACATTATATATAGACAAATACGTCTCATGTTATTCATGGTTAATCACAAACTTCACAATAATTACGTTATCCATTTCTTAAATTGTAATGATGTACACAGACTAGCAGATTATTTTAAAATATCTTCTGTACAAATCCATCTGTTAAGTAAAATTAAGATCATACATAAAGGGGGACTCATCACGGTGACATTTTACTCAATGTTCTCCACGTTGTGCTGAACTTTTCTAGTTCTAGATGCTAACATAAATCTTGTAACTGGGCTGTAATCGTTCAACACTAAGAAGTTTATTTCCTAACTTGACAGTCCAACTATTCCAACTGTCTATCATGAAAATGTTGGCCTATTCTTCAGTTTCAGTTTTTAAAACCACGTTTATATCTAAGTATGATGCAATATCGTTGATGAACAACATTATCCATGTTTATATTATTTTTGTAGACTCAGTTACCTTCCAGGAATTGAACGTATTATAAAACCTCTCGTCTTACTACAGCTCCGATTAGTAAAAATGACTATGGTTTAACATTAAACACTAAAGTGTGTGAAATACTGAGATGAACTCTAGTTAATAAACTGTTTAATATACCTTCCATGGAAAAGATGTAATATTTATATATCTCTGCAGCTATGAAACTTTCTTGGCGTACATACTAATTTTTACTAGATTTATGACTACTGCGGATTATATTTCATCAAGAATTACTGTATTCTATGATAACCATCAATAACTATAAATTTTATTTAGATCAACAAACCCAAGCTGAAAGACTATTGAAAACCAAGAAATACTTCACAGCTCTTTCGTCCTAGTCACGTGTGTTTACCCATGACTCCTATGGAAATCAAACTTGGGACCTCTCATAGCGAAAGCTTCATTTTTAAAGCATCAATCTGGCATCTAATGGTTAATATATCTTACTTAGGTTTGTTTGTAATCATAAAACGATTTTACAATCCCCACAAACCCCCATACTAATGATTCTACATTGACTCGCACATTTTGCATTTCATTACTGGAAAGCTCAATCATAGAATGTCAGACTAAAATATTTATTTACTTCTTTATTTGAACACATAAATATTGGTAAAAAGGGGCATCGAATACATATGCGCCACACAAGTCACTTGATTTGTCGGTGGGCTATGAAACCACCCGGGTGCCTAGACCTAAGCAAGTGTTTTTCTTAGGGAGCCACAGCCTGAGGCCTAAAGATCTGATCCACAAGGCACTGGAGCATCGTAAGGAGATGCATTTCAATGGTAGCCAGTGATCAACAATAGGTTCATACACCATTTATTCCTTCAGGATACTGAAGTCCATGTGAACCATTGGTTTGGAATCAGGGTTTTCCACCAACCCGATTAAACCGTCGGACATTCGCTTTTCGTTCTATGTATTTCTTAAACAACACCCTCGCTACGAGAAGGCGATGAGTACAGCTTCCCTTGCAGTGGTCGTGTGCACGTGGCCATGTGAGAGCATTCGGAGAGGGGGACCTGACTCTCCCCACTTTCGGCCGTACCAGGGCATATCATATCTTTTAAAATGTCATATCTTTATCTCTTTTAAATGTTATCTCTGCTTTTGTATCAACGTAATTTTAACGATATATTGATGTATATTTTATAATTTTTTTTTCAGAATATAATAGGGTGAACCCATGGGTTCACCCATAGATTAAATAATCAAATATGGGATTAATATCAATTCTAGTAAATTTTACCATAAGTCCATCAATTTCTTTTTGTAATCGAACAGTCATTGGAGTTGGTTGTAAAGAACGAAGTTTATTAGACCATTCTGTTAGAAATTCTTCAAATACATAATAACGTGATCTTGATAAAGAAATCAGAAAACAAAATATCCATTAACTAATATTATAAGAAGAAAGAAAAACATATACTGAATACAACTGTGAATAATCCAATCTAAACATATGTTATTGATACTTATAAGAGATATTTAGTAAGTAAGTTATACTTGTACATACCAGTGAAGTTTCTATGTGACAGGTTCTTCTCAATATTGAACACATTTAGAATATAATTCGTTAATTAAGTAATAGTTTGGAAATGCCAAAATAACTCAGCAGCTAGAAATATATATTAAACAATTAAAGTTGCAGATGAATCTTCTTAGAGTTCTGTCGTGTCTTCTCGTCGTTTCGACATCGAGAAAGTGCATATTCTATTTGCTTTTAACTTCAAGTGTGAAACTTATTGCTGAATGGCAGTTATTAACCTTCACATGTAGAGCCAGGTATATAGGTCATTCAATGTGTACTTTATTCGAAAGAATTCAAGAACATTACCCAGCTTGGCTATAAACAGGAGGAAACGGCTCAGTGAAAATCCCAATAATCAAACACATTGAGAACACAGCTCACTCGATCAAAGCGGACTCCGCATTCAAAGTCATTTACGAGGTAAGTAGAAGGCTACCAAAGGCAGTTATAATGCATCTTCTCAACATTGCAGAAGCAAAAACTATACATTTGTATAAACCAGAATTATGTGTCCAAAAGAAATTGGTGCAACGTCTTCTCCCACCATGGCATTCCTTTATAACCATCTGCTTCCTCTTCTATCTCCATAGACCTTCTACTCACAACTGGTTTATTTCCGTTTCTATGATCCTCCTGATTACATTTCATCTCAACTTCAACATTTTTTTATCATGCTGAGCCATCCTTTCACAATTATAATTTCCTCATCCGTCTTTATGATGAGTATTCGAGGTCTTAACAATAAAGCTATTATTAGTTCCCCTGATGAAAAAATAATATCCAAATACGTAAGTAAAAATGAATGGTGGCTAGCAGTAGAATCCAGGACGCGCGTTTCGTCCCATTTGGGACTCGTCAGCTGGATGTGCCTGCATCCGAGTTGATGGTTACTCAAGAACTCGAACCATATACCGTTTGCTTCAAATACTATCGCGTTATCCACTTAGCTACTGAATCCAGATAGCCACCAGCTTGTGCAATGGGAAGATTTAAACAAACAATACAAAAATGAACGTTTTAATACCCCTGTTGATTGTATCTCACTGTCACCATGTTAAACAGAATTTTATTATCACTATTATTGTAATTATTACCATCCTGCATAATAAGTGTATATGTTGTGTATGCTACTATTATGAACGTATATAAGTGGTATGTAACACGATTTAAAAATATAATACCTGTCAAAAAGAGGATTAAGATTGAACTGAAAAGAACCGAAATGGAAACAGAAAGAAATCAGAATAAAAACAGAATTGGAAGAATCAAGTAGAGTGTGAATGACAACTAATGGAAGATGTACAAATGAAGTAAATAATGTATGATTTTCATAATTTATTAAGATGTACTGTAATTTTCCACTAAATGATAATATAGTTTTCCTCACCGAGTCTACGTTCACTACATATTTATTTATGATTGTACAACTTCGATGATGTAATTCGCTGAAAAGGAAACTTTTGGCTGAACCAATTTTTTTCTTATTTAATGTCTCAATGGTTGTATTCAGTTTAATTATTGAAAACCTGAAAAAAATAATCGAGGTTATTTCATTCTTTAATTTACACTCATTATGTTGTTTGGGATTCAAATCCAGACCATTAAGTATTGATCTAAGTGGAAGAATGTATTTGTAAAATCTTAGCGAAAGAATTTGAAGTAAATTCAACGTTTCACTTGGCAATCTGGTTCAAGGAAAATCTTCCTTGGGGACAATCGAATATATTTGTCATATAATTACACGACTTGTTAATAAAATCTAACAATCACAAAGTAAATGCTTAATTTGCAAAATGTCCATCAATTGTCTCAAAATGACTCAGACTTCATTGTTCTTGCATTTTCATACAAATTGCATTCTGTTTCCATTCTTTACTGTTCGATCCTCTTGTTTCTATGCTGCTAGACATTCTGTTCACGACTAACATAATATACTACTTATGTCAATATAAGTAGCACACACACTGAAATTTTCCACATTCTCATGTAACATTTATTGGTAAAAATCGGCCGAAGGTAAACCTGAAGTCTCATAGACATAATAAATGGAATTTTAATTGAACAGAAATTTCTAATAACTAAAGTGATTTATTTGCAGTTTTATAGTCAATATAAATATTTCAGTTAAGTAGTCATTTATAAACTTAGGTTTCGTCGTTCTTGACACTTATTCATAAGTTGTATCTGTTTGACGAATGGACCAAGTAGTATAACATGAGTTACTTGTTACGTCCTTATGGCTGATTAATTATATCACGTGGTACGACCACCAATTAGAGACACCAACTTATACAAGCAGGCCCCCAAATGCCCTGGTACGGTCGAGAGTGAGGAGACTGGCGTCTTCCTCTCCAAATGCTCTCACATGGCCACGTGCACACAACCACTGTCACGGAAGTCCTACTCATTGCCTTCTCGTGGCGAGGGTGTTGTTTAAGAAATACATAGGACGAAAAGCGAATATCCGGCGCTTAAACTGGGTTGGTGGACATGGAGAGTTCACATAGGGGGGCGGGAAAACCCTGATTTCAAACCAACGGTGCACATGGGCTTCAGTATCCTGAGAGAACAAATGGTGTATGAACCTGTCGATGGTCACCGGCTACCATGTAACTGCATCTGCTGACGTTGCTCCACTGCCTTGTGGATTGGACCTTTAGGTCTAAGGTGCCAGTTGTGGCTCCCTAAGAAAACCACCTGCATCGGTCTGGGCACCCGGACAATAGCCTAGCCATCACACAAATCGAATGACTTATGTGGCGCATACCTATTTGGTGCCTCCTTGTAGCAATGCTTGTGTTTAAATAAATAAATAAATAAATAAATAAAACGACCAGATTAATGACGCATGAAGCTGTACGAGCAGCCTAGAGTTCTTATTGGTCCTCCAAAAGAGTAGCTTCTCTCCTAACCCAGCCGGTCTAGTCCAAAATACTAATAACAGCCTCCGAGATACGAATCATATATTTCAGACATACTGGGTTTGTATACAAACAAACCAGACATCATCGTACTATAAAATAGAAAATAATATCCACACAACATCAAGCCAAAAGTGGCTGTGAGTGTGAGAGATTGTAACTAATGAAGTGGAAATATCTTAAGAATAGTAAATCGTGTAATAATAGTTAAAAGGCAAAATAAAAGCTCAGAATAAAAGGAATATGAATATACATATGATATAGTTACTTAATAGTTATACAATAAGAATATGTATATTAGTAATAGTCCATAAATAGATCCTAGCGGTTACTATTCACCTATTCTTTGTTCGGACATAATATTACTAACAACCGGTGATTACTTACATTATCGGAAATTTGAAATAATATACACACATATACATGATTAACATTGAAAAAAACCGTCTAGATTTATTAAATCACTTCTTTGCAGATATTAATATAAAGCTTGGTTGAAGCATGTTTCTGACGAGAAATGATTAAAATAATTTGTTGTTATCGTCATCAGGTGTATAAGTTATAACATTTGAGGAATAATTATCTGTTCTAATACTTACCCTCCTCCTAGCCACAAAATAAACAAAGTCAATTCATTCATGGTTGAAATGCTTTGTCTATGAATTTCATAAAGGAAGCTACATTTTACAAAACAAGTGTTCTCTGTTTACAGAAAATACATAATATTAAACCTTTTTCTAATTTTCATACCTGGTTGGTATCCGCGAGACGATAGCAACCAATGGTTGGAGACCTTGAATGACATGACTCAAAATCATTTGCAATGGCACAGGTGCATCCACTCTTTGTGTTCTTCCAAATTCCAATCTTTTGAATTCTTCATGTTTTTTTTTTCTCTTTCCAAATTTATTTCGCTGGATTATATTCCTTGAATAACATCTTCAAACTCTAATATTTCCGATTACTGCTTATACTTTTACTACATCGAACACTATGGGATTTGAATCGACAATTGAATCATTGTGCTAATGTGGTATTGCAACTTGAACTGATGTACGTACGTACGTACGAAGTTCTACGTTGTTACTGACTGACTGACTGAGAAATGAGCAGTTATCATACTATCAGATTCTGACCTGTAAAAATTTCACCTGATAACTCAAACAATAATTTTATCCATGTTCTGTAAATGCGCAACAAAATCCATCATAATAATTCGTAAGTTGTTTTTCCCGTTTATACTCTTACATTGTGGTTGTTGGAGTTATTTTTGAAATTTAACATCTTTGATATTACTTACTTCTGGTTAGTAGTAAATTGAACTGATTTTTATATTCGATGTATTTATTCTAATGGAAGAACTAATTTTTTTTAAGGTAACTATAAAGTACCATAAACAGAGATGGATCAATTGACTGATCAATCTCAATCTTAAACATCAATGCAAAGATTCAAACAAACAATATCAAATGAACTATGAAGTTTTGTTCAATATTCAATTAACTCACTTAAATGATATCCAATCTTCTTTGGCATAGTTTTGAAGTTCCTTAGAAAAATGATCATATTCTAACCACATAAGTGAATATTCATTTAAATCATTGGCTAATTCACTAACCAATGAAAATTCTGGTTTAGGCATATCGAAATACTCATAATCTCGTCTGTATAGGAAAAGAGTGAAACAATACATTAAACAATATAAAATGAACATATATGATAAGAAGGATAGTCAAAAGTTTGGTAATCAAACAAAATTTAAGACTAAATTTGCTGCTTACATTCAGAACTAATCTCAGCAAAGATGACCATTGAAAACCAAGAAGTAATGGATGGCTATTGCGTTCTAGTATGGAACTCCACATAAGTATGTATCTACAACCCTATGGGCGATTTAGTCCAGGTCTTTTAGGTTTCATAAAGAGCTCTCAACTTATGTATGAACAATTACATCTATTTGTTTTTCATTCTCTCAAATGGATGTCTACTCAAATATATGTACATGAATAATTTTGAGGGTTAATCTTCATCATGAAAATATATCAGTTGCCAAATCTTTGTTTAGTGCCACTCAATAATGCTCTCTCACAATCTCATTAGGGTACGAAATTCATGCCTTTAATTCTTGCGATAAGTCAGCTAGTTTTAGACCATTATTTTTCGTACCAGTTACTTGCTGACAGTTGCTACATAGCTCTGTGCGTATATTTCATGATAGCTGGCAGTTATTCGTGATTATGTCATTCAATATAATCAAAAGAGGAGTTAAATTTGATAGACTGGTAACTATAGCTAATAATAAGAGATATCTGCTGAAGAAGAACATATACCAACAGTGAACAATGTAAATCAGTCTTGGATATCGTAAACAGAAAACTACGGACCTTTATAATTTAGGATAGATATCATACCCGTTGACGAAGTTGATGTCTATATTTGTTCGGCAGCCTAGTGTAAAGTGAACCTTTGTTTAACTGTCTAAGTTTTAATCATGAGTCCGAGTGTGGACATCAAGACTTGAATGCAGATACATTCAGCTAATGGGCCCTAAATAAGACAAAATCAATACCCTAGATTCCACATCGAGCTACATTTTAAATATGCTGAAGAGACGACGTTAAAAACTAAAGAAATTACTATGAAAGGAATGGAATGTAGCAAGTAGTAGGGTCCATAAAGTGCCTTTCGTCTCAGTTAAAACTCGTCAGTTGAATTGTATATGACTTTTATATCAAGGAAGCTGATCAAAATCCAACGAATAAAATTTAAAATCATTACAAATTAAAGTTTAAACGTTATTTTTTCATTTACATTAACTTTTGACGCATTAATTCAAATTCACGAAATTCAGTTTCATATTCTTTGATCATTGTTACAGCCGATTGACATAATTCATTATTATTAGAATCTAATACATTTTTGCCTGGTTTAAGTTGATTCCAACGATTTTTAAAACGTTCCAAATTATTAAAATAAACATTTGTTTCATTGATAACATTTAACTTTAAAATCTAAAACAAAAATAGTAGTATAATCAAATTGGAAAGATAAAATATTGTGAGTTTGATACAAATTAAACGTTTCTAATACAATTCTTTTTAAAGTGTTGTATTCTATGGTTTAATTGTAGAACTCTTATTGTTATTCTGCATAGTATTATCAAACCAATCAAATCAAATCCAATCACAAATAACGGAGAAGATTTGGAAGATGTAAAAACCTCTACATATTTAGGCAGCATAATTGATGAACAGGGTGGATCTGATGCAGATGTGAAGGCACCTGATCGGAAAAGCAAGAGCAGCATATTTACAACTGAAGAACATTTGGAACTCAAACCAACTGTCAACCAACAGCAAGGTCATGATTTTCAATACAAATGTCAAGACAGTTCTACTGTATGGGGCCGAAACTTGGAGAACTACGAAGGCCATCATTCAGAAGATACAGGTGTTTATTAACAGCTGTCTACGCAAAATACTTCGGATCCGTTGGCCAGACACTATAAGCAACAAACTACTATGGGAGAGAATAAACCAGATCTCAGCGGACGAACAAATCAGGAAGAAGCGTTGGAAGTGGATAGGTCACACATTGAGGAGAGCACCCAACTGCGTCACAAGACAAGCCCTCACATGGAATCCTCAAGGCCAAATGAAAAGAGGAAGACCAAAGAACACATTACGCCGGGAAATGGAGATAGACATGAATAGACACGAACAAGAATTGGATGGAACTAGAAAGGAAGGCGGAGGACAGAGTGGGTTGGAGAATGCTGGTCGGTGGCCTATGCTCCATTATGAGTAACAGGCGTAAGTAAGTAATTACCAAACCCTACTTCATGTGGAAGTGCAATTTTGAAGTTATTCTGCAAATATTACAATAGTTAATCCTGATGTCTTCATTTGTAATTGGTGGTGGGTATAGGTTTTGTTGTTCTCATTTGTTTTAATATTCATCCTAGCTGTCTATTAGACTGCTGTCTAATCTTGAAACTGAATGATCTCCTTTGTATGTTTCGATACTTCGGATGTATCTCGATGTGTTTATTGATTGGCAGTTGATTTGAAAGTCTAGATTGTAGGAATTCCCTGTTGTTTTTAGAGTTTTTTTCCACCGATCGCATGTTTGTAGTTGTCCCCATATATTGATATTAGTGATAGCATATCATATCGTCTTACTGTGAATCCATATTTATGTATACTTAGACGAACGATAATATTTCATTCGTCTCCCTTTGTTAATTTGTTTTTCGGTTTGCATAGTATTGGATATCAGAAAGAACTAATACAACGCTTACGGAATAACTGAAAAACTTATTTCTATTCCTAGTAGGCACTGATAGTATTGTCCAAAACAACAATCACAAATGTGTATTTAAATTACTTATCTCAAAGAACACAACATTACTGAATGAATCCACTTGAGCTGAAAATATACGCCATCATCATATATAAAATTTTAACCAAATAAAATGAAAATTTATCTTTCTATATAAGACAGACTACTAGTTGATACAGTTCAGTTGTAACGAAGATGGATTTTATAACTGGTAGACAGGTTTCAGTTTGAAACAAATGAATATAATGCTGATCGATACATGAATATAATGATACGATATAGCCAAGTGTTGACTGTTCACGAGAACACATTATTGATTGAAACAATAAAATGATTTAAGATAAAAAATCAAGACCACTAACCTGAAGAATAGCTTAAGTGCTTAGTGAAAAAGCGTGCTTTTACACACAAGTGATTAGCTGAGAACTATACATGCTTTTGATGGAGATTTATTCTGTGAGCTGGATGGACTAAATGTCACAATAGACAGGAGAAAACCACTCACATTTCAATTCATTAACATCTTACATTTACATTCAATACTTGACCATTGATAAGGATGTTAGATCACCAGAACTCACTTAGTAAATGCCTTATTTTTGTAATTCTATTCTAAAAATCTGAACTTCTTGTTTTCGCGTCAAAAGCGCTCCTTTCACCTTTCGTGAGAAACTTAAATGCTATTGGTTCGTTATCTCTTTTACTATGATATTTTGTACTGTTTTCCAAGGATATTTTTATGCTATGTATATATACGCTTGCATTGTGCTTTTGGCTGCTTGTAGAATATATTTCCCTCTCTCTAGTGAGCATAGCTGGGACGCATCGCAATAGCTGGCTTATTGGTCATTGTGTCACAGAGTCTTCATTCCGTTCACAGACTAGGTGAACTCGAAATCTCAGTATATCTTACGTTTTCATACCGATTCATTACAATGCAATGGAACACCAAACTATTGTCTTTCTTTAATGGATTAGATTTCAACATCTTAACATGAGTTTCTTTCATTCAGTAAACAACAACCACATTCCCTTACAAATCCCAACATCACAAACATTTTATACCCAACTAAAGCTTTAAATGATATAACCACTTCGTCACATATTCACCTTACTTGTAGAGGTATGGTGAAGATTAGTTTGATTTGTATATTGTCTTCGTTAGAGACTAATCTCACTTAGAGTACTATCAAGAATCAGAGATCCGAAAGAAATCTGTTTTCCCTTAGTATAGAGCTCAGTCATCCGCTCCCTATTATATTTGAAGAGATAACGAGTTCATCTAATCTGTGAACGGAACTAATACTCTGTGACACACCAACAGATAAGCTAGCTATTCTGACGTCTCCCAGCTCATCTAACTAGAGAGAGAAGTCGAAGTTCGGAAGAGGGATATATATTCCACAAGTAGCTAGAAATACGAACAACCACGACATGTCTAGTCGTAAATACACTCATTTTTGATTGATAATTAGGATGAAATCACATTTATGAAAAATACTTACAGTTATGACAAATCATATGTTCAGTATAGTTCATATGAACTTAATACAAGTATATCGTATATTTTCCACAGCAAAATATCATCCGAGGAAGTAAGGAAATACTACATTGGATAATCATCTCGAAATGGAAGTAATGTTGAATAAAAATCATAATGAATAAATCAACCTAATTTTGACTTTTCATTCCATCATATTACAGTAGTTTGAAAAGAAGTGTTCATTGATTCATTAGGATAACCGTAAATACTATTTTCTTTTTGTTTTCTTGAAATATATTCTTTGATGGACAAACTGTTCATCTTGACGATTGAAAGTTTATTTTGAATGGTACACTTATTTAGTAATCAACTAGAACGGTATACGAGATAGTGACATCTTCATAAATAAACTTTCAAGTTAATGATTAAATGGTGGTTGGAAGTAGTCAACAGGAAACCCTGGACCCGGGTTTCATGCTACTTGGCACTCTTCAGCAAGATGTACCTGCAATCTCGCGAATACATCCAACTGACAAATCACAAATAAAACGAAAGGCGCACAGGGAATTTTATAGCTAGCTACTATTCAACGTAACTGAAATTTCAAATGTTCGTTTACATATTCTACCTGGTTAAAATACTGTAAACTATTCATAGTAATTATAAATTACATCGTGTTAAATTAGACCTACTTCTAATTGTTCATTCATCATAAGTTGAAAACTTTCCATCAATGCATTGAATTTTTCCCATTTCGTTTTTACTGCAGCTATAGTTGTAATACCATTACCGGATACTGTACAAAGTAGTTGATTTTTTCTTTCAGCACATTGAATTTGATCATTTAAATGATTGATTGTTTTACTGTACTCATTGTATTGTGATTTAGCTGCAATCAATTCATCAATTGTTTGAGGTCGGCTGGAAAGCTTTTCTAACGAATCTGTGAAAGTAAAGAAAAGTAGAATCAAAATTTATTATTATTATTCATCGCCTTTATGAGTATCGTACGTTTAGTTACAGTATAAAAATCTCAGAACGAAATATGGATTATTTTAGCGAATTTTCTTGTTATATCGATTCAGCATTTCTATATATATCAGGCTTTTTAACAGTAGTCAGCTATTATTCGTCTTCACTCATATAAATGTTTGACCAGTTTTACTCCCATAATATCACTTTTTCATCGTCTAATATTTTTTGATGCATAAATCCAATAAAATTGACAGTAGTTTCTTCAAACGTTAGAAAAGAAAATACACTGACCGATTTAATTTAACAGTATTTTGCCTTACGATAAAAAGCACATGAATACATGTGGTTAAGGTATACAGTTAAACAGATAAAATAAATCCAATACAAGAAAATTTCATGATGGCATTCGTACAAATTCACTTGATATTGTTTACTTGAATCTTCTCATTGATACTTAGGACTGCAGTTGATCATTCTTTTATTGGCATATTTGCATAGTATGCGTATTGCCTCGATATTGACTTAGTTCATAAACATTGTAAGTGAAGATAAACAGTGGTTAGCAGTGGAAACCAGCACGCGCATTTCGTCCCATTTGGGACTCGTCAGATGGGTGCACCTGCATCTCAGAGTTGATGTTCACTCTGGAACTCAAACTGAGTACCGTTCGCTTCAAACGCCATCGCGTTATCCACTTACCGGCGTATGTGCGTGCACTTCTTATCCTACTCATCACGTCTGTAACCCATTTTTATCTGGCTACAAATATTGATTAACGCTTGATTAAATGGAGTTAGCTCACGCTACTCCTCCCCCGCTTGTCATTTCGCTTCGCCCTGCTGATTTCCTGTTCAGATCAGTGAGTGTACAAAATATATATATTCAAAAACCCATTCTCGTATTTGACTTATTTAATTAGGTTATTCACTAACGTGGATTAAGTCGATTATATACGAGGATAGCCAAGTTGTATATTTCGATAACAATCACTCGTACTATCTAACAGGAGTCAAAACCCCGGCTACCAAAAATGGTGAGCCCGACTTGATATCAGGCCATTTCGAATCAAGCGTTAATCAATATTTATAGCCAGATAAAAATAGGTTAAAGACATGTGACGAGTAGAATAAGAAGTGTGCGCACATACGCTTATATAAACACAGTCAAGGTTGATAAAAGGAATAATTAGCAAGGTCAAAATATGACTCAAGAATGGGTGAATTGGTGTGTCCAGAAGCTAGAATAATTTATGTGGGCTTAACATAGTAACCAACACTACACATTTCTTATTTCGTACGTTCTCATCAGCTGCTTACAATCTTATTCACACTGAAATATAACATATCAATTATGGTAGCTGAAGTATTGTAGCAACAAAGACTATCAGAAGAATAAATAATATGTCCATATATATGTGTAAGGTCATTCAAAAATAGACATAAGATATATATACGGACTATAACAGTAATTATCCAGATTTCGAGAATTTATATGATGAATCGCCTAATATATACAAAAGATTTAAAGAATTAACATAAGTTTTTTAAGAACTCAATTAGTGATAATCAAGAATCAGTGGAAAGTCAATTGTAAAGTAGACGAGACGGCCGATTGCTCATTAAGGATCAAGCAAAATATTACAAACAGTACAACCAATAACAATAATAGTACTAATAACTACTAAAATAACTGTAGGGATGAGACTATAATTTATGGACGACCTTTGAGCGACGCTAAATAGACCTCGAGAATGTCCACCTACATATTACGGCTAAATGAGGCTTATAAACCAGCGTAAGGAATTAGGAATAATATTTACAGTTGATAGTTGGGGTTAGGAATTATATATAAGGTTTTTATCACAAACAGACATCAGCTATAATGCCGAAACTCTACTTCGCCAAATGAATGAATCAATTTCGCGCCGAAATTCAAGACCTGTTATCGTAAATCTGATTAGTTCGTCCATAAATTATAGTCCAACCGATTTTGTCCAATTTTTCTAATATATATATATATTAGAAAACTTGAACTTGTAGTATATATACTGTTCTGATGAAGTATGACCTAGTTTGCTTGTCAGTTATTTTAAAAGATTCAAGAAAGTTGACAATATGGCCTCTATCGATTAAGTGTTAGTCGATTGAGTTGACTAGACCTATAGCATATTTCAGTCTCAAATTCTTTGAAAAGTCCTCGATAATTGAATTGTAAATAGCTAATGTGAATGAATTTATATTATTCAGCTTCAACTATTGTTCATCGTTTATTTGGATTCCGGGAACAAATGAATTTAACTGTACACGAAAAAAATTACTTCAACTAACCTGTTAAAAATCCATCTGCAGCTACTAAATCAACATGAATTGATCTACGGAGACAATTTTGCAGTGTGTCGAATAAATTCTGAAGTAAACTGTCAATAGCTGTTTTAACTGGTAAACAATTCACTATAATACAATCAATTCGTATTTCATTTGGCAATTTTTCCACATCACGACTACGTATTTTCAGAGCCTTTAGGAAATAGTATTAGATAGATGAAAAGTTATAACATTTAAAGCAAACATGAACATTAGAGTAAATATTTTCGACTAGACTTGTCGTGGTTGTTCGTATTTCTAGCTACTTGTGGAATATATATCCCTCTTCCGAACTTCGACTTCTCTCTCTAGTTAGATGAGCTGGGAGACGTCAGAATAGCTAGCTTATCTGTTGGTGTGTCACAGAGTATTAGTTCCGTTCACAGATTAGATGAACTCGTTATCTCTTCAAATATAATAGGGAGCGGATGACTGAGCTCTATACTAAGGGAAAACAGATTTCTTTCGGATCTCTGATTCTTGATAGTACTCTAAGTGAGATTAGTCTCTAACGAAGACAATATACAAATCAAACTAATCTTCACCATACCTCTACAAGTAAGGTGAATATGTGACGAAGTGGTTATATCATTTAAAGCTTTAGTTGGGTATAAAATGTTTGTGATGTTGGGATTTGTAAGGGAATGTGGTTGTTGTTTACTGAATGAAAGAAACTCATGTTAAGATGTTGAAATCTAATCCATTAAAGAAAGACAATAGTTTGGTGTTCCATTGCATTGTAATGAATCGGTATGAAAACGTAAGATATTCTGAGAATGTAGTCTAAGACATTTGGAAATTAGAAATATATGTCATCTTAAACATAGGCCAACAATTATTGACAACCTCTTATATTTGAGATATCAACTGACCTTTCTTTATAATCTTAACTGAAATACAATGGATGCACTATATACTTAAAATTAGTCTCCACGATTGTTTCAATGTGGAACTACTATTTAAAAACGTTCAATCGACAAATCATTTATTTGCTAATACGAGACATCCTTTGAATATATTAAAGAGCTTAGATTTCTTTCCACGTTTCGTAGATGTAATTGACTGAGGATGACCGGTTGATTCCTTAACAAAGTACCTGATACATTGGAGAAATCATGAAACTGCATCACGAGGCAAGCTCTCACTCGGAGTCTTGAAAGAAAAAACAAAGGGAACAGATTAAAGAATACGTTATGCCAGTAATTAGAGGCAGACATCAAATGAATGAATGGCACTCGGAAGCCACTGGAAATGAGAACCCAAAACAAATTTGATCGGGTAATCCTGATAGGTGTTTCTATGCTCCACGAAGGGTCATAGGTACTAATAGGTAAGTATCAACAACGGAAAATATAATGCATCATAAATATAAAACAAATAGAACAACAAAAGAAATTTACTGACCTTGAAATTCCTTTCATAGTCATCCAAATCACGACAATGTAAATCCACAAAATCGTCTAAATTTAAACTACCTAATATAATCCAATCTTGAAATTGTTCTAAACTACCAAATAGTCGAGTAAATAAGAATTCAGCTTTTTTATAGCATATACGTAAGCCACTTTCTTGATTATCAATTATACATGAGAATATATGTTTATTCATATTAGATATGGAAGTAGTAGTCATACGATCTGTACTATTATTATTACTGTAATTATCACCAACAGATGGAATAAATTCATTGAATCCACGAAAATTGTTCGGAATACAAATGAACTTTTTTAATTCACGATAGTATTTAGCTTTTATCTAGATATTTTAATCAAAAAAGAATTTAAAGGGAAGTACTTATTCTGTATGGAGATCTAATAAAGATTTAAGTAGAATAATATATGAATTAGTCTTGTTTTGCTAAACTCTCTCTCGCTCTCTATCATCAGCTGTAAAAATCTAATGAGTTCATGTCATTCTATTCAAATGTTTGTTCCTGTTCTCTTCATACTAATGTTGGGAACTATCTGGGTTTGAGTCCCAGAGTGAACATCAACTCTGAGATGCAGGTACATCCATCTGACGAGTCCCAAATAGGACGAAACGCGCGTCCTGGATTCTACTGCTAGCCACTATCCATCGTTGCTTACAATAAGCTTGTGAATTGAGGCAATATCGAGGCATACGCACAGTATGCACATATGCCGACCAATTGCAGTCTTAAACCTCAATGGGAAGATACAAGCCAAATAATACCAAGTGAATGAAATATTTTGTTTATTTTGAAAAAGATCAGTTAGATAGCTATAAATTGGTTTCATTTCTTGTTGATTGAGAAGTCATTGAAGGACATTCTAAAACTATAAATTACTGTACTGTTTTATCTGTACTAGTTTAGAACACTTCAACAGTGCTCATATACCTAGAGTTCGAACCCCAAGAAATTGATGTTTGAGGTAAGTTACCTTCAAGGAATATTATGTTGGTATAAGTATTCCTAACTTTAACTAATTTGTGATATACTGGGACAGCATCCAACTGTGCTGATGTATGAGTGTTTCATTCCCAACATGATTAAACTTCATCAGACATGACTTGTTAAAGATTTCCTGGTTAGTCGCCAATACGATTGGACATGACATTCATTAATAGTAATGTGTAATGATTTGACTGACAATATCCAACCACCGGTAATTCTAATGAACGTAGGTAAAACATTTTGTTTATAATTACCTTTGAATCAGTTTAGAACTAAAGTTCACTTCTTTATAAAAATTGGTTATTGAGTAGTAAAAATATTATTCAGTTACTTATTCTTCGATACCAATTTTTTCAACCAAATTGATAATATTCTACCTGATATGTATCCATTCCAATGCCTTTAGTTAAATCCGAAAAGTCAAACTTATTTTCAGGAGAGGAAGGCGATACGACAGAGTCAAGAGGGCAGGATTAACTCAGTGTGCAAACCAATCGGTATATCATTAATATTGTAGTGTGAATTATAAATAGTATATGGCAGGAATAGAAAGTAGAATGCCTATCAGCAGAAGATTGAAATAAAGAGAAAACGAAGGAGAACAGAGAACAACTAGGATAACAATAGAATCGGAAGAATGATGGAGTATGTAAACGACAACTGATTGAAGATATACAAATGATGGATTTAATGTATGATTTTCATATTTTACGAAGGTACTGTTGAAGTTTGCATGGAAACATTAAATTTGTTTTCCGCATCAAGTCTTTATTCGTGTAGTACTTCTTAAAGCATTACCCAGTTCAATTTATTCAGATCTGAATATTACCCTGACTGTAAGTAGACCATATAAAAAGTGGAGTAATCAGATATTTATTTTGGTTGTCAAGTAAATCTTAATCACCAGTTCTTATGTTCTCATTACGTGTCATAAGATTCAGGGTTTCAGTATTAAGCACAAATCAGTTACACTTTCAGTAAACATAACGAAGACAGACATAACACTATCAAATTACATAAGTTAACATTAGATTATTCATCATATATGAAATGAACTATATCAAAATCTTGCTGAAGACTTAAAGGAAACTGAACAAATTCATGAAACGCCGAGATCTGTCTATGAAGAGGCATAAGAAGCATTTCCTTTTGTATAGATCAAAAGTTTCAGTGAGTGTTGTAAAGACTGAATGAATGATCCAAACCTAGGACAATGGTTTATCTCATATATTAAAGAAACATTGCTAACACCTTCTGTTCGGCGATTTATTGTCCAGATAATTGCTTCAAACATACTGTGTTTATATACGAACCAAACAGACCACATCGCACCACAAAATAGAAAATAACATTTGTACAAGATCTAGCCAAAAGTGGCTATGAATGTGGGAGACTGTAATTAATAGACTGGGCATAACTCAAGAACGGCAAATCGTATAATAACAGTTTATAGGTCAAAGTTAAGATTGTAATAGGAGGGGTGTAGATATACATAATATGGCTACTGCATAGTTATACATTAAGAATATACGTATAATATTTGTCCATGAATAGTTCTCAAAAGTTGCCATTCATTATTCTCGTCGCGACATAACACTTATCGAATGCACTTGTAAAAAAACAACTTACTTCTTCAAATGGTGGTCGAAATGCTAAACATGATTGTATATAAACCATATCAACACGCATTTCAGGCATTCGTTCACTAATTTCTTCTAATCCTCTTCTATATTGATATTCCAATACTTTGTATAATTGATGATCTAGAAATGCTCTCCATGGTGCCATATGATTAGCTGGATAGCCACCATTGGTAGCAGTTTCAGATAATTGATATCGCATTTCATTCAATTCATTTCTCCATTTAGATTGATTACGTAGTAAATCAATATCCAATAGTTTGATAATCTATAATTGATCAAAAATAACTTCTGATGAGAATGAATTATCAGTCAAGTTGTACAAAGTTGGAATAATAATTATAATATAACTGAACTGCTTGATAAAGCGATGATCTAATGAGTAAAGAGAATACTGAGTTTTAAACCAGGAAATGGTAAGTTTAAACCTTGCACAGCTTAGCGTGGTTTAAGTAGTTGTGTATAACTAATTAGACCTAGAATAAAGACAAGTATAAAGACCTGCTCAGAGTAAATGAATTTTTATAAGAAGTTTCATTTTAAACCTTTCATATTCATAATTGTTTACCATATTGTATTTTAACAGAATACACTGAGTCAATTTTGTTTTCAGGTTGTTTTAATCAACTGAGGTTGCTAACTCCACACTTAGATTATTAAATAAATATATGAAAAATATTATTGACTGAGATCATGAACCAATTGTTGTTAAACCACCATTGAAAACCTGAACGCATTGGACGGCCGTTTCGTCCCATTGTGGGACTCCTCAGCAGTGCGCGTCCACGATCCCGCGAGCGGGATCCACGAAATTTCTTGGATTGGTTGAGGTTAGACATGGACACTATTGGATGCCGGCTCAGTGGTCCAGTAGGTTAAGCGCTCGCGCGCGATACTGAAGGCTCAGGGCTCGAATCCCGTGAGCTGGATCGTGCATGCGCACTGCTGAGGAGTCCCACAATAGGACGAAACGGCCGTCCAGTGCATCCAGGTTTTCAATAGTGGTTTAACATCGATCGGTTCATGATCTCAATTAAAACTTTACAATCTCCACAACCCCTATACTGAAAAATATTATTATTATTATCAGCTTACTCTTTCTATGAGCATATAATGTACTTTACGTAGACGACGATTTTCACTGATTAATTGTTGAGTTGCTTGTTGTAATTGTTGAATATATTGTTGTACTTGCTCTGTTTGATTCCATGTAACTGGATTTAATAAATTTTCTTTAGTGAAATTTTGTTTACAATTATATGATTTAATTAGACGTTCAAATGCTAATGCTGAATTAAGCATTAAAGGTTTTTGAAATGGTAACATTTCACTATCAATAGAATTATAGAAATGAGCTACCTGTAATTGCATAGATATAAAATAAACAAATTTATTATTATTATCAAGTATTTATAGGTTATTACTAATTTGAATACATAACACTGGTTTATTGATCAAGACTATTGGCTTACAACCAGCAAGTTGTCAGTTCGCATCCTGTGCCACCTACTCAGTTATTGGTGCCTTTTGTGGAAATAGTTAGACTCACAGACAAATGTCAAATATCAGAAGGGGTTTTGTGGATATTATAGTAATTTTAATAGTTGACATCATGAGTCAATTGAAGCTAGACCACCTGGAAGCACTGGATACGTTGGATACTAGCTCAATGGTATAATGGTTAAGCGGTCAAGCGCGAGAATGATAAGTCCTGGGTTCAAATCTCGCGAGGCGGGATCGTGGGTGCGCACTGCTGAGAAGTCTCACAGTAGGACGAAACAGCCGTCCAGGGCTTCCAGGTTTTCCATGGTGGTCTAACTTCAACTCGCTCATGATCTCGACCATTGAAATTATAATATATTGTAAACTCAAAATTATCAGAAAATTAAAACGTATAACAGTGAAATTGGATAGATGTGAATATGTGTTTCAGAATGATAGAGTGGTGATTGGAATAAATGTAGTGAGATTGCATAAATATGTGTGTAGGTTAAAGAAGATCTAGATGATCAGACATAATAGCAAGAAATTCTGATGAGAAAAACAACAATTAATTGATTACGTAAAGAAGCAATCGAACACAAATTAATGGTAATTAAGAATAACATAAGTTGACAATGAATTTCAAAAATAGATACCCTAGTCAAAATAAGGGAAAGAGGTGTAAGAATGATGTAATAAATTTGCGATGACGCCATGATGAAAAGGAAAGATTTGCGATTGTTTTCTCTAGGATACATAAATAACACTTCTAAAAGCCCTCAATTCCATCGACCGAAGACTTTATGGCATTTATTCTTGGGACTAAAAGTAAGGATTTCTTTCCATTCTGCTGATGCAGCTGTTTGGACAAATTCTTGTACGTTTGTATACATAGTTGGTGGTTACATGAAAGGGATACTTATCAATCTTTGACTCCATTAAACAACATATTGTCTTATAAAAGATAGTCAGCTTGGCTGAAGGATACGTTTTAGTTAGTGTGGTTTTTATTCTTCTGTTAGTTGTAGTTGCAACATTCTTACTTCCAAATTCATGTAAACAAAAAATAAGTTCATCGGTTACTGTAGATTTTTTAGGTATTCTATTTATACTTTTCCCATATTGCTCAAGACATTTCTGTGGATATCAGTCGTTCATCACAACCAAATCCTTAAATATATACTTCGTAGATAAATGACTACAAATTTACTCAAATCCACCATGGGAACCATTCCAAGCTTATTATTCATTGAGGAGTAATAAATATACTTCAGTTTGCCATGCTGAAGAGCCACCTCTGAGAGCGTTCATATTTCATGATGGCCGAAATACGTTTCCTAGTTGTGAATATGATTTGTAGCTCAGGTGGATGGTTATAATGGAATTCCGTTCTCTGAATCAGCTAATTTAATTATGTTTTCTCAGCTATCCTCCACCAGATCGAATAGTTGATTAATGCTTTGTATCTGACGCTTGTTAGTAGAATATGATGACGAAGACATTCTTGGGTATAGTACAGATATTATTTTATGAAAGCCTGACTTTTAGTGACATTCCCTCTTTTTTGAACAAGGAGAAGCGTAATACACTTATGTGATTTTTAACTGATGGAGACTTGCAACTTATGTAGATGATTTTGTCTAAGTTTCGTTCACTAAGCTGGATGGTTTAATAGTGTCTGCCCAGAGAATAAAAGTTCATTCAAGTTTCCTTGTAATTTCTTATGCTTGTTTAATAATATCTGAGTTTTAATCTCTATACTGAACATCCTACGAAAAAAATACAGTTTGTGCAGTATTGCACATCCACGATCTCACACCCGAGAACCGAGCTCAACACCACCTGTCTTGTGCACGAAAGCTTAACCTCTGAACCGCTGAGACGGGATCCAATGGTGTGCAAATCTGATTTAAGTCAATCCACAGTATTACACAACCATTTTCCAATGTCTTCACTGGTTACCCTCCTGATATCGCACATTGTTGAGATTTACTAGTCACAGTCCACTGGAGTGCACGAGACAGGTGATCCTGGGTTCGGTTCTTGGGTGTAGGATCGTGAATGTGCACTACTGAGGAGTTTGATACTAGGACTAAACACCCGTCCAGTGATTCAAGGTCTTCAGTGAGCGTTTTATTTAAATCGGTGTTTTTTTTAATAAAATACATTTTATCTGGCTATCTGTCAAATCAATTACCTGTCTCAACATTACTGCATATTGTGATATCTTTTCAGCTTCATTTGTAGCTTGTATTAGTTTATAAGGTATCGGATAGCCTAATCCAGACAATAGTCTCACTTCTCGTTGTAACTGCACTAAACCATCTGGGAATCCGACTTCTAAATGACCATCAACTGTAGATAAATTCAACAGAGGACCATTAGGATCAAATGCTAATGAGGATTGATTTGATTCCTTTGTTGTCGAAAGTGATAAGAGTCTATCACGTGACCATGCTTGAAATTGTTCATTGTGCCAGTCTTCAATTTGTTCAATTAAACTCAGCGCTTCCTGAAAAGTAGTCAAAAACAAACTTGACTATTTCCTTAAGTAATAAAAAATGAAATTGTTCATATGTGTGTAAAAAGTTATAGGAACTTTAAAGAATTTTTTTTCAAAGAATTGTTTGCTTTAAAGAAGAACATAATTCGTCTGAGAAAAGTCATCAAAGTAATTAATCACTTCACTGGAAAAGATTGGTGGACAAAGTCACCAGAACAAGACTACCAGAACAAATTGTACTTGGTCTGTAGATTTGTATAATTTGGTGTTACATCCCGACGAGAATTATGGATGGTAACTTTTGAGAACTATTCATGGACAAATATTATACGTATATTCTTAATGTATAACTATGCAGTAGCCATATTATGTATATCTACACCCCTCCTATTACAATCTTAACTTTGACCTATAAACTGTTATTATACGATTTGCCGTTCTTGAGTTATGCCCAGTTTATTAATTACAGTCTCCCACATTCATAGCCACTTTTGGCTAGATCTTGTACAAATGTTATTTTCTATTTTGTGGTGCGATGTGGTCTGTTTGGTTCGTATATAAACATAGTATGTTTGAAATACATGATTCATTGAGATTAGTGTTCTGGACTTAACAGGCATGGTTAAGCAGGAAGAAGGACCGGTAAAAAGACTCTAGACTTCTCATACGGATTTATGCGTCATTGGTCCGGTCGATAAATCACTGTTCTCTAATTGGCGGTATCATTTACGTTGTATACATTGACAGGGGCGCAAGGCCACAAGATATAACAATCGGCTATTTTACTGTGAGTTAAAGCAACTTTTCATATATGATACTTGGTGACAATCACTGAATACTACAAAGCAAATGAGATTAGTAGTAGTAATAGCAGGACTTTTGTACCACTTCTGATAGTAAAGACTAAAGTCTCATAGATGTGGAGTAGTTAGTCATCTAGTTTCGATTCATGAAAAATAAATCATGTTTATCTTAGTCAAAGTTTGACCATTTAAATATTAAGTAAATTTTGAAAACTAATAAATATAAAACTTTATGAAGAATAATCGTAATTCCATAAAGGAGATTTTCGGAGTATGTTGAGTTTTACAGCCTACATCACCGATTATTTTTAGTTAGGTAACTATTGAAAACAAAGAAGCACTGAACAGCTTTTTGATCCTAGGACGACATTATTCAGCAGTTCCCATGAACGACAACACCGTAGATTGAACGCAAGATCTTCGGCTTAGCGAGCAAACGCTTAACCTCTAGACCACTGAGTAAGCACCAAATAGTGTACATATCTGACTTCAGCAAATCTATGATATTGCACAACTGTCTTGCAATGTCGTTGGTGGGTAACTGCTTCATACTCAAAATGGTTAAACTTCACTGGTTATGGCTTTTTACTAGAACTCTTGGAATCATCTCCCGAAATCAGTCACTACAGAGTGTATTGCTAAGGAGTCCCATACTAGTACGAAACGGCCGTTCAGTTCTCCTTAGTTCTCAATCGTTTTTTAACTGAGTGCACTTCGGTATATTAAATACAGAATTCAACAATAATGCCTCGTTTGTTTTTGTTTGTTTTGTAGCGAACAGAACACCAGTGAGAATAATCAGATACATTTATCACAACATTACCGGACTTGTTAATAAAATCTAACAATCATAAAGTAAATGCTTAATTTGCAAAATGTCCATCAATTGTGTTAAAATGACTCAGACTTCATTGTTCTTGCATTTTCATACAAACTGCATTCTGTTTCCATTCGTTACTGTTCGATCCTTTTGTCTTTTTGCTGCTAGACATTCTGTTCCTGATTAAAGTCACATACTACTTGCGTTGATATAAGTAGCACACACCACAATTCAAACTAAATAACATTTAATTACCTGTTCATATACACTGAAACGTTGTAAATCAGACAAAAGAAATTTTACAAGCATAAATTCTTCTTGTATACGACATTTCATCTGTCCTCCCCAAAGCATATGATTTATACAATCCGAAATATTTCTAACTACAATTTTTGAAGATTTTTTTTGTGATTGTTCTTGATGATAATGTGGATTTGAGTTAACAGTATTTGATTTAGCTAGAAATTCTTCATGAAACTAAATAAGAAAACAAATGAAGAATTTTATGATAATCAACTAAAATTAATGTTACTGATCAATCTAATTTATGGACGAGCCAATCAGAAGCGTTTGAGAGATTTCAAGGTTAGAGCGCCAACTTCAGTACTTAATGATCGGTTCACAGGGAATTTTTTTACAAAACGTGATAATTGAGCGGCTATAACAAATAAAACGGCGAGACTATAATTTGTGAACGAATCAATCAGGTATAAGATAATAGATTTCGGATTTTAGCACGAAAGCCTTTTATACACTTGGTTAGATAAATTTCTGGCATTATAGCTGATGTCAGTTCGTGATAAAAACCTCATATATAATTCTTAACTAAGGCGAATTACGACAATTATCACGAACTGGATAATAAAAGCACCAGTAACATTGGCTGCAGCCGGGTACTACAATATATACGGATGATTGGAGAGCGTACGGATTCCTACATAAACTTGGTTATGTGCATCATATCGTTATCCACAAGTGGCATTTTGTGTACCCAACAACCGAACTGCACATAAACAATACTGAAGCTATGTGGTCAAGGCTGAAAGAGTTTTTGAAACTTTATCATGGCTCCAGAAGCCGACTATTCTGTAGCCATATGGATGATTTCCTCTACTGCAGGCATTACGATTTTAGGACCTCTGAATCTCTTTATAACCGTGACAAGTTTTTGAACCACATATAAGGAATATATCCACTTCATTTCCATGGTTTTGTATAATATATTTTTACTCTATACTGACTGTTTGCCGATTGGCTAATATTTCTCAAAGTCACTTGAGATTCATTCAAAGGTCATCCGCAAATTAGAGTCTCGCCGTAAAACTCTATGGGAAATTAACCAAATTGACAGAAGGAGTAATGTATGATCCTACTAAAGATATTGTATCCAAGATATTTAATCTTTGTTTAAATTGTCTATTGATCACTATAAAAGTGGGTTAGATAGAATCTAGGTTATTCATTCATAAAATTATTGACCTTCAGTATGTGGGGTGTCAGAATATTTTAATATTTCTAGTTAAAGTTTGTGAGACAGTAGTAATGAATGTTGGAAATTTAAAGGTGATATAGATCAAAATGAACGTCAATTATTAGTGCTGTTGCATTCAGTTTCTTATCATGTTCTTCGTTCCTCGATTTCATTCATTGTTTACCTATTATAAATTTTATAGTTGATTTGTTACGACTATTAACACAATCACTTGAACTCCTTTCAATTTTAACAGACAAAATTTCTCTTTGCTTTGGTGATTTGATGTATGGGAACTTAAGGAACATGGATAATTCGGTTAGGTTTTTATAACTAGCAGATTGTAGATATTAGGATGTGATCTATCTAATTAGAATCATCGAAATATTATAAATTTATGGTTAGGACCATGTAGATTATGTAAGTCAGTGTTGATCATAGTTACATAGATCCCCCCTCCCTACTATTTATCTTCCACTTAAATTTCAAAAAATTCTGCTGTTTTTTCAATTTCTTTCTGTTTACAATGATCTCATTTCAGATCATTTCATTTCTGTCTTTTTTCTATTCCTGTGCTGCATGGTGACTATGTATTTTTCTGAGCATAGTGACACTGTTATATCCCGATAAGCATAATGAATGGTAACTTTTGAGATCCATTTATCGACCAATACTATGCGTATATCTTTATCGTATAATTGTTAAATAACTAAACTGTTCATATTCATGTCCCTCTTATTATGACCTTTATTTTGACCTATGAACTATTATTCTACGATTTACAATTCTTGAATTGTTCCCTGTCCATTAATTACTACCTCCACATTCACAGCCACTTTTGGTTAAATCTTGTATGAAGGTTGTTTCCTATTTTATGGTATGATGTGGTCTGTCTGGTTGGTATATAAACCCAGTATGTTTGAAATACATGATTCATGTCTCGAAGGCTGAGATTGGTGCTCTAGACTTAACTGGCTGGGCTAGGCAGTAAGCGGGACCGATAAGGACTCTAGACTGCTCGTATGTGTTTTATGCGTCATTGGTCCGATCGATAATTCACTGCTCTTTAATTACGTTATACATTAACAGGGCACACAGGCCACAATTTATAACAAACACTCTGTTACTTTAAATTGTTATTTAGTTAAATTATTTTATTGGTATAAAAAGGACAATCTACAACCACCCCATGTTAATAGTAATAGCGTACTCACTGATAATTAAATTCGAGAAGAATTTAGTGAACAGTCATGATTGTTAGGTTACAGTTATGTCGTAGGTGATACCAGTAGTAAACAGGTAGTAATCACGTAACATCGACAATCAACTGAAGTTACAAAGATATCTCACTAGACCCTAACTCAGAAGTCTAAAGGTGTCACTATAAGAACCATAATACTGGATTCGATTCCTCATAAGGTCGTGGGTGTGTTGTATTATAGAGTTCGATACTAGTACGGAATAAACGTTTTATTCTTCAAGATTTGAAACAGTTTATGATTAAAATCAACTCATGATGCAAATTATCTTTATAAGAGACCTTAAATCACAGAAGTAAAATAGTACCAATAATAATGATAATATTACCTCTTTCAATGAAACTTCCAAATAACCAAGAAGTAATTCTCTTTCTGACTGTAAAATTTTTGCAGCAATAGGACGATTAATTAAATATTGAAATTTTTGGAATTCCATCAAAATTTGATTTGCAACCATTCGACTAGGATAAGTAACACCAGAAGCTGAAGAAAAAAAATAACGGAATGTGAATTCACTGCTATTTATATACATTTATATGAATATATGAAGGATGAAGGTATACTAAATACTAGGTCAACAATACAAGTAATTACATATTTATAAAAATTTTATCTAAGAAAATATGATTAAAAAATGATACTCAGTCAATCAATCATTCATCTTCTATTAACTTATGTGAACTAGTTCCATAAAGTAGACTAAATCATCACACTTCATTATAGGTAGAGTAAAATTGAATCGATTGTGTCGAACCGCTACAATTCATTTGAATTGAATTTGATCGAGTGTTCATTTTATTCAAGATCGTTTAGGATCCAGTTATTTACGTGATTTTTTTCGACTGTTCTGATGATAACGTCTATCAAATATTTAAATAGTATAATAGTAGAACTACGAAATTTTCGGGATCATAACAAAAAAATTAGTCATGATGATTATGATGTCACAGGGAAACTGATGCAAAGAGTCGACTACAGTTTTTAATGAAATAAACGAAGCGTGCCATGGTGACATTAAAGCAGTTGTAGAAATGAGTTTTCTGTATTCATTTCGTGTTACTAATTTAGTATAAAAGTAATATATTATTTCAAAAAATAAAAATGAACGACTAGGAAAAGTAGGTACAGTTATACTATCAGTATAAGGTTGTGGTGGTTGTTGAGTTTTTATTGAGATCATCAACAGATCAGTGTTAGACTACCATTAAAAACCTGGAAGCGATGGACGGTCATTTTTTCCTAGCATGGAACTCCTCAGTAGTGCTCATCCATAATCCCGAGTGCGGGACTCAAACCTAGGACCCTCAGCCTTGTCGAATGCCTAAGCCCTAGACCATTGAGCTGGCACCATTGGCGTACAAATCTAATCATGTCGAGTGTGAGGTAATTACCCACTGAAGACAATGGAAGATGGTCGTACAATATAGTGGGTTGACTCAGTAGTCTAGAGGTTATGAGTTTGGGTGCGAGGCCTAAGACCCTCGGTTCAATTTTCGAGTGCGGGATCATGAATGCTCGATTTCGAAGAGTCTCAGACTGGTATGGAATGGGCGTCCAGTCCTCTCAGGTTCTCAGTGGTGACTTAACTTAGATCGATCATGGTCGTAATAAAAATGTATACTATGTTGACGAACTTCATCTCGAGCAACTTATCAAGCAACCAAGAAATGATGTCTTGTTATTCCGCAATGAGAAATAGAATTACAGTGGAATAGTGATTTGAACATGATAAGTAACCATTAACATGTTATAAATACATTCTATTGTCTCATTTGTGTTCTTGTTCATGACACTACTACTACTATCGTCAGTAGTAATAGTAATATTAATGACATTAATTATTGGTAGAAGTTAAACATTAACACTGTTGGATGCCTGTTCATGTTATATTACTCTTTCTCGTAAAGAATAAAGGTCAAGTCTACATATCAACCGTTGGGTTACTGTTGTCAGTTAAGATTGTAACCCTACACAGTTTTCATCACCAACTGACATCACCTACATATCAAGGAAGTTAGTGCTAGGTAGTAATAAATTAACTAAAGTTATGGGTTAGGATTATGTATTAGGTTAACGGTATTCATCATGAACCAGCATCAGTTATAATGTAATGATGCATTGTTACACTTTTATTAACAAACTAAATAACTTTGGGATTGAAATGTTGAGTCAAGAATTAGAGTGAGAGAATACGATCTAGCTACAGAAATACGTTTGACTGTGAATTTAGTCACAATAAGTGCGTGAACACATAATGTGCATTAGGAATAGGTATGTCTTGCGTTCTGGCCTACGCACCATATCATGTTCATTATTTGGTTGCATAGTAGATGCCTTTTCATCAATTACAAGCATTTTAACAACCAAATATTTTAGTTATCTAATACGAAGTATTTTAATTTTGCGCAAAACTATGAAGTACTAACTAAATTCTGATTGATTCATTCAAGGCAATCAGTAGAGCATACTTTTACCGAAAACGTCAGTCAACCTGTTTTGACCCAATCTTTCGTCTGTCACTCAGTGAAAATAAAAGGAAGTCTACATGTATTAGGGGAGACCACTGTGACCTATCCTTTTGAATCAGCTTAATATGCACTCATAAACTGAGTAATTTAGTGATTGGCCACTGAGTTAATACAAGTAGACTTCACTATGTAAACTAATATATAGTCTAGTGCTTTATGTAAAATGTTGATTTCTACTCCTGGCTTTGTTGTGTAGACTCACTGTATTGTATTGAATAAACTACTGCCTGAGCTATTGTTTCTCAATCGTTCGCTCAAAAGTCATGTACTTGTGTCACGTAATCCAGTCTGGTATTCGTATTACCCTATTTTCGAATTGTATTAATATTCTTTTGTATCTTACTATATTCCAGGACTGGAAATAATCCATTTTGTTGTTAAAATAAATTGAAAAGTTACTTTTATCATAATATGTAGTAATATTTGAGAATACTACTACTGTGGTGTATGCTGCTTATGTCGACATGAGCAGTATATAACGTTAGTCAGGAATAAAATGTCTGGCAACAGAAGGTCAAGAAGATCGAGAAGGAAAGAATGGAAACATAAAGCAATTGGTATGGAAATGCAGTAACATTGAAGTCTGAGACGATCGACTGATATTTGCAAAAGGGACAGTCAAGTTTGAGGCATTTAAATGACATTTTGCAAACTAAATATTTACTGTATGCATCTCAGATTTTACTAAGATGTTCTGTAATTTCGTATTCAAATACATTCTATTGTCTCATTTGTGTTCTTGTTCATGACACTACTACTACTATCGTCAGTAGTAATAGTAATATTAATGACATTAATTATTGGTAGAAGTTAAACATTAACACTGTTGGATGCCTGTTCAGCAGTCTAGTGGTTGAGCACTCGTGGGCGAGACTAATTAGTCCAGGGTTCGAATCCCGTGCGGGGGGGCGGTATCGGGGATGCGCGCAGCTAAGGGGTCCCATACTAAGACGAAACGACCGTCGAGTGCTTCCAGGTTTTCCATGATAGTCTAGCTTCAATTGACTCATGATTTCAACTATTGACATTAATGATAATTATGTAAACAAAAAAGGATAAACTTACAATCAACTTTATTTGATAAACTTAGTAATTTTGTTCGAAATCTATTAATTGCACATTCTTCAATTGGTTGAAGACGTATATCAATTAATTGTATAACAGATTGCCATTGTTCAATTGTATAAGGATTATATGCTAATGGATTAATAAATTGTTTTAATATTGGTGATATTGTCTCTTGTTTAAGATTGTCAAATTCTAATGTATTAAACATAATATTATGTAATCCAGAATCCATGTTGAATTGACTGTGTTCAATGGGTGTTGTAAAATAATATAATTGTTCATATAAACCTCGTAAGTTAAGTATCTAAGTTTAAGTGAAAACAAGAAGAAATTAGTTTGTTATTTTTATTTAAGACATAGATATGAAGCTTCAAATGTATTTTGTTCTTTTCATGATTCATCATCAATGTAAGTACATCATCATTCAGCATTCATTTCTTTTAGATCTGTATAGCTAATTTATCTTAAGTGATGTATATTGAACCGATCAAATATAATCCAAATGATAAACACACGTCATTGATTGTAAATGTGATTTTATTTTCTAAGAGAAAATGTTGTATATTTCTTTCTCTTTCTTTGTCTTCTTACTCAAGTTTAAAGGTTGGCGTATAGGAAATTTATATATCAGTGTTTGACCAGGACAAAAGCCAAACATAATATCTATGATTTATAGGACTTCTGTTTCATGAAAGAAAACATCATTTTATACATATAATACAGTTTTCCTGTGAACATCGAATAACTTTTCTTGTATTGTTAGCTGATTATCAAGTCATTTTGTAGATATCAGCTGCTTAGAAGATTTCAGATTAATTAATTTACTAAGTTAATGCTTCATTATTAAAATTTGAATTTTAGTATTTTAATTGAGATCATGAACCGATCGATCTTAGACCATCATTGAAAACCTGGAAATCCTCAACAGTGCGCATCCATGATCTCGCTCGGGGGATTCAAAACCAGGGTCTTCAATTTCGCGCGCCAACGCTTATTCTCTAGACCACTGAGCTGGCTGGCATCCAACAGTGTTTATGTCTAACTTCAACCAATCCACGAAATTGTACGACCATCTTACAATGTACTGAGGTAGCTACCTGTCTATCTGACACAGTTTAGCCACACTGGTCAGGGCTTCTCACTAATATATATCATATGGTTGAATCATGATTGAATGAACTTTGATTAGGTAAATTCCTCATATTTTCTACTCATTTTTTTTCTAGAAATCTTTTATCGAAAGTTGCTGCTAAACACTTATTCGTCATTATTTAACAAAGTTCAATTCAACAGAATTTATCTCATTTAAAGAAAGTTTTTTTCAGTTTAGGTGCATTTGATTGAACTCTTAAACAGATTTCCAGCGAGTTCTAGAATACTGTTTGATATTAACAATATTTAAAGTGAATTCTAACTAAGATGCTTCTCCAATAACTCTGTTTTTATTATTTGAAGACTGAAGAATTCCCAGTAGTTCATCAAGTTGAATAAAGCTAATGTATGTCTAAGAAGAAAAGAGAACTAGATGTTTGTTTACCAAAGTTTCATATAGACGTGAACGGCCTTGAAGCCTATAGTCAATGCATTGTGAACATCTTCAAGTATTGTGAGAAAAGCAATTTAGTGTTCCAAAATATCTTACTTCATTCAATCGGTTTTTAAATTGGATTAGATATGCCAAATTTGGTAACGGACCATTCCATGGATGTGGTGTATAACGTGGCCATAATTGTTGAGTTAATAAATCAGTAGATTTTATCCATCGTTCGCATGCTTCAATGCTTAGTTGAATAGCCTGTTTAACCTAATTATTATGGTGAACAAAAAGATAAATTTGGAAAAATTATACAATCCGTCAAGAAAGAAAGAAGAAACTAGTTTTAGAAGTTTAAAACTTCGCCCTCCCATTGTTTCATGAACCCTTATCGTATACATATGCCGTACAAAAATGAGTAAAGAGGACTTGTATCAGTCTGTAATTTTATTCAAAAACTGCTAGTAATGTTAGTAATTTGAAACAGAACTCATCAGTAAAGTATCTGGATTCATCCATTCTCCTAAGCTGAATATTTTCGACAATCTAAGTTCAAGCATACTATTGCAAGTAATAACTGATACTTTAAGTTCAAAAGCAACTATTTGTAAGATTTCAATGAGTGTTTTATGAATAGATGAAACCATATACTTTCCTCTGAAAGCAAAATTTGTGATTTAACTAGCGCTATAATCGACACTGATAGTTTAATCAGGTTAGTCATACAACACGAACTGCTGACCGACATGAATAATTAAAGATTTGCATGATTTTGTAGCATTCTGCACTGAATGTTCACAATTATATTCTCAATGAGCTCGATTTTCATCAATGAAAACATTCATTCGCTCTTTACATAACCAAGATTTGGTAAGAGAGTACTGATATACGATGATATACAGTGATATACAATGATTCGTAACAGCAAAAAATGAGATATACAATTTGAATCGAATAATCTTAGAATTATCAGTATAATGTTTTTCCAATATTATTAAGTGCTATTGAGATTCAATAGATAAAACGAGGGGTAACTACTAGCAGTGAAAGATTACAAACCATTTTAATTTACAACACCAATGAAAACATAAAAAAAAACACTTGACAATCATTTCATCCTTGCATGGGACTCATCATAAGTTCACACTCACAACCCAACTAGGAAACGAATTCAAAACCTTAGGCTCTAACAGAGAGAGCTAAACCTCTAAATCACTGAACCGTTATCCAGTTGTTTATACTTTTAACTTTCCATAATCTTCAAAACACCGCACAGAGATAAATATCGTATAGTTAATTCTGATGAAAATTTGCGACCGGTGGAGTTAATTCATGTTGAGTGTGAGTCATTTATCAACCGAAAACGATAAAAGATGGTTTCAGAGTATCGTTAACTGGTGGAAAATAGAAATGTGATCTCAATAGTAACCTTAGAACTGATCGCCGTAAAGTAAATCAAATTTTATTACCGAATCACTTCAGTTTCCAAACGCTCCTTCAAACACTTTCTTGTATAGATAACATAACTGTAATATAAAGCTAGGTGACACAGATCATGTTGAATAACATGTTCTAATAACACCATATATCTAGATCTGCAATTAAAATACTAACGACAAGATTTACCCAGACTTCAATCCCAAACGGAGTCAATTTTTGAAACACAAAGAAAAAAGATACTTATTAACTAGTTATCTGATATTTTTCAACTAAAAATACTTACAGTCATGTAGCCAACCTTTAACATAGTTTGAGGTTTAATTTTGCCAAACCTTGTGGCTGAACATCTATATCGAAGAGAAGTATCTACTTACAGGGAAGAAAATGTTACTTGCTTATTGAAACTACTAATGAGTAGTTTAATGAATATCAACCAATTTTAGCCCTTGTCAAAATAGCCTTGTGGATACATTTACAGATATCACCACTCACTCACACAAATAAGTTTAAAACCTAAAAATACTATTCATATTTACTGACAAAGTTGATATCATTTCTCACGATGGTCATTCAAAAGATATTTGTGGGTCTTAGAACTATATATTGTCTTGGTTTAAGGATGTACCTATTCATGATAAATATCAAGACGTAAAATGATCATGAGCTGATTCAGTGCAGAACGAAAACACTTCATTCAAACCTGAATATTTAAATCAGAGATGAAATAACTTGAAAATTTGTATTTTGTACGTCATCCATAAGAAGCGCTAAGTGGTAAACATAGAAGTAAGATATGTGCTGTTTTCTATTATTACTTTACAACCACGGAACTAAACTAATCACTATATTTTGTGGTCAGAAGATTTCTAGTACTAATGAAATGTGGTTTATTCAGTTTCAATCTACTCACTTCATCAAAAGGCAATGTCCATAAACTTGAGATGGTTATTTTGGTTTTCTCTGACAACGTCTGAACACTTCCCAGAAAACCTTGGATCATGCGTATTGTCCAGTAACTCAAACTTTCAATAAGTTGGCGCATCCTATGCTCTGGATAAGGTTGTTTTACCCGTGGATCAGTGCACCTCCATAGTTCATCCAACGTATCTATCAAAAGCGAGTCAAGAATGTCAATTAAATCTGTTAAAAAACTCCAAAAGAAGGCTGTTTTTGAGTGGAATTAGCACAATGAGTAGACAATCCCAATGAGTCAATCTTTGAATCCAAGGCTGATTGAGATAAAGACTCAATACGACTGCATTCTTTGGCTGGACTTTCAAGAAGGGATGCAAAAAACTCACACTGCTTCATCTCATCTACATTATTATTCGAACAGCATCTTGATTTATTGCGCCAATAATTAACTTCATCCGTGAGTGTGAAAATACCTAGACAAAGTATAGATAACAAGGACAGATAAATCTGTCCTATGATCCAAGCATAGTATAAATACAAATACAAAAAAATTCAAAGCTAATTTTTAGGATTTTTGATGACTACACTGTGGTGACTGGAAACGCCATCCAACTTAACAATTCAAATTTTCATACACAAATTTTAACCTTAAACTAGTATCCTGAGGTTTTTGTTGGTAAAATTTTACAACTAATATGGTGAAATTTACTTATCTGCAAACAAATGGGTTGGATATTAAATATCTCTTGGAGTGAAACTTTACAAAAATATCTCCAAAAAATTCAGACAAATAATCTTGCTAGTGAACTGAATATATTGTTTTGGAACCAGTAATAAGCTAAACTAATGTCATAATAATTATCAATGAGTTTATGGGTATCAGTGCCGGAGTTAGTCTTGGTAGTTCTAAATAAATTGAGCATTGAGCTGAAAGTAATGTTCATAAACCTGGTAAGAAAACATAATTATACTCAAGGAGCCTTTCCTGTATTCCAAAGTTTATAAACATGTTACAGGTAAAATATCTGTAGACCCATTGCAATATCCCTGGGCTATGGCCAGATCGTCTAGCAGTTAAGTCAATGAATACCTAACAATTTACCTGCCTTATTCAAGGTCAAGGACAAACGTGTATACCAACCAATTGCACGCCATGGATGTGGGCATGAGACAGTGGTTCCGCCTTGTAGTTTTTCCTACTTTCAATGTTATTGTATACCGTTGCCTGTTGAGACGGTTTATGGTAGCTAACCACAGAGTTTTAGCGATGGAACAATCCAGGTTAAGTATTAACTATGAGACATGCCTCTGACATAAGCTAGGTCACACCATTTTCGTCCGACCTAAGTATACCCCAATCATCAACACAGATTGCCGACATTGATGATTTACACGTCCTTGACAGATTTTGATTAAAATATGTTGTGCACTAATTATCCACGACAGTGAACTTCGTCTTTTTGGTGTCGGCATTGTTTATGAATAAGCATTTAACTCTGAATACGCTCGTAAGACGTATTGGTAGAAAACGTGCAAGTAGTTTCATATGTCACATTTTGGGTGAATTACTGAAATACTTTATCCGCGCACCACTCTCAATTAAAGACGAAACTTTAATAAACTTTCCACCAACATTATCCGTCATCTATTTTAGTTCGTTCTACACTTATGTAATTCTCTGTTATTGTTGTCGTCGCTTATGAATCTTGTCATATTACTTGATAGAACTTGAAGTATATATTTCGATAAAGTCATTACTTACAAAGTGTGATGGTATAAAGTTAGACTAGATACAAACATAAAACACCACGAAAGTAAAATATTTCCTGAAGCTTTTGAAGAAACTCTTGTCCAAGGAAAGTGAAAAAACTTTGGTGGATGTTTGGCACATAAAAAATATCCATGCATAAAGTTCTCATCGGGTGCGTCATTGGGTTAGAAATTACAAGTAACAGGCATAGTTCCCTTAGATGAAACTTTTCACCAAACACTTTTTTCTGGTACATCTATAATACATATACATTCATAGAACAAATTTAACCTGATTTACAAGGTTAGGAAACTAATTTCGGCAGTTAGATGATGTATATTTGAAAAATAAGTAAGTCATTTTTCAAAACGCGAGTTAGGTCCAACGGAAGCTTATTCTTTTGAACAACAAGAAATCATCTGAATGAGGCAAAGCAAATGTTCGAGTTCGACAAAAGAGTCAAAAACAGGAAATTTTTTTGGTTACAGAAATAAGCAGATAATTATTTCATACATCGATTGTATATGTTTCAAAACAGTAGTTTGAAGACGGAAAAACTATTTGGCAAGTGACAAGCAATAATTCAAAACTCGTGATCGTTTACAAGCATACGTATGAGATAGGATACTAGGTGTCTGAGGCTAGTTTGGTTGAGTTACGTGCAGTTATCCTCATACAACAATTTGGCATAATAATCTCTATCACATGTTAATTACTTGTCATGTTTTCGGAGCCATCACCCTCGCTAACGATGGAAGACAGTCCGGCAGCCAGATTCGTCAGAGCTATCTGTATCTTTGGGTCTTGTAGCATTGATTTATCATCACCCTATGGAATAAACAATTTATTTACTCTTACTTTTAGTAACAAAGGCGCGAATAATTTACTGATAGATGTGTAGAAACTAAGAACTGGAGAACCAGGAATTGAACAAACCATAACGTTTGTTTTGTAATTTTTCTCATTTAAGTAGGTTGGTTGTAATTTGACAAACACGAGCATTTGTTTTGTATTGTCATGATGTACAATCTACTATGAATATTTCTTAAGATATTAACTCACCTCATTAAAGAACAATAAACTTCCGTTTTTTCCGAGATAGCAAGCAAGAGTAAAAATATTTAGGCAATCTAAAAAACTACTGACATGTCGTTCATTTTCAAGCTCATTCAAGTTTATGCTGTCCAGCTGGAAATATGTTTGAGCAGTAGAAAATATAAATTGTGATCTCGGATCCATAGAACAAGGTTTTGCGCTCTTATTTCTACTCAGAGTACAAATGTTTCATTTACACAGCCGTAGTTATGCCTATTGTTTACTTTTCATATAAATGCTAGTTTCATGACCCAACAAAACAAACCAAGAACCTCTTCAACTGTGAATTTCAAGAGTAAATTGTAGATGGTTTTATGGTAACGACTAAACTAGTTTTGTTCGAAGAAAAGTGATGGTGTTCGAAATGAATGTTTTCATGTCATTCGGCACGAAGACGAGAATACTTTAAAGTTGGCTGCATAGTTTGTGTTGGAGGAATGAATGTAGGTCTAAAAATCCGATTATATTTGGTCAAATAATGGTGATTAAATGCTGATAATACCGTAAAACTAAGATCGCACTGATAGAAATAACCAAAGAATTCGAGGAGACAGATGTCATGTTTAGATTTTCACGTATTGTTTCATAAACACGGTTCTGTTTTTCAGCCTCATTGGTAATTCCAGGTGGCATAGTAGGTGGTACGAGAGAGAAAAGTTCACAGTACGAAATAACCAGGTTAAGCTCCCAATGCCGTGACACTGATGGTTCAGACAAACGTCCGAATTATCCATAGACAGTTGAAACGACTGAAGAATATGGAGATGGACAAGCCGAAAACATTATGAAATAGCTTAAATAAGATATTATGCTGAATTGAATTTATTATTTCATTCCGATAGTTTTGAAACGAATATGACGCTGGTGAAAAAAAAGATCTGAAGAGTCAGTGACAAAGTACCACTAAAGTTTATCATTATTTTGATATTATCGTTGATGTCTGTTTCATTTTTATGATGATGACGATAAGATACTTAAAAAGGCTCCGTTTTTTGTTCTTTCTTTTTGTTTTTGTGAACATACAAAAAGCATTTTCGAAAGACGAAAATTAAGTATCAGGTAGAAGCTCTAGATAGGTCGTGCTGAGAAACCTGTTCTGCTCAGCAGAGCATCTTGGTAACAGGTTACTGATTCCCTTTTTTATCTAACAATCTTGAAGTTACTTTCCCAGGCGAATGATTATTTACCACATATGATGGATCATCATCTTATTGAGCAAACAATACATATTCTGCTGGTGTTTACATGTTTTTATAAGACAAAATATTCAGGTTTTTGTGAGATAATGCTGAATAATTCTTCGAATTCAGGATGGTCTGGACTTTAATCTGTAGTGACTCACGTTTATCACGAGAACACGACTGGTTTAATAAAAACAATTATTATTATAACCAACTGTACCAGTGTTTGTTTTAATGTGCTTTTGTTTAACTGTGCTAATTATAGCCATTTTGTGCTTCCATTACCTTCCATCATTGTTCCGCGGTTTTTGGTACTGCTCGCCCGTACTCCTGTCTTCTGCTTCCACTTGTACCACTTCTTGGCACGATCTCGGTATTCGTTCAATACCACGAGATCGCCAACGAAATAAATCTGGTTACCTTCAACCTCGCCTTCTGATTTATCTGGCACGTGTTTCTTGGTAGCGGTGTTCACAGTTAATCTCAACTCGACGCCACGCTACAATTGGTGAGCCGTATTTTGGAACACGCCTCAACATCTGGTCAAATCTTCCAAAGAAGCCAATTCGGTGAGTCTATGATTTATCTATCCACGTCTGTCGTATATTTTCATATTTTTTAATATTTAATATACACGACATGACGGATAACGATAAGAATAGTATTAATATAATAGACTCACATGTACGTGTACCGAATCCTTGTTACTTTTTATTCGCGTGACGATGAATTCCACGCTTTATTCGAGAAAGTTTCCCCTATTAACTATTCTCCTCGCTGACCCGGCTGCTTGGTACGGAATGCATACGCATAAGCATATCCGTCTACCACCCAGCACCAAATGGTTAAGTAAACGGTTTCACTGCCAACTTAAAATGCTCTACGAGCACACGAAAACGGCAACTGGCACGAAACCTTACCGCTCGTTCTTTTAGGGATCAGAACGAGCTTAAAGGCAGATATCCAATGTTCCGCCACTGAACTTGTATACGGCACGACATTGCGTCTGCCCGGAGAATTCTTCACACCACGGAGCAGACCTAATTTCGGTAAATCAGACTACGTCCATCGACTGTCTGCATTTATGCGAACGCTGTCTCCGGTGTCAACTCGAATACAACATCGACAGGTCGCTCTCCCTCGAGAGTTATCTACCTGTTCACATGTTTTCATACGAGTAGATTCGGTACGCAAACCTTGGCAACAACCTTACGAAGGCCCTTTTCACGTGATCGCTCGTCACGAAAAGACCTTCAAGGTTGATCGACATGGCCGCGTCGAGATCGTCAGCATTGATCGTCTCAAACCAGCACACGTCGATGACAGTGCCCTATCTGATAACCTGAGATTCAATGCTAGACCTATCAAACCTACTAGCGGGATCCTCAAACCATCTTCAGGTCCCACGCTAGATACACCTGAGACCTCACTCTCACGTCCCAGTCAACAGCACGCGTCATCTGCACCGTCTACGGACGAGACGACAGTCTCACGTCCAGATCAGCAGACCACGCCGCCCTTGACTTCGGATGAGATTGCAGGCTCACGCGACGCGAACGAGACTGCCGTCTCACGTTCCGGTCGCCGAGTACGGTTACCCGTACGCTTCCGCGAATAGTCGCACAGTCAACAACCGATACGGTGTAGGGTTATTCCTATACTACACGTATGCTACACTCCTCTTTTTTTGATTTTCTTTTTGTTTCCTGAGCCCACGCCTTCGACCAGCTACGTTTGGTTCCGTCGACTTCAGTCAAATTTGGCGAAAGCTGGATGGCCACCCACGCTCTTGTCAACGTACTCAGTCGATATATGGGTTTCGAATGCTTGGCATATGCTTGGTCCCGAACATGGTCGTTATGGTCGCTTCTGGTTCATCGGCTCAACGTGGTTTCGTCCTTCGTCTGCAGCGTTTATGGTCCGGACCCGTACGAACGCCCTCTTTAGATTCTGGATACAAACCACTCTGGTGTAGCATGCCGACTCGAGCAATAAATACAACACATCGCTCCTGGTACTGTTCTCCGAAAACGACCTTCGTTGGCAACTCGACGATCAACGATCGCTTTCCTGTTCGCCAATTTTTCCGTCCTACAATCGCTCGTTAGCCGATCAGTCCCACGATTTAAACCGCTATTTATCGAAAGTGTTAACCCTTTCTAGCGGGGGGCGCCTGTAGTGACTCACATTTATCACGAGAACACGACTGGTTTAATAAAAACAATTATTATTATAACCAACTGTACCAGTGTTTGTTTTAATGTGCTTTTGTTTAACTGTGCTAATTATAGCCATTTTGTGCTTCCATTACCTTCCATCATTGTTCCGCGGTTTTTGGTACTGTTCGCCCGTACTCCTGTCTTCTGCTTCCACTTGTACCACTTCTTGGCACGATCTCGGTATTCGTTCAATACCACGAGATCGCCAACGAAATAAATCTGGTTACCTTCAACCTCGCCTTCTGATTTATCTGGCACGTGTTTCTTGGTAGCGGTGTTCACAGTTAATCTCAACTCGACGCCACGCTACAAATCTTCTCATACTTTATTATAGGGAATAACTTTTATTAGTTGAATCCTTTAATCTATCGTTTCTCTTACGATGTGTGTAGACCAAGAATCACACGCCTACCATAATTTGTAGAAACTTACCAACAACCAGATGAACATCAAGAGGTTCCGTTCCAATCGTAGAGTTTAACATTCCTGAGAGTGTTTTTTTCAAAAAAAAAACACTATCGGCTGCCGATTGATTAGGAGTACGCTCGATTATTTTGTTGGTGGGCTATTTCACTCAAAGCCAGAGGGAAATGGGGTTCGAACACCTTTACACAAACGCCTAGGATAGCTTATTCTTCTGCTTTCAATAACCCTATTAACCCCAAAAATCAACGTTCAGTCTTTCGAATCGATTTGACAAGTAAAAAATAATAGAATAGTTAACGTCAAGGCAAAGAGTCCAGTTAGTAAATCTGAATGCACTAGTGAGCAACGACTGATCCACAAACGGTTCATTAGTGTGTAGAGAACTACACTGAATTACTTTTAAACCTATTAGTTAGATTCGAAAAATCTGCCAGTACTTCTTGAAACTTCTCAGCTACTGCGGGCGAAGTTCACACCAAAGTTAAATAAACGACTTGACATTGATTGCCACTTGTTATCTCGATATCTCTCAACGTTTCCGACAAAGTTCCTTTGTGTAGTCTAAAGATTCATATTTGTCTAGAGCGCTTATTGCACTTATTACCAGACAAAAGTCTGAGATGCACAACTAAAATAATCGCTTTTAATTCTAATGTTAATGTTTTGTGTCCATGAGTTTCGATTTCTGTATTTTTAGCAGGAGAGTTTGTCGTTAGATTTTAGTTTCATTTTGAGGAATGATTCTAAGCACCACACATGTATCCACTGGGAATTTGGTGTCAGAATTCCTGTCCCTGGCGTTTACTTAGACACCCCTTAGTAGTTGTCACAACGTGCAGAAAAGTTATTCGTTCTCCACATCCTTGCGGGTCTGTCTGAGCAAGGCGCATGGTTGACTAAATGTGATCGATAAGGCACCGAATTTCCAGTTATACTGATAAAGCTTTCTCGATTTTTTATACTGTACTGACCTGCTCTGCGAACCTGAACTTTGTCGCTGCGGTAACCTCTTCCGTTTCCTACAACTAATTTACAGTTAAACAGTGGTCCCTGAAGGACCCTTGACCTATTCACTAAGCTCTTTTGTGCATGAGTCATTGGGTGGTTTATTTTTAGGTAGGATTTATGGTAAGGTGTCCGGGTATATACATTTAGGCGGTTTTAGATGTAATACAGTAGGGTCTGTATCCATTCTGTTTTTAGAATTGCTTCATTCACAATCGTGACCTAAAGCTTAATGTTCCTCCGTGAAATCATCGTTGGATTCTTTGGCCATTTGATGTTCCAATATCTCGCGTTCAATGGGAGTAATCGGTCGTGATGTTTGGTCATTCAAAGTAAAATCATGGAGTTTTTCACCGACTGAAGAGTGAAGTACAGGGCACAAATCCTGATATAACATTCCAACGGACTTTGTGTTGAGCATGGGGAAGAAGTTCTTCAAACTTCATCAAACTACAGCTGTGGGTCGTCACGATGAAAGGTGAGAGCCAGGGTTTCATAGTCACAACACTGTCTTCCCATACTAGTGTAAAACTGTGTTCATTTTCATCATTATCACTTTGTATTGAATCCGAAGGCTTACGATTCTGATCAGTATCTTTGTAACAGCTCAGGTTGGTTGGTTAAGAGTTGACCCCAAACAACCAAGCTTATGCCAAAACAGTATTGTTCAAGTATTCATTCACTTCCTTATTTTTCATAAGCGTTATATTCCCTATTATCTTTTTTTGAATGTTGAGAGCCTTTGTTTGTCTGAACAGATAATCCCACGCTCCACTGTGACTGCGCGAAGATCGAAATAAAGACCTATTCACTACTTGTCTGGTTTCTTCTATCAATAGCACGAGGGTTACTTAAGGCACGAAACTGGTGAGCCCTTTTTGAACACAAATTTAACCTCATTTCTGTTATTAACATTTTTTTTTCTTAATCGTAAAAGTAGACCTGATTATCCGTAAACTAATTTGAGTATATAACTAGTTTATTCCGTATTATCTTAAGTTATTCGTGTTATAGTAACCACTTTTTGTGCTAACTTTATTGCTATATTTGTCACATACCTCATGTCAGACTCAATAGAAACCCATAATCTGGAGGATTTGTCACCAGTGGAGATAGACACTGTTATGACTACGAAATCCCGACTTCCAGAATTTGATCGTAGTGATCCTGAGTTGTGGTTTGCTCAACTAGAGCATTATTTCACGAGACACAATATCAAATCTGAAGGGATTCGCTATAGAGACTTGTGTTCTATCCTTCCTCCTTCAGTCGCCAAAGAAGTCCGTGACTTGATTTTAGATCCACCATCACCACAACCATACACCATCTTAAGACGAGAGATAATGAACCGTTTATCATTATCAGATAGTCAAAGAATCCAAAGACTTTTTCAAGGTGAAACACTAGGTGATCGGTCGCCGTCACAGTTTTTACGTCACCTCCAAGTCTTAGTGGGTGATAACACAGTGGGTGAAGCAGTCCTAAAACAAGGATGGATACAAGCTCTCCCATGCTACGTCCAACACTGTTTGGATGCACAAGATCCTGAAACCTCATTATCTCATTTAGCGCGTATAGCCGACAGAATAATGGAAAGAGGTCCTCCAACTGGATCAGGCACAATAAATCACACACAAAAAGTAGAATCAGCAAAAGACCCCGTAATAGAAGGACTCATTGCGAGTGTTAAGAGTCTCACTGAGGCTGTCACCAGAATGCAAATGGGTCATAGAAACAGGAGCAGGTCACCACAACGACCACGATCCAAGTCACAAAACAGGTCACAAATGTCCAGACAATCTGGGCAGTTTTGTTGGTACCACTGGAAGTTTGGTGTCAACTCAACCAAGTGCATGCAACCATGCGCCTGGCCTAAGCATAATTCTAAGACAGCGGGAAACGAGTAACCCCTCCCCAGGTCGCGACGACTGAGGAGGGGCGCCTAAACAGTCGCTTGTTTTATGTTAGAGACAGAAACTCTGGCTTGAATTTCTTGGTGGATACTGGCGCTGCTCTTAGCATCATCCCTCAAAATAAAACTGAGATTAGTCGAGAAACATCATCAATTACACTTCAAGCTGCAAATAAAACTAAAATTGCGACATTTGGGCAGAAAACTTTAACCCTAGATTTGGGGTTCAGGAGGCAATTCCCTTGGGTTTTCACGGTAGCCGACTTAGATCTGGCAATACTGGGGATGGACTTTCTAGAGAGATACGAATTTCTAGTTGACACCAAGAAACGGCGATTAACACTAAAAGAAACTTCGTATTACACAAAAGGCAAAGAAAGTCACATCAGCTCTCTTAACTTGATTCAAACTCCCCAGTAACAACAGCGAAATTCCAAGATATACTCGCGGAATTTCCAAACTTAACTAAACCAAACCCACAGCCTTCTAAAGACAAACTAAAAGTGAGTCACACTATCAAAACCGAAGGTGCACCGGTGTTTGCAAAACCCAGGAGACTAGCACCAGATAAGCTCAAAATCGCTAGGGCCGAGTTTGATTATATGCTACAATTGGGTATTATCCGTCCCTCTGATAGTCAATGGGCATCCCCTTTGCATATGGTCCCAAAGAAGAATGAAGGTGACTGGCGACCGTGCGGGGATTACAGAGCCCTAAACCGTCAAACCGTACCAGATAGGTACCCAATACCTCATATCCAAGATTTCACCAACGGTTTACAGGGTATGAACATATTCACTAAAATTGACTTAGTCAGGGCATATCACAATATCCCGGTGGCTGATGAAGATATTCCCAAGACAGCTATTACTACACCCTTTGGCTTATTCGAGTTTGTACGCATGCCATTCGGCCTGAGAAACGCGGCACTTCCTCAGATATTCTTATTCCACATTCTCACACTCTTTCTCTTGAAAGCACGCAGCAAACCGTCAGCGATAGTTGTAGAATAGATCACATGCTACAAAATAAGATGACAAGCTAGTAAATGAAGAGACATCCATGGACTATCGTTGACAGCGTTAGTCGTCACTGATTGTAAGTCAAATAGTGAGCGAGTTGATAATTTTCCCTTGGGATGAGAAATAGAACTAAGGTGTTTTCGATAGATAGGTTAATCGAACCGACGTTCCTACGGAAGTCGATTCTAGGGGGAAGCTAATGTAACAGCTTAGGTTGGTTGGTTAAGAGTTGACCCCAAACAACCAAGCATATGCCAAAACAGTATTGTTCAAGTATTCATTCACTTCCTTATTTTTTATAAGCGTTATATTCCCTATTATCTTGAATGTTGAGAGCCTTTGTTTGTCTGAACAGATAATCCCACGCTCCACTGTGACTGCGCGAAGATCGAAATAAAGACCTATTCACTACTTGTCTGGTTTCTTCTATCAATAGCACGAGGGTTACCTTAAGGCACGAAATCTTAACGAAATATGGACCGAGAAAAATAAGCTCTTCACTAACGGTGAAGTCAAAATGTTTTAAAATGAATAACAGTGCAACTATTAACTACACCAGTTCATCAAAGGGCAGTTTTTTTATAAGTACACATATAATGCTTGCAGTCGCTGTTTTTTCAATTTTTACCCTTTGGTTGGCTTGGAGAGCAAATGGGTTATTCAAAACAAGTGATCACCCATGTATTGGACACTTTTAGGTGACATTGTTTTGTGGATAACATAACACTAAAAGACTTCAGCTTACTATCTGTCGAATCTAACTCTCATAGATATGGCTTTTCCGACCCAGTATACTGCTGTACGCAAAGCTTTGATAAGAGCATAGTCAAAACAGGCTAACTATATGAGGTCATGAATTTTCATTTTTCTATGACATATTAATGCTCAAGCTACTAAACCCGAATCGGTACGGTTATTACAAAGAGAAAACAACAAAAGCACATGTATCGAACGGTGGTCGGACTGTATAATTGAAAATCACAAGAATTCCAATATAAATGTGATCATTATGGGGAAGGCGCTATAGAAAATATCTCGTTTTAACGCAATAATTCTCTAAACTTTTCGACAGATGTCACGGAAAAGCCTGGCTATAATAACAACACAGGTTTCCACTCATGTATTCCATTTTTTTCTGTCAATTACGCACGGTAAACGCAGTGCCAAAAAAGCTTAACAGCATATGGCTTTAACGTTATTGATTAGTGCATTCTGGCTGATGAGCATCCACAGAGCCTAGACCAGAACTCACTTCGCCCTATCGTTTCTTATCAGAAGACACTTGTATACGATCCCACAATGACAAACTATATAGTGTGGCCAAATATCTATTTGCATGGACGTATTACCCGACCAAGCAGGCCTAAATTATCTAAGAATCTTAAAAAACTTGGATTGTGAAAAGGTTTCTTTATTCTTTCTCTCAGTTTTATAAGTTAATCCGAAAACGACAAAAAATTGTGCACGAATTCTTTTTAGTCCCAAAAGTCTGGTATGAAGCATAAGAATTTTAGTGTACAAAAAATTAAGTGAAATGTCAGTGGCATGTCGAAATGCATATATATGCATATACAAATTTTCTGCTGACAGTTTACATAAGACAATTGTACATATCAGTTTTGTTTAAAAGGCTGTGGTGTTGTGGATTGACCGGGGAACTTTTGTCTCGTTTCCTGACCTTGACTTTCCATTTTGGGTGGGCGGGCTTTTGGATTACGACCTGTGGATTGATGCCGTGTCCTTCGAAATCTCTTGTAATACGGTTAGTTTGCTTGAGGAATCAAAATGCAGGAAATTTTCAATGTTTTTTTCTTTAGAACAACAATTATGCCACTTTCTTTGTATTTGAATTTACATGATTGCGAAAGCCGTGCTTCCACGGCTTGTTGGTTATTGCTAGGAAATAGTGTGTTATAGGGGGTGAGACTATGATTTATGGACGACTTTTGTGCAACGCTGGACTAACCTTGAAGGTGTACACTTATTTACTGATGCTGAATGAACGTTATACAGTAGTTTGAAGAATGTGGGTTATAATTTGCAGTTGATGGTTAAGGTTAGGAATTAGATTTAGGGTTTTCATCACGAACTGATATCACCTATTATGCCAAGACTCTGTTTAGCCAAACGGGTGGGTGAGTTTCGCGGCAATATCTAAGACCTGTTATCGTAAATCTGATTGGTTCGTCCATAAACTATAGTCTTGCCTTAAAAGGAATTCACAAAGAAATTGTTTAACTCTCTTGAACTCCGAACTTGTTTCCCTTATCCTTTTCCAACATTGTTCAGGTTGTATGCTGTCTGACGTTTTCCAGTGCTTATCGATTTTATTGTTCCCGTGCCAGCATTCTTGATCAGACATGGAACAGCTATTTAGATGCAACATTCTAAATAAGGTCTCACAGATAGAGTATAAAGTCCTTAGTATATCTTCGAAGCATTTTAAAGTTCGACAAAATGACCACAGTTTGAAAACTCCTAGCAGCTGCTGCATTCCAATCGGCAGTTACTCTCAAGTTGCGACTTACCAATAATTTTAGATCTCTTTGTTTCCACACATGTGGTAGTTGTGTTCCAATGATGGTATACTAGTAACTATTACCCTATTTGGTGGTCATTAGCACCCTATTTTTAAATAAATGTTCGAATTCTAACTTTGCGACTGTCTAACTGATTACTCCAAATCACCTTTGATATAAATGTGTTAAGCTTCATGCACTATTATTCTCCAAACTTTCACATGATCCCCAAAAAAATTTCGAGGGCTTAAGCAGTTTTAGTAACTCATTGACGCAGAGAAATAATAGGGGACATAAAATGGTCCATCGGGCCACGCCACTTTTAAACTGGTTTCTATTCAGATGGTGTCCCACTCATCTTCATTTCCTATCTTTGACCATAGGAAGTTCTGCATGAGCCCTAAGTGAGAAACTTTATCAAATCCCTTTGTGAAATTTGTAAACATTACACGGACAGAAAAATCACTTTTTTGGGCTATCGTCCAATCCTCGCGATTAGTAACTTAGTCAAACATGGATGTCTGTCCCGAAACCCATGTTCCTCCGGCTTTAACAGACTAAAAAAATTTTACATAGGTAAATGCGTCTGAATTTTTCTTTCAAATACCGTAATACTAGTTAGACTGGCAGCTTGGTAGTTAGACATGATGTCTCTTTCCATTCCTAAAAACAGGCTAACGATAGTATCCTTCCAGTTCCTAGGGTGTTGATTTCGCGAAAAGGACACATTGAACAACGCTGTGAATGGCTTAGAAATTATGTTCTCGGGGGTTGGCATAATCGTGGATGTAACCCATCAAGACCCGGTAACTTACCAGGTTTAAGGCTAATAAGTAGTGAAAAATGACTTCCATTGTCATACTGTTTTTGTAGTTGTTATCTCAGTAGTACGCCTATGAGAAGTGCTAACATTCTGGGAGTATACTATGCTAAGATAGATTGACAAGCTTCCAGTCAGTGTGTTTAAATCAAATCAATTAACCATCATTGACAGGTGTTTGGGACGTAGTTGCATATGCCTTTTCTCCCCCTACTTCGACGTGTGCTGTTGACTAAAGTCTTAGTTGGTTCTCAAATGATAAGAGTAATCAAACCAAAATGCGGCATGTCTACAAATTCGCTGACTGTCGACTTAAGGCTTGTCGTTATGTGCGGTCTACCTGGTTGTTGTTTGCTCGACTATTATGAGAAGTGGTAGATGTTAGCTCAGAACCAGTTTCAATGAGGCAGATCCATTCACTCGTTACCTTCCTTTCGATATTTGGTTTCAAAGTCATTTTATACTTTCTACTCCAGGGACTTCTCGAGTGATATTCTCTAAACTAAATCTTTTTCATTATTACTCATACTACTGCGTCTACAACTTTGATGTCTTGGTCACTTCATCTCGCTGTGCTAGTATAAAATGGTGACTGACGAGCCGACCGTTAGTCGTCAAGTAGTGAGTTAGTGGTTAAGGAGATTGACTTTCACTCAATAGGTCTTAAACTCAAACCCCCATTCATCTACATCTTAAGCCATCGAGTAGTGTCATCATCCCTCACTTAACACGTGGCTTATACTAAAGTATGGAGCGAACGAGTTAGTTATATATTATATCATATTTAGCCCTCACACATTTAGTATCTTCCTGTACTTGGAAGATAAACCGGTACTCGGTCACCGAAATTATTCACCATTAGTTTAAGCTGTGTAGAGTATCACCTCATGAATTCGTGATCACTTAATCTAATGGCTTTTAGTAAAGTTTAAAGTCGACTAAAGTGAGGCAGGTTCATTCATTATGTATCCTGTAAATTTTAAACTGTCATATCTTGTATCAATTCTTTGTTTAATTATGACTTTGTTCTAGCCCGCTTTAATGTATCCCTCATTCTTTCGTTATTTTTTCATGCTGTTGTAAGTTATGATAGGTTATGCAATCTGCACTAAATCAGTTGACAATCAATGTCTGTAGGTACGGTACGTACTCTTCACATTTTAGATACAAATTACTTTTACAAGACTACCACAAGCCTGTCCCTGAAATCACTCTGAGTGATGGAATGTTAAAAGTTCGTGTATATATGGTTGTTTGTGTGTCAGTTGTGACGTAAGTGATGGAACTAATCTATGTGTAGCGAAAGCCAAGGCAGGTTATGCTAACCTAGGCTATTTTCGGGACCGTTGTGACATTAGTCTGTCAGCAAAAGGTGGGGTCTAGAACGCGTTGGCAATAGCAGTTCTGCTCTATATTCGAGAAACCTGCCCCCAAATCCCTGGTACAGCCGAGGATGGGTAGAGTCAGCTCCTACATGGCCATGTGCATGCAACCACTGTCAGGGAAGTCCTACTCACTGCCTTCTTGTGGCGTGAGTGTTGTTTACGAAATTGGAAGGACGAAAAGCGACTGTCCGGCACTTTAACAGGGTTAGTGGATGTGGAAGATCCACCTAGGACAGTTGGAAACCCTGATTCCAAACCAATGGTGCACATGAGCTCCAGTATTCTGTAGGGACAAATGGCGTATGAACCTATTGTTGGTCACCCGCTACCATGGGACTGCATCTGTTGACGTTGGTCCACTGTCTTGTGGATCAGACCTTTAGGTCTAAAGCTCCGGATGTGACCCTCTTAAACATGAGACCTTACCAGACATGGCTTAAAGTAAAAGCCAATGACAATCCTGCTGTACTTTTCCTTTCCTTTCTTTGAAAAGTGAAGGAAACGAACTTTAAATGAAGGCATTCTTTCAGGTTGTATTTTTCTTAACGGAGCTGTTTTTCCCCTTATTTTCTACTCTCATCCACTTATTTGGTTTTGATTATACTCATCCTCCTTCCTATATCTGTTCACAATCTCATTTCTTATATGCGTGGCGCATATCTGTTTTAGTGCCCGTTTGTACCAACATTTGTGTGTTCAAGCAAATGAACCAACAATTATGATAATCAGTTCAGCGTTAAAAGAGATTTTACACTACTGCATCCGTTCTGCACTACAGCTAGTGATATGACCGAGTTGCAAGTAGTATGTACAAACAACAAATTGTATAGTTGAAGCTCCGGGAACCAGATTCTTAGTCATATCCCTGACTAAACAGTAAAAATGGAAAGCAGTTCGAACCTGTGAATACTTAATCTTAATCCACCAAACCGCTGGTAAAATAATATGAAAGAAATCTCCCAACGAGTACATGCAATCGTACAAACTCACTTACTATGATATTGAATGCACAAAGTCACATCAGGGAATTGAAAGTGAAATCTGTAACTTCGACATATTCTTAATTAAATATACACACATGACAAAATGTCTTCTGTGTCGTTTCTTTAGGGAGTTTGATCAAGTTCGTAAAATTTTCGTTGGGACAATAAGCGGACGTTACAGTAAAATTTGAAAATAGTTACGTGGTTCAACAATCAGGCAATTGTGTATCCGTTCCCCGTTTTACGTTGATGTTATTCCTCTGTTATTTATTTCTGATCCTCCTATTTTTCAATACTATCACTATTTTTGTTCTCACTCCTTAGCTTCTAATTTTAATGGACTCCTTTCTCTGTATTGACTTGAGATGTGACAAACGAAATCGAAATATGTTTTGCCATGTTCTCTTTCCGTCCATACTTTCCAAACATGTGTAGAATCACAGGGGTCTTACAAGTCTATGTACAGGGTGTACCGAAAGCTTATCCAGTATCTAAAGCAATACACTAATAAATATATCCTATTAAAAGTTAATCAAGAATAAGCTTAACTGTATGATACTTTAGTAAAATATTTGTGGAGTTTCGGTGGTCATACTATGGAGCTAATGATGTTAAAATAGAAACCAGTAGCGGCTACGTTATAATTTTCTTTCTTTTTAAAGGTAAAGATGTGCTTTCGATATAGACCGAATCTACTTAGATGGTGTCTTCTAACGGCTCTTGTTATTCATTATTGCTACATGTCTTTCAGCTCCGATTTCTCCATAATATCATCATTTTGTTTTGTTTAGCACTTTTCTATTGTGAGTAGAGGTAATCAACCCATTGATAATAAACAAGCTTTTTCTAGTTTCCGGTATTCACTTCCGGCACATAGCTAGTAATAAAGTCAGAATGCCTTGGGTCCTTTATTGTTGTACGGTGTGTCAACCAAACGAGTGCTTGTGTTTGTTTGTCTCTGGAACGGTACAGTACAGATTGATTTTGGTTTATACACCTGATAAGGAAATCGAGAAGGGGTAGTGTTTACCTGTCCATAGAACCTTGCCACTATCTAGGCCGGTGATGCCATCTGGCCACCCGAATACTAGTGTAACAAGGTCCTTACTTGGTTGGTAGCTGATTGTCTTGATCACTCAACCACATTTCTATGTTTGCGGGTAAAGCTTTCACACTCGGGCTACTGTTGTTTATAAATCATAATTTAAGTGACAAACTAAGCCGGTACTATTCAAAACAAGTTGTCATTTAACTTTGTAGATGGACTTTAGTCAATTCCATTTGGGGAAAAAATGTTTTATTCAAATCATCGAAAAGGGAAATGTTACTAATTACTCTTAGGGAAGATTAAGATGACATCAATACGTAAATTTTCACTCCATTGTTGCATCTAACGTCTTGTGTGTGTTCCTTAATCATCAACCAATACAATAGATAAAAGCTATTTAATCAAGCCAAAATGTCTACCAATCATGAGATTTCCAGCTATTGAAGATACCTTTAAATGTATTTTATAAGTGTCTTATTCGTTATCGTATCGTCCACTGATTTTGTATACTTTATTGTCCTTTTGATATAATGTAACATGTAATAGGCTGAACCGTCAAACCTTTTCTGTGAAAATGTTCTTCTAGGCGAAATGAGACTAAAATCACCTTCATAAATATACTAACATAGGATGTATTTTTATGTCCCAACCCATGGCCCCCAAATGCCCTGGTACGGCCGAGAGTGGGGAGAGTCCGCTCTCCCTCTCGAAATGCTCTCACATGGCCACGCGTATATAGCCTCTGCCAGGGAAGTCCTACTCACTGCCTCCTCGTGGCGGGGGTGTTGTTTACGAAAATGAGAGGACGAAAAGCGAATGTCCGGCTCTTTATTCGGATTTCAAACCAATAGTGCACATGGGCTCCAGTATCCTGCGGGAACAAATGGCGTGTGAACCAATTGTTGGTCACCGGCTTCCATGGGACTGCATCTCCTTACGATGCTCCACTGTCTTGTGGATCAGACCTTCAGGTCGAAGGCTAGGGGAGTGGCCCCCTAAGGAAACCACCTGCTTCGGTTTGGGCACCCGGGCAGTATCACAGCCCTCACACATATCGAATGAGATTTGTGTGGTGCATATGTATTTGGTGCCTCCTTCTACCAATATCTATGTGTTAAAATAAATAAATAAATAATTCTTTTTATGTAGTTATTAAACATCGCTCTAACTCACACCTATTCTAAGTGTATTCATTTATTCTAATAATCAATAAATCTACTATTTGTTTTCCAGGCATGCGAACGTACAGTTCGTTGTATGGCCTCGTGTAATACAAATGGGCTTCTGAAGTATTATGCAGATGTCATTCTAAATGGGGATAACCTTATTTCACTTACTCAACCCCACAATAGTTTTGATAACAACGATTCTACTGAAAGAAAATATACTAATATAATGGCTCCTCGGACAGATCCTTCCTTTGTTTCAATGCCCGTGCAAGTAAACGGTACTTCCGATGCTATTAAAAACGATAGTACAATGGGAAATGAGGCTGAACAGTCTGTTTCTTCTGAACAGGTTTCATCTGATAAATCACAGAGTTGTCTTGCTACCGACAATGAGACATTAATTCCGAGCTCACAATCTGATCATATTTCCACAAAGCTTCAAAATCAAACTGTTTGCGACAAATTAATTGATTATGAGAGAACTCTTCAAAATCATTCTTTGCTCACACAACGTTTATCTGTCTGTTCTCAGCGTTTATTTCATAATCGCACTAGAGCCCTCAGTTTATTAACACGGTTGCTCGCCTGCAACTCTTCTGTATCACAAGATAAATTACTTTCCAGCGATTCTTTGCCTAGCATTATATCACCAAACTTGACGTATGAAGATACAGAAAGTAGTACCGACGACGAAGCTGAAATGAAGAAGGCTTTGTCCAGGTTCGTTTATTAACTCACACAATAAACCGTTTGTTTAGCTCTAAACAGTCTTGGTTATACACTCGTTCCGTAACGCATTCAAACTGGCATTGGTTATGTACAGAAATAAAACATGCTGAAAAATGTTTACAAAATCTTTATATGTTAAAAAATAACTCTGATCAGGAAAAGTTATCTCAGTATCAAAGTAATAGTAATAACATTGAAAATGATGCAGAAGTTAGCTGTTCTCGTACATCTCCATACATAAATACCAAACGGAAACGACATACTTATCACAATCTCTCATCACCTAAATGCGTTAGTGCGATACAGGAACTACGTAAGTTGCTTGTACTCTCGACTATTCTTTTTAGGCAAACATTCACTTAGTGATCCTCACATTAAATGCTCTTGCATTCCCCCATTTATTGGACCATGCATCTTATGCTGTGGCTCTGAACCAAGTACTAGTCACACGGAGTTGGCAAATAAATCAGATGAACGTGATTTACTTATGTCAGCCCACTCGTTATGTAGTCATATTCATCCTAAATTGTCAATTCCAGGAGGTTGGTTTCATTTTTTTATGGTTTATGTCAGATTTCATGTTTTTTTTTTCTATTTCCAAACTAGTCGTATCCCTGTGAATGTAAATAAAAGTTGTTTAATCACTTTTTTATCCATACTAAGTTTCGGAAATGTTCATTTTCTTTTCCGTCTATCGACTAATGATTAATTCATTGGTGTAAATGGATATTTTGGATATCAATTCTCACTAACTCCTCTGTTTTAGATGTTGGTATCCGACCAAATAGTCGGTATTATACTGCTAACCATAATCAGTTTCCCTATTTTTGAGTAAACCCTAGGTATTATGTAAAAAGTAACTCTGTAGGATTTAGGCTGCTGGTACTGCAAGTATTTAGATTCTCATAATCAAATCCCACTGCATGACATAAATACATTCTAAAAGTGGAGTATATATTTTTATTCCCGCAAATCAAAAAATGGAAGGTGTGTGTTTACATATATGAGCTCCATAAAAGAACATTTTTTTCATATTCCCTGCAGTTTGATGAATTTTGGAATAGGGGATGACATGGAAAGATAATGTTACTCAGTTTGTGATATAACACTGTTGAATAAAGTATATTTTTTATTGAATTAATAGTTTATGATAATCTTCCATGCATTCCCTGTGATTGTCAAAAAAATGTTATTTAGCAGTAACTAAGGTCACTATAATATGGTGTTCTTAAAAAATTCAGTAATTACTATCTATCCTTTTCATTATCCATAAAAACACTTGTTATAGTTGGGCTATGATCGCATAAAATCATTATTTTTGTGATGCTTTTTCTATTACATTTGTGGTTGCGCACACTTTTTGATTTGCTTAATTGTGTGAATGAAAATATTCCACTTCATTCGAAAATGTTCATGATGATCCTGTTTGTAGTAGAAAAAATTCCTCTGATTAATTTGTAGCTTACATACTAGCAAACTATTTATTTACCATATGTTTTAGGCTTTTTATGAAATATTCGTTGTCTGTGGCAGCAATCAAGTCAACAAGTCACAGACAACATAAAACCTGGTATATGTAAGCATCAGCTCAAGTTGCTACACTGTATTAATACAGTGATGTAATGCCATCAGAATGAATACCAATGTAGAAGTAGTCGTAGTAGTATCAGTGGTAGTAAAAAAATGATTACTTATAGAGAGTAGGATTCGAAAAGAAAGAATTAATTCGTGAAATGAAATGTGGAATGTGAATCTGATCTAAGGAAAGTTTTTTATATGAATGTTGACTAAACCACATGAACACAGTCAGTCAAAGTTCGACCGTTTAGTCTAGAACTAGGTATCAGTAATAAGACGTATGTTGATACAAGTATTGAGTATGAGAAACGGATGCGGTTCGCAATATAAATATGTCTGTCATTCATGTGAACTATAAGGGTATGTCTGTCTACACTCACTAAGAAACCACTGAATTCTTTGGCCTGACATCAAGAAGACTACTGTTGAGATTAATTATGAACAATGTTATCCGATATCATCCAATGATCATAATGATTACATGTACTTCAACCAAGGAATCTGCACCTACCAACATAGCTTGGACCAACAGAAATTTCAATAATTGAATAAAAGTGCTATCAATCGATAGCTAGACTGTATTTCTGCGAGACATAATTAGGGTCGTAATAGTCATCTGTATTGATATATCCAACCTTCATTTGAGATCTTTATCTATCAGTACAGCACTGAAATCACTCTGATAGTTCATATTTCTCTATATACGAGTATTCTGTGCTAGTTGTTGGCAAAAATATTATAAACAGCTGTCTGCTCGCTTCTCATGCTTCTGACAAAACATTCGCATCATAACACCAATGTTCTCAACACTTTAAGATAATATTAGTGCGTTTTTTATCATTATTTCGTATACTCCGATTATTTAGATCTAACTGTTAACAAATCATAGTTGAGAATTCTAGTCACTAGGTTTATATGGGTATTGTTACTAATTAAAATTTCATTGATTATGTATTGACAGTTGTTATAATTCTCTCTTACGGTTATAACCCAGCTATTCCCATTGCTTAGTATTCTCGGACACCAATTCACTCGACAAGTCCCCAAATCAGAACACGGTTGAACAGGAAAGAGATTATATTCCAAATAATAAAGTTAGATGGAAGTAAGAAGCACAATAGGGAAATCGTTAGTATACTTATAGTTTTTACATGAGAAGATTTCTAGGGTATTCTCCAAGTATCGACTAGCGCTGATTGGATAAGAATTAGCCAATCAGCGTGCGCCAACACAAGCGTGCATTGAGCATGATTTAATCCAATCTATGTCCCGCTAACAACGGTATAGCTAATTCATACGACATTTGCGAATTTTCATGAAATCATGAATGACATCATGACTTACACAATCGAGATTACTATATAATGACGACTAATGCTTACACCATAATTTATTTTAGATGTCCAACTAGGTCTTCGTTTAGAATCCCGTCTCGCTGCATATTCATCAGTTCATTTCCGACCCCATAAAGCCACTGTGCATCATGTACAACCGTGGGACAAACCAGATTGCCTTCAGCCATTAGAGCCTATTAATCGCCATACACCTAATACATCTAAGCTTAGCACTCAACCCAATCAACCAACAGTAAAACCACCAAAATGTCCGCCGTCACAGACAAGAAATTCTCATTTACGCAAACGCAGATTACTATCGTCCAAAAACTCACGTACTTATCCTTTATCATCAGCACACTCAGTGACGTTACCTCCTAAAACTCCAAGATCTGTACAGGTAAGATCTGTATTGTTTTCGCGCCAATTATGTGTTAATGGTGCTTAATTTGCATAATACACAAGTTTTATTTATTTATTTAAACACATAAACATTGGTATAAGGAGGCACCAAATAGATATGCGCCACATAAATCATTCGATTTGTGTGAGGCCGGGGTACTGTCCGGGTGCCCAAACAGAAGCAGGTGGTTTTCTCAGGGGGCCACACCCTGAGCCTTAGACCTAAAGGTCTGATCCACAAGACAGTGGAGCAACGTCAACAGATGCAGTCCCATGGTAGCGGGTGACCAACAATAGGTTCATACGCCATTTGTTCCTACAGAATACTGGAGCTCATGTGCACCATTGGTTTGGAATCAGGGTTTCCAACTGTCCTAGGTGGATCTTCCACATCCACTAACCCTGTTAAAGTGCCGGACAGTCGCTTTTCGTCCTTCCAATTTCGTAAACAACACTCACGCCACAAGAAGGCAGTGAGTAGGACTTCCCTGAAAGTGGTCATATGCACATGGCCATGTGTGGCACACTGAGGCTTTTTCCCTTTATTCGTGTTTGAGTAGACTGCTATCTTCCAACTTTAGTTTTTAAATAAATCTGTAAACCCTGGTTGTCCGTGTAAACTCTGTCATACATGTATTCTAATCACTTTGTATCGAAGTTTAGGTTTCTTTCTAAGCTGAATGACTGATATACTAAAATTAGACGTACATAGTTGAAAGTGTAGGCACTTGTCGGCTGTGAATCTGAATGTCGCGAGTTCAATTCCCGGTTCAACTTAATCGGTTTGAACTGTCTAGTAGCAGCTGATCAAGAGAATAAACGCATATCTAGTAAATAAGCTGCGTTAGTACTGCAAAGAGTTAAAGATATTGCCAAATCGCAACAGTTCGGTATTTCTGTATTTGTTGCCTGATAGCTGAAAATCAATTTGCAAAATTACTGAGAAATATGTATTTACATTTTGGTGTGACAGTAATTAAACTGTGTCACTATTCATTAGTATTTAAAAACAGTTTTCTAATCAAATACAGTGAAATATACCAGTCATAATGTTTCCTAATATAGTTACTCTGTAGGTTTCTAATGTCAGTGTACGAACAATCACAGTGTCCAGTTCAGGTTAATGTTTATTGACTGTGTTGTATTGTATCTTGCGATTATGTTAAGCTCAATCTAAGGCAGTCATTAATTAGGAACACTTTTTTGATCCTGGTTAATCTTTTGCTTCCTTTTTCATGCTGTGTGATTTCAGCTTGACGTCATATTCGTAGAATCATAGTTTGTCACTATTAATAATGGTGACTATCTGTATTGTCTAGCTATCTTACTTTCTGAACATATCATTTCACTTATTGACCATGTACATGCTTAAGCGTTTAAATTTGAGATCCGCCATTTGTATGTGTTTTCGGTACTACATAACTGTCTAAACCAAAGTAGATAAGGTTAGGGACCAGTCCTTCACCTCCCGCCGCAGTATTTGAGTGTTCTTACCATCAGGCTGTTGGATTTACTTCACATCTTTACAAATATCGGGAGTTACGTTAAAACTCCTATAGGTCAGTATCGAATGTCTAGACTATTGACTTTTTACTGATATAATTCACATCATTTTTACAACGTTTTTGCTTGTTGTTTTTTCCTCACAGAACTCCAACAATAACAGTAATAATAATAAAACTGAAGAGCAATAAATCAAGATAAATCTCAATTACATTATGTAATCCTCGAAATATTTGTGCTTTTTCTGTCCATTATATGTGTATTGTATATGCTTGTGACATAGATTATTAGATTTCCTTTATATATACATTCTCATACCTGTGTAACCTTTCTTTTTTATTATTACTATTATCCGGTAAACAATTATTTATTATCTGTTTACATCTGCATGTATGCATGTATTATTATTATTACTATTATATATTTATATACATAAGTATATATTATGGTGAACTTGTATTAAACGCATTTACTATATCTAGTCCTTCACTGTAATTTTCAACAGTAAATTATCTTTATGAAGGGGAAGGTTTTGGTACACTTTTCATTCCTTAATCTCTAGAAGAGACCAACTGAAATTCACTGTTGTGTCTGTTCGCTTTATAAATCAGATAAAAATGACAAAATATTATTGATAAATCTTTCATATTTCTTACTATAATCATTATTGTTATTATTGATATTAGTAGTAGTATCTTTTTATCACATCACAAAAGACCATTTTTATCTTATTTCTATTTACGGATTAATGAATTTTTGTATCATGTTCTTCTCATTCTCTTTTTTTTTCAAATTCGAAAATTGTATTAATCTGAACTGTTTTATATTTTTGCAATAGCGAGGATAACATACATTTATTTCTATTTATAAAGAAAGTGTGTTAATCGCTTCCTGTTGTTGTTGATGTTGGTGTTGTTGCTGTTTTTCTTTAGAAAGGAAAACTCTATTGTTAATTATATTTTTCCTCTTCCTTCAACCATTTTTCATCGTTGTATTATTGTATAACAACAGAGGTTTGTATATTTTTCTTTCTTTTTTTTTAAAACAAATTGTATATTCTTATTCAATAATTTAATCAGTGCAATTTCGGGTGTTTTTCGTTGTTGTTGTTGTTGTGGTTATCACGTGTTCAGTGGTAAATCGTCTTATTTTTCTGTACTCCGTAGATTTAGTTGATGAAGAAAATTAAGAAGATAATGTAGGTTGATTAGTTGACTAAAATGTGATTTATTTGAATTCATAAAAGGTATGTGTGTTTTAGCCAAAGGTCAACTGTTAAAATGTTAATGAAGTTGCGTACGTCTGTTATTTTATGCTTTTATTATCCCTTACTCCGATAGCATATTGCGTCTTCTATATTCTTGTCTCTGTTCTAGATTGCAATCCCATGATAGCTTTTTGATATGTCAAAGATATGAGGAATTAGCCACTTCAGAGTTAGTAAGTGTTCAAATATTCTATCTCTTCACACCTAAAGTTAATGTGACAAAAGTGTTAGTGATACAAAAGAGACCTTATGACATCAGACAAATATTCTACTCTTTACTATGGTTCTGGTGATCAGTTGACAAGTTTCTGAGTTTACTTGGGTTATCTAAGAAATATATATATCAGCAAATAAACAGGTTGCCGGTTACCAGTTTTATTAGCATAATGGTAAAACTAGGTAAATCCTTATGAATTCAGTTTCCTGACTACTAATACCCTTTGATATTATGAAAAGCCACACATTCAATTTTACAGGGGTCTTAACATGATAGAAAAATATAATTTACACGACTAGAAATGAATAGATTTTCACCCTGATCACTAAAAATTTAATATACTGTGAACATGTGCATCAAGTTATTTCATATGAGGTAACAAGGCTGTTTGGTGTGAGTTGACTTGTGTGCATGAAAAATTGTAAGTTAGTACTTTCATTCAATTAGAGTAAGTTAATTTTAGTAGGAAAAAAGAAGTCCGAATTCTATGTTTTCTCTATTTATGTAAGTTATAGGTACTATAATCCTTTAGAAATTTACCATGGTCAATTATGATGAAACTTCCGTATACCGTTTTCTAGAGTAATATAGGTTTTCGTGTGTGTTGAGTTTTCCTTTATTGTCTTAGTAATTCACTAGAATGTAAATGACACTATAGATTTTAATGTCAAATGAAATTCAGTGAAGAAAAATTGATTTCTGATAAGTTTTCACGTATAATATTGTTTAAAAGGGAATGGTGCATAGTTTTATTTCGTATTGAATATTAAATTCATTATATCTCAACTAAGATGACGAATGAATAACATCTCCAACATCCTTCTACTGTGCAGTTGCTTCCTTTGTCAATATCAATAATTCTACCGACCGGTGTTGTAGTTGTCACATATTAATCTTAGTTCGGGCACCATTGAGACCAGGTGACACTAAACATATCTTACGTTCTAGTATAAAACCAGTACTGTGCACTCTTGAAATTGGACTCAGGACCATCAGGTCTCTCGGCAAATGTTTAACTGTTAGAACCACTTGTTCGGCCTCTAACAGTACAATTCCAACTCATTCAGTTTATGATAGAGTGCGACTGATATTGAGTCCTAGTGTTGATGACTGCTTCACTCGTGACTTGTTTGAACTCCATCGGTCATCCACAACCAGCTTTCACAAATCCATTTGGACTGATGCTATTACTTGTTAAGAAGATTCTGACGTGTTTTCATACGAATAACTGTGGTGATTTTAAACTGTCGCATTAAAAACGGTAACATTGTTGTCAATTTACCTATTATGTCCAGAAATGAAAATAACTTTCGATCCTATATACTGTTTATTTAGGCGACAAGAGAAATTAAAGGAATCTCAGTTGGCTAAACATAATTTAGCATTCATGAGTTTAGGATAAATCTAACAGGAAATTTCTCTAGTTTTATTTTGTCTTGACAATGAAAACTAAATTATCAAACAAACAATATAACCTATCCTACATCTTTAGTATGGATAGAATCACAGAGTAATTCTAACAAGGAATTCATCACTCACTTTATTAATCTAAGTTATCTGTTTCATATTTTACGAGGTTCGAATGCATGTTGTGCCTACCAGGCAAGTAGCCAAGTTTATTCATAAATCAGTTAATAAGACTTGTGGTTTTAAATTATGGATCAAAGTCAACTGCAAAGTCATTTTAAGACTATAGAGAATCAGACACATCAAACTCACAATGACCTTTGATTTGTCATAAGGATAATAGTGTCACATAACCACTGTATCAGTGGTAATTGAAGATCATCATCCATTATCTTTCTTTATATTTTGCGACCAATTAACCAATCTTTATATCCATGAATGTGATCTTGCATATGGGTTCAGTGAATGACCATTGCTTAAGAGTTCAAAATCAGATTAAGCACTTATCACCTCTGATTGATTTCAGTCATCAGTACTGACAAAAATTTACATGCCTACTTGCAAGTGAACATTGATTTCGTTTCAATCCTTCTTAAACGAGGAGTTACAGTTATAAGTAGTGAGATTATATTGTTTAAAAAAGTAACTGAAGTAAAACTAGGTTTTCATATACCTCACTCGAATTATAGCTCACTGGAAACCTACATAGACTTACGAAAATTTGTGAGTTGAAGTAAATTATTATTGAGGAACCAATAAGAGTCGAGATCCATATTCTAAGGTCGCATCCAAGCTGAATATTAGCATGTGACGTAACTGTAGACTGTCTAATGAAGATTGATGAGGATAATAGAATTGAACACTTTTATAACGTGAAAACCAACAAAGTTCATCAGGAAGCACTACTCTACTACTAACTTCCTCTGTTATGTCTGTATGGTTCTACTACTAATTACTTGAAATTGAAATCAGTCCAAATTCTCATGGTTCGACGTAAGAAAACGAAAGAAATTATTTCTCTTGATGAACTTAAATATCTCAAGATCATTCAACAGTAACTAAATTTTATTTGTATAGTTTAGTTTAATCCAATTTATATATAAGTAAATATCACTGCTAAAATTTGAGTTAATCATTTCTGATAAGTTGGATGTTGAATAGATAGTTTACATAAGAAATGATTTATTTATGTCCTAAATGATAGAGAAAATTAATTGATGACATTTCGTTATTTGATTTGTTACCCTGGAAGATAAATAACTTTTACATGTGAATAAAATTTTTAGGTGAGACTATAGTTTATAGAAAAAACCAATCAAATTTAGGATAACAGGTCTTGTATTTTGGCATGAAATTCACTCATTCATTTGGCTAAATAAAGTTTTGGCATTTTGGCTGGTGTCAGTTCGTGATGAAAAAACTAAATTCAATTCCTAACCCTAATTATCAATTGTAAATCATAATTCCGATTGCCCACATTGCTTTATAACATTCACTTAGTCTCAGAAGGGGTTTTGTGGAGATTGTAGTAATTTCAATAGTTGAGATCATGAGTCAATTGAAGATAGACCACCATGGAAAACCGGGAAGCATTGGGCGGCCATTTCGTCATATTGTGATACTCCTCAGCAGTGCGCATCCACAATCCTGTCTCGCGGGATTCGAACCCAGGACCTATCAGTCTCGCGCGCGAAAGTTTAACCTCTAGACCACTGAGCTGGCCGGTATCCAGTGGTGTTCATGTCTAACTTCAACTAATCCACGAAATTGAGTGACACATGCACCATTGTCATCAGTGAGTTACTATCTCACAACTGACCTGGTTGGACTCCACTGGTCACTGCTTCTCACTAGAACTCCAGGATATACCTCGTGAAGCCAGTCACTAGTAAGTATATGTTGATTAGTATCAGAAGGGTTTTGTGGAGATTGTAGTGGAGTTAATCCGGGCCGGTTGTGAGATAGTAACTCACTGATAACAGTGGATGTGTCGCTCAATTTCATGGATTAGTTGAAGTTAGACATTAACACCATTGGATATCGGCTACCTTAGTGGTCTAGTTGGTTAAGCACCTGGCGCGAGGCTGATAGGTCCTGGGTTCGGGTCCCGCGAGGCGAGGTCGTGGATGCGCACTGCTGTGGAGTCCCACAGTAGGACGAAACGGTCGTTTTCCATGGTAGTCTATCTTCAATTGATTCATGATCTCAACTGTTGAAATTCATTTAGTCCTTGTTATTTGGACACTGTCAAGGTCACTCTAGCCTCACGCAAAAGTCGTCCATAAATTATAGTATCACTAAATTTTGAGTGGTGAAATGAACAAGTTCGTCTTCGATATTCAGTGAACACATAAAGAAGTATAGTTGAACAACGTTGTGTCTCATATTTATTGACACCCATCTATGTTAATAAAAATCATGAAATACACAGTATATAGTCCATCATTGCCAGATATGATGATGACGTGCTTAAACATGTTAGTATTCTATTTACTAATTCAGATTTTGTCAATTTTCATCGATTAAATTGTGGACTGATCTTATTTAGGTCCCCATCGAAAACCTGGAAGCATTTTGACAACAGTTTCTTACTTCTGTTCATTCAAGACTTCACCAAAGGGAAATGGAACCCAAGATATTCGGTCCCAATCACGAATATTTAAACTTTAGACGTCTGAGCTGTAATGCTATGATGTATATTGCCTAAAGTTAATTCACAATATTGTATGAGTATCTATGCTTAATGTCTGTGAATAGAGGTACTGTCAACAAAACTTATCCCTCATCATGAGAAAATGCTAGCTTCCGTACAAAATACTAGACACGAAAATTCACGTGCATAAGAGCCAATTAGAACACATGCAATTAGAATTTGATTTTCTGTAGGTCACTTGATAACCAATGAAATTAATATCTGATCATTAAGCTGATATCCTGTTCCCATATTGTATTAGTATGGCTACCTTGTTATACCTGTCCAGTATTTAGGATATATAGGCTATGTTTGTACCTGTCCTTCTCACTATACGTACAAATATCAGTATGACAAACCTCAGCTGAAATAATGTGTTCCTACAACACCATGTTCACAGTAAATTTAATCGTTAAAATAATTTCTTACGTGGAATCATTATCATAATCGTTTATAGGTATATATATTGTTATAAGTTATGTAGTTATAAGTAGTAGAGCA